TAGTTAGTAAGATTAACTAACAGATTAACTAACTGATTGGAGTGAGAAGCTTTTTCATTGACTTACTTGGACTGACATATTTTTTCGTTGAATGAATAGATGAGTTGTCTTTTCTTTTATTTGTGTTCAGTTTAGTCTGACTGAGGCCGTGTTTAGCTCCTTTTCAAAAAAAAATTTTGAAGTATACGGACATACATTTAAAGTATTAAATATAGACTAATAACAAAATAAATTACAGATTTTGTATGTAAACTACGAGACAAATCTATTAAGCCTAATTAATTTGTCATTAGCAAATGTTTACTATAGCATCGTCTTATTAAATCATGGCGTAATTAGGCACAAAATATTCGTCTTTGTCGGAGATATGGGCCCGGGGTATGCGAAGTGAGGGAAAGTTACCTTTCCATCTAGCCGCGTGGCTCTACAGCCTGGCCCTACTCCCGCACATCGTGAGTCACAGAAGCGGCCGGGGGGCCTTGGGGTGCCACGTCGTGCCCCTCGGGCTCTCCCGCTACCTTGCCCTGAGGCCCTCGCCCAGCTGCCATGTGGCGGGGGGAGTGAGTGGGAAGGGGGCCCAGGCTGAACAGCCATCAATGCGCAGCGCCCCAACTGTCCCTCACCGCATTTAATGCGGTAAGGGCAGACGTGCAGTGCTGCCTAGCTGACCCACGTCAATCGGACGTGACCAGTCTGTGACCGGCCTGTTACCGGTCACATCCGATTGAACGGGCAGCCGTTCAAGGGTCTCACGACCTCCCGCTATCGAGGGACTTCCCTCGACAGTCTCGTAATTTACATATAAACTGTGTAGTTGGATTTTTTTTGTCTATAATTAATACTTCATGCATATGTCTAATCATTTGATGTGATAGAATTTTTGAAAGTTTGAATGGAACAAACACAGCCTGAATGAAAGAATTGTTTCGCATTTCAAAGTCGGTAGTTGAGTACTAAGTGGACTCGCATTTATGAAACATCATCGATCTCCACAACTGAAAACCAGTTCGTCTAGGCACTTCAGAAAATCTTTATTTTTTTGCGGGGCACTTCAGAAAATCTTGGCCGGGCAAAATTCAGCTCCACCTGTCTCTTACAAGCAGATGGGTTGTTTCAATGTGTTCTGGAACAGTTTGGTACTACAAGAAAATGGTAGATTCCATCACATGCCATGTTACCATGTTGCTCTCCCCTGGACCAAGCTAGATTTTTTTTAAGCAAAACCTCACCTGGATAAGCACGCACACGCCGTCTGATCTTGACAGCCAAGTGTTCCTATCTGTAGTTTATCCATCCATCCATCATTCACCGTCGTTCCCTAACTTGCAGTCTTGCACCCCTAGCTACGTGGATGGATTAGGAATTAACATTTCAGGATCAGATAGATCGATCCGCTGATCCACTCCTGGAAGACGCATCCATCGATCGATCACACATATCATCGTCTCGCTGTTTCGATGGATCGATCCATGCGTCTCCGTAGCCGGCAACCGGCCGGTGGTCCACTTACTATGGAGGAGAGGGAGATGAAGCCAAGAACACCAAAGGCCAAAGATGGCGATATATACTCGCGGTCCCGTGAAGGCCAAGGCTACTTCCCTGAAACTGAAAGCCGACCGGTGCTCTGCATCTGTACGCATTGCTGCGTATGAATACTTCATACAGAAGGAGGAAATATCAAATAATATAGGGTATTGCGAGAGAGATATTTCTGAAAAAAAAAAGGCAAGAGGAGCTGAGGATGGAAGGCCTTTTTCTTGGGACAGCTGGACGGTTCAGGTTCCGACGGTTTTTTTTCCTATGATTTATAAGTTGTTGTCCAAATTTGAATTTTAAATTTTAATTTTGAAGTTGGTTTTGATATTTCTTTAACGTAGGGTTTTTTTAGCATTAGCTTTTAATATTATCTAAGAACAAGTATATATAAGTTTTATTTATAAATTATTTTCTATTATTAATAAACCGTTACAGTTTATAATCAATCGTAGGTAATCAATGGGTCCTTATCCTATTGGAAGGTCTAATTTGCAGCACCTGAACTTTTAGAGTAAAAAAAATCTGAGCTCAAGTTCCTGTTCTTTACTTCGATATCAAATACGTTGGCAACAGTAGAGTTCACGTTGCAGAAGACTATCTATACCGTTGTTGATAATTTTTCTTTTAAAAATTTGACAGACGTAATTATAATATAATCGTTGTATAATTATAATATAATTTGCATATAACAATGTAACTTTTAAAATTCTCTCCGTAACACGCTATTTCCTCGAAATAGAGGTAGTTTGACCGAATGCTATCACATATGCATGCGTTGTGATTTTTTTTCCTTCCTCACATGCACGAATCTTGAAATAAATCTAACGGTTCAAATCTATATGAAAGTTACATTGTACTCCCTTCGTCCCATAATATAAGGGATTTTGAGTTTTTGTTTGCAACGTTTGACCACTCGTCTTATTCAATTTTTTTGAAATTATTATTTATTTTATTTGTGATTTACTTTATTATTTACAGTACTTTAAGCACAACTTTTCGTTTTTTATATTTACAAAAAAAATTTGAATAAGACGAGTGGTCAAACGTTACAATTAAAAACTCAAAATCCCTTATATTGTGGGACGGAAAAACTCAAAATCCCTTATATTGTGGGACGGAGGAAGTAGTTACATGCAAATTATAATGCAATTACACTACATTGTTATAAATATATAATTACATATGTCAAATTTTTGTGAGAAAATTTATTGATAAATACTTCCTCCGTTTTATAATGTAAGTCGTTCTAGCATTACCTACATTCATATACAACATCTATATATGGGCAATGCTAGAATAACTTACATTATAAAATGGAGGGAATATGTAGCAAAATTGCTCCGAATTATCTATTTATCTGTCACGCACAAAAGCATATGCTTGACGAATTTGTGGGCGAGCGAGCATTGATCGATTTTCTTCTCTTCAATTTATTCTCAACAGGCACAACAACAAACCATCACGGCATCACGACACGACACAAGAGGAAAGGGACGAGAGAAACCAAACCAAACCAATAGGCACTAGGCAAACACATCACACATGGCAACAAAAGTAGCCAGAGCGTGCAAAGGAGAGCCACAAACTTGGAAGGAGGAGGGACCCAAAAAGCAAAAAGGTCACCACCTGCGCTGTGCCTGTGCGCGGTAGAAGAAGCAGCCAAGAAAAAGCGCACGGCTGGGTCCCGTCCCGTGAACGTGGGGCGGAGACTATGATGCTGGGGACGAGACGGATAAGCGCGGCACGCCGTCCACGCGTTTCACTTGGTGCCTACACGCGGCCGCGTCACCACCACCTCACCTTGCTACACCATTCTCCTCTACTTGTCTATCTATGGGTGTGTTTAATCCACGCTAAAATTAAAAGTTTGATTGAAATTGAAACGATGTGATGGAAAAGTTAAAATTTATGTGTAGGAAAATTTTTATGTGATGGAAAAGTTAAAAGTTTGAAGAAAAAGTTTGGAACTAAACAAGGCTATGTACAGTCGATTTAGCTAATTAAACCATGCGTTGCATGTTTACTACCATACCACTCCGTATGTTAACACGCGTGAGGTGACGCTGCTCCACATAGGATATGTCAGTAATTTATCCCGTTTGATTGTCATGCAGGCAAAGGAGAATCGTACGTATTGAAAGTTGACCGTGCGTTAAGCACGAGATTCGCAAGTGACGGAATATATAATTAGCGTTAGCGATATACGGAGTACTATACTACTACTACAGTACTCCCTCTGTTTTATAATGTTAAAATGCTAACATCATCTATACGAACATAGATAATGCTAGAAAGTTTTATATTATGAAATGGAGGAAGTAGGACGTTACACTACCAAGTACGACAGATCGATGTGTGGTTAACCGACAGGAGCGTGCGTGATTCTCATGGGTGGATGCCGATCGATCCGTGTACGACGGCTGATTCGCCCATCTCGACGAGAAATGCAGACACCGCAGTGAGTCACCCAAGTTTGGATTTTAGCCGACAAGTCGCAAACCCTCCACACCGACCACGCACCAAACACCAACTACCCCGGAAGATGATACCACCACAGTAAATTAAATTCCTCGCATTTTTACTGCATTTTTGTCCAACTCCAAATTCCGACGGACCAAACCCAGCAACAAGCGGAGACCACACAAATTTCTTGTGGAGTCTCGATCTAGAAAACGCTACTAGCACACACATGTCATGTCACCAACATCAGCCATGGCCCACCAGCAGCCTCACAAGCGCACTGTCCTCCATGGCAATGCTTGCCACGTCAGCACCTCACGTTGGTCCATCCTCGCTGACGTGCCGTCCACATATCCGTTCCGTTTACACGCCCCGTTTCACCCGTAAGACTTATCCGTTCTCCCTTCTCTCTCTTCGCAGCCAAGTGTAAAAGCGTACGCGTACGTGTACTGAATCTTCTTCCACTGCACCCCTTTGATTTGACCGCTACGTTGTCGCCGTCTCACCCAGCTCGATCCATCTGGCTAACTACGTGGATTAGTAGAGATTATCGCCTTAGTTTGATTCTATAATTACCCACCTATCTAGAAGTAGCTTGTAATTGAACAGGTGTCACTTGACAGTACTCAGTACAACAGAGCAATGGAAGCGTATACAACACTCAACGATCAGCTGCTTGTGCCTGCTCAAAACGACGAAAAATTAATTGAAATCTTTATTACTTTTTAGTTCCAAAAATAATGGATAAGGCCATTGCTGCTGATCTAATCCTCCCCCATAATCTCCAACCAGGAAGCATGCACACTAGAGAGAAAAAAATATATACAAAAATCACATGCATACTGATGCAATGCTACTACTTGCTTTACTTGTGAGAGTGCCAGAGGAGGAAAGATTATTAGTTTAGCTTTACAATCCTAATCAGCATTGATCACTTGGTTAAGTGACGATAAGCACGTCGCCATCACACGCATAGTTGAGATTTCCTCTATATATACCCGCAGCGACTCTTCCCTCCCAAATTCATTTCATTCTCTTCAAATCCAAGCAAGAAAGAAATCAAAGCTTCTCTTCTTGAATTCAATTCAATTCAATTCCTCATCTCCGATCGAATCAATCTTGGTTAGTTGTTAAGCACCTCTTATCTACTTAATTATCTTCCTCTCCGGAGAAGCTCGAGCTCGAGATCAAGTCCATGGCGTTGACGCTGCGTTCATCCACGTCGTTCCTGTCGCCGCTCGACCCGTCCTCCAAGCGCGAGGACGCGCCGCCGTGCTGCGTCGTCCCCATGCCGGCGCCGGGGAGCGGCGGCAGGCTGCGGCTCGCCAGGGCGGCGCCGGTGGAGCACGCGACGATGGAGGAGATGGCGTCACCGGAGGCGGCGACGCTGCTGCACCACGGGGGCGGGGGCGGGCAGGGGCAGCGGCGGGGGAAGGGGACGGCGGTGTACGTGATGCTGCCGCTGGAGACGGTGGGGGCGGGGGGGAAGGTGGCGCGGGCGCGGGCGCTGGCGGCGAGCCTGGCGGCGCTGCGGAGCGGCGGGGTGGAGGGGGTGATGGTGGACGTGTGGTGGGGGGTGGTGGAGCGGGAGGGGCCCCGGCGGTACGACTGGGAGGGCTACGGCGAGCTCGTCCGCATGGTGGAGCGCGCCGGCCTCCGCCTCCAGATGGTCATGTCCTTCCACCAGTGCGGCGGCAACGTCGGCGACTCCTGCAAGTAAGCCTACCCAACCTCACCTCCTAAACTAATTTCCTCCATTTTTTTTGTTCTTAATTTCTTGGACTCGGAGTGTTATAAAAATAGATGTACAACGGAGACATGAATTTTACGTGGAAAACTCTTTCGGTAAAAAAACCATAGGTGCCGACCGGCAATGTTTACCGTAGAGTCGTTGATTATAAACGTAGAGGAAGAACAATGAGAACTTCACACCTTCTCGTACAACTTACAAAAGTATATATAGAAAATAAAAGAAAGACACTGAGTCCTACTAGAAAACTAATCAGAATATACTGTGGGCTTAAAATTTGGATCACGTATTTAACCTAGAGTGCTCTGCAACTGCAACTGTTGTTCTCTGTTCTAGCCAATCCATGATCCATCTGGTTAGCTTAAAAAAAATGTTTCAGATTGTATTGTATTTGCTTAGCTTAAGGGAAAGCTTATTTGATTAGGAAAAACTTTTTAGTTTGGTTCTATTCTATGTTCTATATATAGCCAAATGATCTGCTTATCTTGAGGAAATGGTTCAGATTTTATTTGATTAGAAAAAAAATGTTTTATTTTAGGGGTTTTTCATTCTTTGTTGGTCTCTTGCACGCAAAGAATATACGTGTATTTTTCTGAAGCAATAAGCAATCAAAATTATCCAAGTAGGAAGGGGGAAAAAGCGTAAAAGCGATAGCTAAAGAACACAACAGATACGAAGCTGTCACAGGAGTTGGAAGAAGGAAAAGGATCAAAAGATTCCTCCCAACTGCAACCGGGCTACTGCTAACCAACAAACACCTGCTTTTGCCACCACTAATTAATTCCAAAATCAACTCAACAAAGAGATCAAAATCGAGTTCTAACAGTTCATATGATTTCTGTGACAGTTTCATTGGATTAATTATGATTAGTGTTTTATGGTTTATGCTCATATGTGATTTTGCTGATGTTGATGCAGTATCCCGTTGCCGGGATGGGTGTTGGAGGAGATGAAGTCGAACCCGGACATCGTGTACACGGACAGGTCGGGTCGTCGGAATCCGGAGTACATCTCGCTCGGCTGCGACACGCTGCCGGTGCTCAAGGGCAGGACGCCCATCCAGGTCTACTCCGACTACATGCGCAGCTTCCGCGACACATTCTGCGGCTACCTCGGCAACACCATCGTGGTAATTACATTGTGGTAATTACATTGTAATTACACTACAACTATACTATAGTTGCATTTGAAATTGTTTTGTCAAAAAAAAAAACTTGCGACAGTTTTTTTTAGCGATTTCGAATTGGTAATATGATTAACCATTAACCCTGCATCGATCTCCATCCACATCCTTGCTTAATCGATCCAAGCAATTTGTTTGATCTTGATTTCGTTGTGAAAAATTGCAGGAGATCCAAGTAGGATTGGGGCCTTGTGGTGAGCTGAGGTATCCTTCGTATCCTGAGGCCAATGGAACATGGCGTTTCCCTGGCATCGGCGAGTTCCAATGCTATGACAAGGTACTCTTTCTTTACGTTAACCTATCAAATTATCGGTGAAATGTGATTTGTGATTGGAATTACCAAATTATTTTTTCGCGAACGCGCAAAAGTATTATCAAATTATGGGTGAAATGTGATTTGTGAGTGGGATTAACGGTGAATGGTTTGGTTGATTGGTGTGCAGTACATGAGGGCGTCGCTGCAGCAGGCGGCGGCGGCGGCGGGGCACGAGGAGTGGGGGAGGGGCGGGCCGCACGACGCCGGCGAGTACAAGCAGTTCCCGGAGGAGACGGGGTTCTTCCGGCGAGACGGCACGTGGTGCACCGAGTACGGCGACTTCTTCCTCGGGTGGTACTCCGGGATGCTGCTGGAGCACGGCGACCGCGTCCTGGCCGCCGCCGAGGCCGTCTTCCGCGGCACCGGCGCCGCGCTCTCGGCCAAGGTCGCCGGCATCCACTGGCACTACCGGACGCGGTCGCACGCCGCGGAGCTCACGGCGGGGTACTACAACACGCGGCGCCGCGACGGGTACGCGCCCGTCGCGGCGATGCTGGCGCGGCGCGGCGCGGTGCTCAACTTCACGTGCATGGAGATGCGGGACGAGCAGCAGCCGGAGCACGCCGGGTGCTCGCCGGAGCAGCTGGTGCGGCAGGTGCGGTCCGCGGCGCGCGCGGCGCGCGTGGGGCTCGCCGGCGAGAACGCGCTGGAGCGGTACGACGAGGCGGCGTTCGCGCAGGTGGTGGCCACCGCGGCGAGCGCCGGGCTGGGCGCGTTCACGTACCTGCGCATGAACAAGAAGCTGTTCGACGGCGACAACTGGCGCCAGTTCGTGTCGTTCGTCAGGGCCATGGCCGACGGCGGCGAGCGGGCGGCGCTGCCCAGCTGCGACACCGAGCAGTCGGACCTCTACGTCGGGTTCCTCGAGAAGAGGGCGGCGCCGGAGGCCGAGGCGGCCGCCGCCGCCGCCGTCGTGTAGTATGGAGGCGAGCTTCGTGGCGCCGCCATTATTGTGTATAGGTACGGTGCTACGTGCACCGGGAAAGGGAAGTGTATATATGATTATGCGGGGAGTCTGCAGGTTGCAGAGTTTTATAGTCAGCAACTGAGCAGGCATCATGTCTAGTTCATATTTAGGCCATATAAGTTTTTTTTGTCATATTTCAAAGCACTGTACTCCAATTTGGCAGCTTTTTATGTGTAAACTGCCCACCATGTAATAAGCTTTGTTAGCTGAGAATAATTTTGCAACTTTGCAAGGAAATAGCTCGTTTGCAGCAGCAAACAATTTGGGTTCTATTTGTTCAAAGTAGCAGATAATAAGGTAAGGATTGGGCCGACGTTTTTGAACTTTTGTGTTTGAACTTTATGCAGGTTTATGTTGGATACATTGGGCCGGCAGACGGCGACCAAATCAAACCTGCGGATTTTTTTCTTCTTTTCCCTGAAAAATCAACCTTTCACGCGTACTTTACAGAGTCAAACTACGACATATATAAGCAGGACGCAACAGCCAAAACCTGCATCCGGACTTTTCAAATCTAAGGACAAGAGAGAAGAAAAGGAGAACGAAAAGAAAGAAAGAAAGAAAGAAACACATATGCTACAATCTCATTAACCCGTGCATATTGCACTGAGCATAATATGGTCTTGATCAAGGAACAATGTGACCAAGGTACAAATCACATTCCAAAGGGCGTGAACAATGTAATGAGCAACAATACATGCAACATGTTAGCTCTATTTATGAAATGGAGCCCTTTCAACAGTGAAATTTACATCATGATAATTTATACGGGGACTAGTGATATAATCATAGACGCGGTGGAGAATACCAGGATCGTGTCATAGAGAAAAGGGCTTCGCATACACATCGAATGGCTCGTTTGCAGTTAGCTGTGGATCCTGCAGATTAGAGAAAAGCAGTTAGTATTGTTGACAATCTGAAAAGGGAATGGAAATTGTATACAACCAAAAGAACATGTTCTGTGTGTTTTTGTATTGTACCCACGGAAATAGGATTTAAATAATCACTAGATAGAGAGGAATATGTCAAACTCCAGAATTTACCTGCTTCAAGCCGCCACTACTAACGCTGCCTCCTGTAAGAAGCATTGTGATTAGCGATGTTACAGCACCACCTCCGCTGCCCATTGAATCACCTGTACTGCGTATTGTCGAACGCATGGAGGTCAGGATACTCCCATAGGTGGTGCCCTGCCCACGCTCAATTGCTTGGATAAAGCAAAATGTCATAGCGCCAGTTGAAGTGATCTTTGACAAAGCCTGATTGGAACAAGTGCAAATGAATCAAATGTTAATACCTATAAATTGGGTTAAACAGAATAGAACACAACTGACCAATAGAACAGTAACAGAACAGGCATGATCTGCAATCAGAGTCCTTGCCAAAGCTATCTTTTAAGCATATATTAACTTCGAAGAGAATAAGGAATGACAGCCTAGGATGCTAACAGAGAAGGAATGAATTCAAAAATTTACTGAAGTATCTGCAGATGTCTGATCATCGTCACAACCACTAAATGAAATACACTCGCCGCCACTAGTGCCCTTCCAGACACCAGATCGAGGTCGATGATCTTCCCATACATATTGCCCACTCCTGTACCAAAGAAGACCAGGGATATTAGCTGAACATATTTCCATCATAAGATCTACAGATCTATGTTTGTAAAGTAAACACTACAACCAAGGAATCCAAAACAAAACCAACTGAATAAAACAGCATAGTCTCTAAACAGCACATTCCTGTCCTAGGATAAACAACATTTTGATGGACATACTATGGGCAAATTAGCAGTAAGTTGTGAAAATAAACGGATGGTGAACAGTACCACACCAAAACTGTTTCCAACAAATGACAGTCCCAAGAGGGTAACTACTTGTATTGACATAATTGACTAAGAAACATAGTTCACTGGCTCTACCCTCAAATTACATTCCAGTAAAAATATTTGAGCAGGATGACAGAATATAATCATCATGAGACAAAAAAAATAATTGAATGCTGTCCTCAAACTGCATTTCAATAGAATATTTGAGCAAGCTCCAAAATCATATCATCATCAGCTGAAACATAATCAGACAAACATGGCATTCAAATCAAATTGGTTCAGAAGTAAATAGCATCTTTCTTGCAAACATAGTTTGTAGTGAAGATAGGATAATAAGATTGCCATTAGGTTAAGTCCATGTACTTATCATTCAAGTGCCAAAAAAAAAAGAGCTTGCACAAGATAAGCGAACCTGTTCATTCTGCAGAGGAAAGGCAAATCAAGTGCAGTCCCACTGTGACAAGCATCTATCAGTGCATGAAGTTTAACTCCAGGAGTAAGTGGTCTGACAAGAGCAGTATTTATTTCATCATCCACAATCATTCCCTGTGTCTCAAAATCCAATGGGCAGAGGGTTTCATCCATTCCATCAACTTCATCTCCGCTGTAGTTTCTTTGTTGTGCTCCGTGACCAGAATAATGGAATACCAATGAGTCTCCAGGCTGGCAACCTTGTACAAGCCAATACATGGCCATCCTTATGTTGTGCTTTGTTGGAATCTTGTAAGGGTCAGTTTGTTCTTCTGCAAGACAAGAAATAAACCAATAGTATTGGGTTATGATCAGTTTCAACAGATCATCAGAAAACAAATTTCATATACCAGAAAGATAATATAAGACAAAAAAATACTTTGCCCTTTTCCTGTCTTAAATGTTTTCAGTCTAGCATTTGCATCCTACTAGATTCCATTTAGTTAGTAAAACCATAATTTGCGAAAACATGAGCCCATGACTCACAACAACATTAGCTTATATCAGCCCTAAAGAGTGTGATGGATCAAACCAAACCAGCTTTATCTTCAAATTGAAACCATACGTAGTTTATTGAGGCAGGAATAAATTTAAATTACATTTTGATATCGCCAACGAAAAAAATACAGTTCTCAATTCCTCATCATTTGCCCCTGCCTATTCATCGCAACAGTAAAATAAAAAGCGAGCAGAAAATTCATCAAAATGCAAAGCCACCCACAGCTCCTTGATTCGATCATACCCTAGCCCTGAAATTCGCTCCAGAACAATCTCTTCACACGCAGGCCACTATTGGTGGGGTGGGGGATCAATCAAACCCCGAAATTGAGGATACCCGAACCAGAATTCAACCAATAGGGAGGTAATATCGGGTAGTTACCGGTGAGCATGATGATGGAGTCGTCGGGGAAGTGGAAGCGCGTCGTGAGGAGGTGGCGCATGCACTTGGCGTCGTTGATGCAACCCTTGAGCTCGTGGCGCGAGAACTTGTAGGAGATCCCGCAGATCACGGCGCGCTTCCGCCCGTGCGCGGGCGGGGGAGGCGGCCCCCACCCCGGCGCCTGGTGCTGGGGCGCCACCGCCCCCGGCCCCGCGGCGCCGCGGGCGGGGTCGCCGTGGGCCGGTGGCGGCGCGGCGGCGGCGACGTAGGTGACGGCCCCGCAGATGGCGCAGCGGATGCAGGGCGCCCCGTGCGGCAGCTGCAGCGGCGTCCGGCAGCCCGAGCAGTCGATCAGCATCATCATCTCTCCGCCGCCGCGGGGTCGCCGCCGCCGGCGAGGAGGGGGGAGGCGAATCGGCGGGTGGATTTGGTTGGCAACGATTTCTTCGTTGGCTCGGCTCGGCTCGTGGTGGAGTCGTTGAGACGCGTCGTGTATTTGCGAGCCCGCAAGACGCGGCAGGTGAAGCCTTCTTCGGGAAGGACGCGGCATCCTACCGTCGATCGAGTCATCGACGGCTCTGATTGAACTGTACCAAAGCTGTCGCTGATGATACAGATCGCTTACGTAAATTTTTGAACGCGGCATTTGACTCCTGACGGACGGCTGAGTAATCCGGTATCATCGCCGTTTCTCATCTCTGATTTTTCTAATTGTTACTTAGCTGAGCAGCATTTGGTTTGAATTTGTAATGCCAATTTATTCTTGGAGTAATCACTATTCGGTTCAGTTTGTATGCTTTAATTAAACAGCAAGCAGCATCGTATGCTATGAATTGTGCTTTGGGTGCGCCAATAATTTCCTTCAAGATGCAAATGCTTGTTGATCAATCCACAATTATTTGGTAGCTCGTGTTTCCAGTCCCCACAAATGATAATGGATTTTGGCATATATTCCTATACCTACTAATGGTAATAGTATAATCCAATGTGCAGTTACACATCAACCACGAAAACAACAGGAGGCATTCCATTCATTCAAGGTCATGGTTATCTTTATGCGTTCAGGTACAAAGTAGTACAGACAATGGCGGGGGCGGCATGCGGTTCCTCCAACCAGCACGGCCGGCACCGTGGAATATGTAGGTTCTATACATGCTTAAAGCCAAGAGACAAAAGGCAACAGAGATTTTGTCTCCTGATGTTGGGGGTGTGTACATCATCGTATCTCTAAACATAGGATGAGTATTACACTGAAGAAGAGAAAAAAAAGAAAGCACGAGAACCCTACTGACCTCGATCAGTTGCCTTCGACAACAGGAAGCTCTCTCTCTCTGCGCAGGAGTTCTGCTGCGTCGCAAAAGACACCACAAAAGATGTATGGAGGGAATGGCGGAAAACTCTGGTTCCGAAGCTCTGCTGCAACGGCAGTCACTCAGGGTATCGCCACGGCCCGATGGGGTGGAGCAACTTCCCCCTGTAGGGAAGCGGAAGGTTGTGTCGGGCGAATTGGTAACAACGCGATGACATCGCGAAGCAGCTTCGTGCCAACCTTATGTTGGCTTTCCTTCTCACACTACTGACAACGGTAGATCATTGCCATTATTTGGCATGCGCTTTTGTGCAGCCTTCACAGCAGCCACCCTGGCTGCATTGGCTGCTTTATTTGCTGAAGCAACGGCCCTGTTCACCTTATCGTCGACTCTTGGGACGTCATAGGCCCTCTCTGCAGCTCTTCTCGCCTCCTGATAGTGCAACATAATCAGAACTTAGAGAGTAGAATTGTACTAAGCAAAAATGGCCAGAGAAACTTTCTGACAGCTAATGGCGTAATAGTGTTCAGGAACATTACCTGCACTGCATTGAGGACCTTGGAATGGTTCACAGCTATAGGGGACCCAGGGATAATGTTTTGGGTGCTCAAGGTGTCAAGAACTCCATTTTGCCAATGGCCTGCTTGTGTCTCTCCATTCCTGAAAGTATACATGCCTAATCCTTGCCTTCTACCCTCATGCCAAGCTCCCTCGTATCTGTGACCATTGGCAAAACTGTAGACTCCGAAGCCATGCATTCTATCAGCAAAGTACTCCCCAGCATAGGTATCGCCATTCCTTGACACAAGTTAACAAAATGTTAGTTCAAAGGTCAACCCAATAAACTTGTACAGGATGCTGCATCGTATAAATAGATATATAGAGCACTAGTGAATCAGGCTAAACTGCAACAATGCATCTATGGCCTATGGGCTATGTGGAAATCTAAACATACAGCTTTTATTAAAATGAATCCGTAGAGAAGAACAAAGTTTCACACGGGAAACTGTAAACAAGGGAAAGATAAGGAAATATACAAACAGATAGTGGTGCTCAAATATGTAGTAGACTGGTACAACTAACATACATCACACACAATATATCATGCTATCTCATAAACTTTGCAAAAAAAAAAATGAATACACCATCAAGTTTTAATTTGGTAGATGGAAGTGAAAAGACTAGGTATAGTATATATATGGATTTTTAATATTCGTCCCTGACACAGGACAACAAAGTAGGATTTCCAAATCCAAACAGCCCGTCATGACATGACACTGTCAACGATGACTAATATAGCTCGTAACCAATCAGACATAAATCAATAAGCATTACGGACATAAATCTAGATAACTAATAACAGAGAATGGATGGCCAAATCCCGCACGGTTAAACGATGCAGCATAAATAAAAGAGAACATCAATCATATTAGTATTAGCGATACCAAAAGACTGCTTGCATTAGATATTTAGATTGAAGCTACAACTAAGAATGAACCAACAATTACCCTAATCAACAAATACAGAATGATCCCCAACAACGAGAAACAGATTTAGCTTTAGAAGAGCTATATGCCAGAAGCTAAACCAACAGAGGAGAGGACCCTGTTTTCCATTTCAGATTATCACTAATTCACTACTTGGATACACATGGGATTATGGTAGGAAGTCAAACAATCAAGACAGATATAATACAACAGAGAGATGAGAGATATATGGCTGGAAAGAACCAAAAATGGAAACTAATGGAATAAGCAAAATGCAATGGATCAAATTAGACATCCAGTATTCCACATGTGAAATAACTAGTGCTCAGCTTGACCAGTGCAAATTTGCACGAGATCAGCTTCTAACAGCATATCAACAATCCAGGAAGAAATGGAACAGGAGGACAGCTAAGCATGCTCACAAAACACAGCTAGACTAGCATAAACAGGCAAATCATCACTTGTTTTAACTTTAAAAACGTCTTCTAGAAGAATATAGGCATGCATTAAGTGTAAAAAAAAGCTTGCTTTCTGATAAGTGATAACAAAAAATGATGTGTATTAGTAGACTGAGGTGGTAAAAGTATCAGTTTTCCCTACAGCTCTAACTTTTATCTCTATAGTTGGTAATCTGCTCTGCTTCACCAAATTGATTTCCTACCTAATGATATAGGCTGAGAACATAAAGGAACACCTTATATTCTGATTCATGAGCAGGGCAGAGGGTAAAAAAATACAGGGTCGTTGGAGGCTATACCCTAGTGATAATTACAACTTTTTCAGAATCTACCATAAATGGCAAAAGTAAATTCCAAGTTGGATCTTTCAGAAGAAGGTACCACTACCAGCCCAACATTTCATCTCTCCCTTGTAAACAATAAGCTAATGGAAGTCATTCCCTTTGATCAAATGAAGCATTCACATTTAATACATTATCTACTAGGGTTAGGAAAAGCTCTAAAATTCAGTGCATATAAAGCAACATAGTAGACAACTACATAGATAATAGAGAATCTAACGTTCTGCTCAACTTCACAAGATCTAAAATTTAAGCAACACCTAACTTACTGGTATAAGCAGATAAGGTTCGAAGATAAAACTGTGTTATAAGTTATAACCAATTACAAGATACTTGTTTGGATACACAAATCCACAAGGATGGGAATAATTTAGCAATCGCTGGTGCAAAACACCAAAACCATGCTAATTTCACTCTTATCATATACTGTGGTTAAACAATCATGCATTTGCCTAATTTGACATTACCACTAAACATTTTGCAACATCCATATCTATTTGACTGACCAATGATGGATCATAAACATGCTCTTAACTAGTTGCAACAGCTAATTTCACAACAATGACAAATTCTCTAGCAGGCAGCAGCAAATGAAATATATAAGTTCAGTCCCACACCTGAAATGGTAGTGGCCAAGTCCATGCTTGACACCCCTCTTGAATTCCCCAATGTAGCGGCTGCCATCCTCGCAGGTGTGCACGCCATACCCATGGCTCTGCCCATTGGACCATTCTCCGGCGTACACATCCCCGGTGTAGAACCTGTATACGCCGTGCCCGTGCCTAAGCCCTTGCCGGTACTGGCCCCTGTACCGGCTTCCCCTGGCCCAGGTCTCGACGCCATAGCCGTCGTACTTGCCGTCGATCCAGTCCCCCTCGTACCTGCCACTCATGTAGTAGTAGTAGACGCCGCTGCCGGTGCAGCGGCCGCGGTTGAACTGGCCCTCGTAGACATCGCCGTTGCTGTAGACCTGGACGAAATGGCCGGTGGTGGGGGCGGAGGCGGAGGCGGAGGGCGAGGAGCCGATGGACCAGAGGATGGGGGATCGGCGCGGGCGGCGGAGCGGGAGGGGGAAGGGGAGCGGGAAGGGGAGGCGCGGGAGGGAGAGGCAGAGGAGGAGGAGGAGCGCGCAGGAGAAGGCGGCGGCGGAGAGGAAGTCGGCGAGGAGGGAGCGCGGGAGGATGGCCGGGGATGGGGAGAGGAAGTAAAGGGTCGGGAGGGAGAGGAGGAGGAGGAGGCGGAGGCGGAGGTGGAGGCAGCGGAGGAGGTGCCTCGCCGCCGCCGCCGCCGCGGCGGGCGCGGGCGACGCCGCGGCGGGGGCGACCTTCCGGCGGTGCCGCGACGGCGCGAACGGCGACGGCGACGGGGACGGCCTGGTCGGGGTGGACGAGGCCGAGGAGGAGGTCATGACGGGGCGCTTGTGAGGGGTGGAGGGGAGCGCATGGTGGGGGCTGGAGGGGATGTGGATGCGGAGGGCGGGAGGGGGCCCGAGGTGGTTGGGATCGGAGGAGGGGGGAGGGTCGGCGGCGGCCGCGTCCGGTGATGCGGCGGCGGGGGCGACGACGGGGAGGTGGTGGTGGTGGTGCATCTAATTGGGATCAATTCGGCCGGGATTGGGGGTTGCTTCGCCGGCGAGGGAGAAGGCGACATGGGGTGGGGGTGCGTGGCGAGGCGGAGGCGTGGGTGGGGGTGGGGGCAGCCGCCTCGCGCTTTTCTCTCTTTTCTGCACCGATTTTTCCGGGTCTCTCTCTCTCTCTCTCTTTTTTTCTTTTTTTTTCCTCTCTTGTTTGTTCTCCTCCTCCCTGAGTTCCCGCTGGTTCTTTTTCCCCTCTTGTTCGATGTTTTTTAAACGAATTTATTCAAATTCAATTCTCCTCTGAAAACTACGAATTGATTGTGATTTTTTCCCCCTTTGTTCTAGCTTTTAACATAATTCAAATTGAATTTGAATTTGAATTTCCCACAACAAGTTGATTCTGTTTAAACCTGTGATAGAAAATGATTATTTTACCCTAAAAAAGAAAATGATTATTTAAATTGGAACAATCATTTGTGTAGAGTAGCACTATACGACATGTCGTCTTCTTGAAGTTATTTAAATAAGGGTGACTAGGAAAATTAAATGTTTTTTTCTTGTTTAAATGTCTTTGTCTTGCTCCACTTGTAGTTGTAGTTGTCGCCCTTAGCTCTAATTTAATGTCATTTGTTGTTTTTGCTGATTAATGAGCAAATTTATTATTTTGCTCGTGTAGTTTTATAGCTTTAACGTTCATAAGCATTAAAATAGGATCAAATGAAGATATAACTAAGTTAACTAGTAATTTATTTACTTTTGCTTGCATAAACAAGGTAATATAACCTTGAGAGAGAGACCAAATGCTTGGAGTCAATAAACATTGAAAGATGAGAGAGGTGGGTATATAGGATAATAAACTAAACATACTACCCATGCTACTCTATTAAAATATGACGAAGCTATAAACCAACACATCCAACACTGCAAAAAAAAATGTAACGTCAACATATATCAAAATTTGGCGTTTTAACAAGGTTGATTTTGGCAACATATCGAACAGTCCTGAAATATGTACATTTTTTTTATAATCAAAAGGAACGACCAAGAGGATAAGGCACACACTAGCAATCTTGGGCGCCCACCATTCCACAGTTAGTAATAGTATGTTTTAACACTCTAATAATGGCACTCAGCAGCTAACAAAGTATTGTTAGAACTTTTTTTTTCTTTTTGCTTGTGGTTTATAGATACATAAGCAGTGCATGAAGAGTGGTGTGCGGAGAGGACCAGCACAAGGATCGGAAGTAGACGAGGACGACGACAGGCAGCTACAAGTTGCAAGCAGCCGCCTCCCCTCCTATTTCCGTGTGCTTCGCTTGCGGCTCTGCTTACCTTGGATCTGTCTGTCTAATCTCTCTCTCTCTCTCTCTCTCTCTCTCTCTCTCTCTCTCTGTGCAGCAACAAGGAAAACCAAGGACTAATGGCCAGAGTTAGAATTAGACCCTAGAAAAGTGGGTCCTTGACCACTTTTCCCAAGTAGTTGATCCTCATCATTTTGATCTAGACCTTGTTCAATTCCAAAAAAAGGTCTTTCAAAGTTCTACAAGGCACAATAAAATTTCGCAGAAAACTGATCGAATTGTATCATACAAATATCCACATGTTCTTCCCAAGGATATTCTTGGGCATTCTCTCACTCTCAAATGATTGTGTTGCTGACCGCGATCTAAATAATCTACAGACAATTTGGGTGAAAATTCGGTGCACACTGCCATACTGGGAGCGTCACCACGTCAAAACAAAGGACATGGCGCATGTATGCACGCATGAAATGTGTAATCTCGTCGTCGGCTCGACAGAGACGCAGGGGGGGAAAAACGCCGCGAGATGCTGATAAGTCGATTCAGATCGGCATGCTTATCCACATGACCACAACAACGACATGATCCTACGTGTGTTTAATGATTAATGATTAATATTCAAGCTTTCAGGGTGTCAGGAATCAGAATATTTTAGTTACAGTATATTCCAGTGCTAACAAAAGAAGGCACCATATAGCAGTATGACTAAAACTAAGGTGGTAATAATAACCCAGAAAAATCGAAGAACAAGTTGATGGCAACACGTGTGAAACAAAAGGCACGGGAACAAATAGTAGACAAATGTAGATGCCATGGTTATGAAAATATACTGGATGAATAAAAGAATGCCCAGTAGACAAAACTTTGAGAAAAAAAAGGTTGCAAGAAGAAGCAACCCAAGAAGCGATCAATCATTAAGCAAATACCGAATAATTTTTTGCTTACTAGTGTCACGATGTTACCCAGTGAGAGTAAAGTCCGAAGTCTGGGGGGAAAATCCATATAATATAACCCGAAAAGCATGCGGATTAACATAATTTGATACAGTGAGACAACCTAGGATCACAGAATTAACAGTACAAAAACAGATACAGTTGCTCGGCAATTACAGCGAGATTCAAGCTCACATGTTCTCACATCAACAGACCGCAATAATTTCGGGCCACAATGTTCTCTCCCTAAAAACTAGGTAAAAACAAGCAGCAGCTTACCGTACAAGTTTGTCATGACTGCTTGTGAAGTTTGAAGCCAAAAACTTTTGGAACATACTGCTGAGATGGCTTTTGTGGCTTCAAGTGTGGATATGTCATCAGGAAGAGATGTGGGAATGTTGTCCCAAAGTACGCTCCGTCAATGTCTTAGCAAAGTAAAGGAGATACAAGTGCAAGAAAAATAGTAACACAATATTCATGATAGCACAAAATCAATGTTTGTTTACCCATGGTTATGTTCCAAACAAATCTAATCAAATTGTATGAGTCGCATAAAAAAAATAAAGGAAAACCATGTTTGAATGAGAATCCTCTACACAGAGCCCCTTTTCAAGTGCTGCCTAAAAACCAACCTATAACTTGGAGAAACTGAGAGTGGTGAAATCCATTACAGGTGGCATAAAAACTCAGTAGTTTGATTTTTTAAAGGATGTGTTTTAGAGAGCAGCACAAATGGGTCATGTATTCATAATTCTGCCTATGTTCGTGTTGTGCTTTGCTTTAGCTGTTGCGAATAATAAGTCTGATTCTGCTTAGGAAATCACAATTTCTAATTTATGCCCTATCAGATATCACCTCGTTTTTAACTCCATATATGAGTACAATTTATTAAGAAAAAAAGCAGTTCATATAAAACACATCTAAGACAAACAATCAAAAGGATACTGCCTTGGTACTTGGATCTTGGATAATGTAAATCTTCACATTTTGGACAGTATATCTTCACTGTGCTAGACCTAGGAATATCTGATTGCCCTGCAGGAAGACAGGGTTGGCCACAACAGTATACCCGGGGGCATCTTCCAAAGTCATAGTTCTTGAACTTCTCCAACTGCAGAAGGCAAAAGCAGAATAATTTAGTATTCAAGTAGTCAAGGAAGCAAGCATAGCCTATCAAATATGGTCAAACTGCTAGCAGATTACCATTGCAGCCAGACCCTTGCTGGTTAAGATATATCTTGCATGAATTAATCCATACAGCATCTCTGCAGATGACTCAATTAATTCATTTTGCTCCTCAGTGAACACATCACCTGTATACAAATGGTCTGACTTAGAAGGGTGTATGTGTATACAATACATGTTTCAGACTTTGAACTGTGGAATGTTTATAAATAGGTTATTGGAAATGGCTCCTTTAGAAAATGAGATTGATGAACATAAAAAAGTATGTTAGGATACAAAGTGGTATGAAAAATATAGGTTGCAGCTAGTGACATTCATAAATGGTATATGAACAGTGTATTTTACTGCAAATAATGAATTAGTAGCTTTCTTAAGAGAAAAATAATCTCACCATTAGAAGACTCGATGTCTAAGATAAGATCAAGTGCATAGTCATAATATGGCACCTGATTGCTCAGACCACAAAGGTTGAAATCATCCTGTATATAATCATCATCGATCTCACAGAAGAACTCATTGCCGCGCAAACTGCAGAACCATGAAATCCAAGATGTGTCCTCTCCCTCAGAACCACTGACATCTGAATCTTCACTGTCAGTTTCAAATTCTTCTGCTGCACCCAAAAGAAAAAAGGGATTAGAGGCACCTAATGATGATTAAAAAATTACATATTAATAATTGCAGTTACTGCAGTAAAGCAATAGTCACAAGTAATACCCTGCCAAACAATATTATGAATTTCAAGTGTATAATAAAAGCAAGCAGTTTTCTTACAGATTGAAAAACCACAAACATTCATATCGATGCACAGAGAAATTAAAGAAACATTCATATCACTGCACAAACATTCATATCACTGTAAAACTAAGTTCAGTGTAGTTTGATATAACATCCCCAAGAGTTTCTATGGTTTCCAAGTCAAAGTAACCTCCTACCCCCTCCTTCATAACTCATTAAAGAAGGTGTTGTTGGAGTACTAAGATGCTAGTCCTAGGTTCAATCTTCTGCTTGCTGGTGCTCTACTTATCTATTGTGCAATCTATCCTCTTCTTTTGGTGCTATTATGATGTACCAGTTTCTGTTCACATCAACCACACAATAGGTGTGTTACCGCCCTGGTTGCATATCAAGCGAAATTGACAAACAAAATGGTCAAAGTGAAGCAGCATGTTCAGTGAGTCATCAGTGGAGGCACTGGAATAGTTCCCTTTTCAATTCAAACAAAAAGAGAGTCTTCCTGTGTGATCAGATCATGACGGCTCTACACGTGCAAACATCGGTCAAACTGGAATGTATGACACAAATGGAAACAAAAGAGTTGAGATCAATCAATGCTGCCTATACCCCAACTCCCCAAGTGCTATGCCATCACATTTGGTTCCTCCCGGTTCTTATTATGGAAACTGATCACTCAAAAACTACAATTAATTACCGCTGCCCACTGGCTACAGATATAACTGTAAGCTTGCAATTATGCCCCTTTTTTGGTTCAACATGAGCTGTGAAATGTATAAAGACATTATCAGTTGGTCGAGGACATTGATGCCCAGACCGCCCAAGTTCAAGTCCTCATCGAAGCGAATTCAGGTGCCTATTTCTTCTTAAATAAAAAAGGCACCTAGTTCCCCCTAGGTTGGTCAAGTTTTTGAGAACATGCTTATAGCACGGCAGCAAGTCCTCCAGTTGTGAAGTTGTCAACCAGGGTTTCAACCCTGGTTCTCACAAACAAAAGGACCCTCGGTGTGTGGTCCCTAAAGTATGGGTTAAGATACGGCTTGTGGCAATGGAGCCCTTGTACAAGCAAGAGCCGGCTTTCAGGGCCTTTTCTTCGACCTTAAGTGTAATGCCTTCGGGATGTCTCTCCCCTTGGGTCGAGTTTTTATCATTTGTCACTACACAGCTGAAAGTTATTTCAACACTGTATATATTACAGCTAATGACATGCCCAAAATTCCAATAGAGTAATTGACATCTGAAAGCAAAATAAATGTTCTACAGAGACAAAAACCAATAAAGTAAGGAAGCAAATGGAGGATTTTTCATGCCAAACGAGTTCCTCATAAAGCAGTAACCTATCAAGGCACTAATATAACATCATGACATCATGTTAATGCTTTTAGCAATTGCTCTTTGCCTTCAATATCATGTTAGTCTCACAGATAGAGAAATTCTTCAGATCTCCACTGGCCCCAAAGACAAACAAACAATACAATATGACTGAAACTATTCAAGACATTGGGTCATCTCATATAGAAGGTCCTTCAATTGGACATGTTAGTTTTCTCTTCTGAGATTTGTTAGGGCTACATATGGATGCCGTTGCCAGTTCAGTCCTATGTTACAGTACATCAACATATAAAGGGGGCTGCTAAACATTCGATAAATTCAATATTATCCTGTTAAGACGACTGTATGCAAAATGGCATTCACGCGTCTCAAACTCTTCGCTACCTCTTTAACTCATCGCATTAATTGCCACTGCAACAAAAATACATTGCTCTAATTGTGTCTCATGCATACCTAATTAAACAGCCACTGCCATGGTAGAATAACTACCAGTCCAAAATTCCATTCCATGTGGCCAGTTACCCTAATGCCTCGCAAAAACCAACTTGCCTAAGAATTCTATATCATAAGGTGCCCTAACCCATACTTGCCTACGTTTATTGTAGCTTCTGTCATCTGATTCTTTCACCATTGCATGCTTTGACTGCATTAAGACCCTACTTTGACCGGCTTCTCATAAACTTCCAGTGCACGTTTATTTATTTAGTAATTGTTACTGCTTCTAGAACCAGCATCTAAAAAGAAGGTCGCCACATACAAGGAACAGGTGCCCCAACCTTGTACCGCTTAGCCGTACAAGTGGTCGATTATACCGCATAAGCGTCTGACTATGCCGCATAAGTGCTACAATATGGGGTGACCGCACAAAACTACATACCGCTTTTTAAAACATTGTTTAGAACTAACCGATGTTTCGTGAACATATTTAAGTCATAACATCAATTAATGCAGTACGTGGGATGGTATTCACGTGAAGTTCAAACAGAAATGTAGAACTTCGCTTACTTCAGCTCCAGTTAATGCGGTGAACATCCAGACTCTTACATCCCATTTCATCCATCGGAGAAAGTATACAGAAGCCTACGTTATCACGACAGCGCACCAAATTTCACCCTAAGATTCTACCCGAGAAACAAACAGAAGCTGCATCATCATCTAACCAAAGCAGGCAAAGACCTGAGGCAATGTAGCACCAGACGCCACCAACCCCAACCACCGTCAAAACAAACAGCACACAACCCCTCGCGCGGAACAAACAAACCACCAGATCCTTACCACCATCGGAGACCTTCCCGGCCTTGCCGAGCGGCGCGGGCAGCTTCCCCCCTGCGGCGGCGAGGCGGTCCCTCTCCTTGGCCACCGCCGCCCCCCTGGATGTGGACGGGGACGACCTGTCCAGGTGCTTCTCGAGCACGTCCTTGATGCGCTTCCGGTCCATCTCCGCCGCCGCGCCGCCGAACCCCCGATCCCTGTACGCGCCGCTCATACCCTACCTACGGCGGCGCGCCCCTGCCACAGCCTCCGCTCTCTCGCAACCCCCTGAGGGCGAGCCGGCGAGGGCGGCGCTCGCGGGCGGGGCTAGGGTTTGGCGCAGGATCGAGGTGAAGAGATCGGAGTGGTGACGAGGCGGGGAAGAGGAGGACAGCGAGAGCGAGAGAGGGAGCCCGTGTGCGTGCGTGAGGTGGGTGGGCGGCCGCTGTAATTACGAAAAGAGCCCGGGGGTTTCCCGCAAAAATGACGCCCCAACTCGGCGCAGATATTTTTAACCCCGCCTCTTTCTGTCGTGGAGGCCGGGGGTGTTTTCGGGATTTCCTCCCGGTCGGTGTCGGCTGCTCCTGCTGGGCTCAGGTTAGGCCCACATACTTTGCTTCATGGGCCAAGAAAGCCCAACTACCATGCATTTTTTTTACCTTTTCCCCCTTTTTTAACTTTCCGCAACACTCTACGAGAAGCCATCATCATGGTTAAAACAAAAAAGAGACAGTACTATACAGAACAACACAAAGGGTGGTTCCAGATAGACAGAAGATTTTCCACTCATGTTTGGAAAACTAGGTAAATACTGTATATCTCTACGGGGACAAGGATAAGATGTTATAGTTGGCAAAGACCTGAAAACTGCAAACCCAAACATACAAATGTTACATTCCGAATCTAATCAACAACACTAAAACAACAACGCTAATATCCTGTGCGACGACATCATCAATGAAGTTATACGCTTCCAAGCTGCTGCGCAATTATATTCCTTGTATGATAATAGCACCTGCGAATGTTCTGCCTCTTTCACTCATAAATCAACTCCTTTTGTTTTTGTTAACTGTACACCGGTAACAGAAACACGATCATGTGACGAGATCATCAACCTCAGAATTGAATACAAAACTGGGAAATGTGGTTGTTATGTCCCTGAAAAATGCAAGCAACAATGTTTAGAAATGATGTTATCTGCAGCATGTCAAATGTTCATGGAAAGTGCAAGAATGTTTGTAAGTAGTCTAGCAATCTACCACACTGAAACCAAATATCTACAGAGATTTACATAGTTGATCTCTTTTTGCAAGTTTTAGATGACTGAAATAGAAATATAGGTCAAACAATTTATTACTGCGATAAATAAATGTCTCATGGCAACTATATAGCACTATTTAACATGAGTCACATTTAGAAGTTGATGAATTATGCATACCTTACCCAATTTACGCCCCACCCAACCCTCCTCTAATTCCACACATGCCTAGATTGTGAAAGTTCTTTGTCTATCTTATCTTTTTTTAGCTAGCATAGGCTAAAGTCTTTGGTAATCGGAGTGGCACCAATAATTTCTATAGTATTGGAGATAAACATAGCAGCAGTAAAACACATACATATTTCTATTTTCTGTCATACTCGCTTGAGGAACGAAAGAGTCATAGATCGCGAAAGTTCATTTGTCTATCTTATCTTAGATGGCACAGACCTCAGTCAAGCTTTGGAAATTAGAATGACACCATTAACTTCTTTGAATATGGGAGATAAAGATAGTAGCAGTAAACCGCTTCCATATAAGTATTCTCTGCAATACTCACTTGAGGTGTGAGTGTCGTAGCTTACAAAAGTTCAGTCTATCTTATCTTTTCTTAGATGGCATAGGCCTAAGCTTTGGAAATTGGAACAGCACCACTAATTTCTTAGAGCATGGAAGATAAACATAGTAGCAGTAAAATGTGTCCATATTTCTATTCTCTGTTATACTCACTTGAGGTACGGAAGAGTCATTATCTTCAATAAAGAGGGATTCCTTGAGACAAAATTCTCCCACTCTGTTCTATCTATTCTCCCATCCTGATTAGTATCAGCATCTGAAAACGTCTGCCATTAACCACATAAGTCATTGTAAGTCTTAACTCTGTCATAAGACACCAGAATTACGTACATTTTAACTACATTTTTTTAATCAAATGTCCAAACCTTGTCAAGGATTGTCTCAATAATCTCATCAGATAATCTCATTTCTGATTCACCTAGAAGAGCAATCAACATCTGTTTTACCTGTACAAGAGAATAAGAATAGAAATTTTAGTTACCAACGAACAATAGGATGTATGTTAAAGCATGTCGTAAATATGTTACTTCAGAGGTAAAGAAGTTTGCTTACAAACCACTGGATTACCACCAATACATATCTTTGGCATAACCATTTTATTAAATTCCGAATCAGAAAACAGTTGGCATATGCAGAATCATAGGCCCAGAAATAGTAAGACATTACCTCCTTTCGTTCAATAAACCCAGTGTTGTCCATATCATATAGCTTGAAGGAAACTGTCCAAGGGGTCAATCATTTAGGAAGTGAAATTATGGTATCAACGAAGTTGAGATAAAACAGAATGGCAATAACTTACAATCAATTTTCTCTTCCATTGGGATGTTTGGATGAAATACATTTAAAGCTCGAACAAAGTCACCAAAGTCGATGACCCCCCTTTTCTTCACATCAAAAAGGTCAAATATCTGCAAGGTCCATTCTGTGTAAATTTCAAGTGATAGAATAAGGTTGTGCCTGAAAGCACTCAGAATATTTACTAACAGAACCTAAGTGAGAATGGTTGATAAGGAGATGGATACCCGATTAGCGAAAAGATTTTCCTTCCTTTTGTTTTTAAACAATGCAAGTTGGAACTCTTCCTGCATAGCAAAATGATGTCAGGTATTAATTATAATAATTTCATCGGAATCGCAAAATAACTTTCGACATATTTTTTTGGACAAATCTGTCAGTTTTGGGGTCGTACGATGTGCTCTGAGATTCGTGCTAGGAAGGGGGAAAAAATTCCGCATGCTGTAGCTGCTGGGTATCGAACCCCAGGCGCAAGGATATCATGCGTGCGCACTTCCCCACTGAGCTATGGTGTATTTACATACCACTTACACCCTAGTTATATTGTAATTACATGCTGGTTACGTTGCAATTGTAGGAATAAGTCTTGGCTGGTTGGTCTTGGTCTTGTGGTGCCTTTTTTCCTGTTTTTCAGCTTTCTAGGACAGCATCTCTACTTTCAGTTTGGATGCTCTAGGACAGTTAGGACAGCAGTTTGTTGAGATGCTCTAGGACAGTTTGTTGGGATGCTCTGCTCTAGGACAGTTTGTTGGGATGCTGACAGCACCCTCTTAGACTAGCATGGCTGCATGGCTGCTACAAGCAGCTATAAATATGTATCCAATCCTCTTTGGGAGGATATGGCTTTTGTGTTTAGTGAATGAAGAAAACCAAAAAATTGCCCCATCTCGAGTGCCATCCTCTTCTCAATGAGAGTAACCATTGAAATTCTAACATCTGGTATCAGAGCCACACTTTCCTGTAGGCTAAACATCTCTTGTTCCACCCCTTCCCAAGCTCGGTTGAGCTCTCAGCCAGCAGCAGCAGCAGCACCGGTTGCTCCTCCTTCCCCTTTCCCTTCCCCCTCTCCACACAGCAGCCCCCCGGAGGTGCGCCATGTCCGACGCTCGGTCTCAGCGTTCGGTCGCCTCGAGCACTCGGCGTCAGCAGGACGCCGAGCTCGCCGCAGCAAAAGAGCGCAGGCGAGCAACGGCTCAGACCGCTGCAGCAGCAGCGAGGGCGGCCAGACTGGCGGCAGCGGAGTTGGCAGCAGCCAGGGCGGAGGCGGAGGCGGAGGCGGCGGAAGATGCGGCACGTGCGGCGGAGGTAGAGGTTGAGACCTTGCGCAGCAGCATCAACGGCTCCATCGCCGGCGACATCACCGCTGACAGGGAGCTTGAGGAGCTGGCAAGAGGAAGGGCACGGGAGCGAGCAGAGCGGTGGGCAGCAGCCCACCTCCACGGCGGCGGCGGCGGCCCAAGGGACCGCGCGCCCGCCGACGGGAACCCAGACGGGCGCGGGCGTGCCGGCGGCAGCCCGGAGCCCGCACGCGGCCCTCGCAGGCGGCACGGCTCCCTCTCCCCTGACCGGCGCCATGGTCACCACGGCGTCCAGACGGTGGTCAGGGATTTTGGTCCCGGCGGTGGGTGGCCTACCCTCACCAAAACCAACTACATCGAGTGGGCCGCGGTGATGAGGGTGAGGCTCCAGGTGCGGCACATGTGGGAGGCAGTCCGGTACGGTGACGTCGACTACGACGAGGATCGGCGGGCACTGGATGCCCTCATCGCTGCAGTTCCGCCCGAGATGCAGTTCTCGCTTTCCCAGAAACGGACTGCCAAGGAGGCCTGGGACGCCATCGCTGCGGCACGCATCGGCAGCGACCGCGCCCGCAAGTCCACACTGCAGGCACTCCGCAAGGAGTGGGAGAACCTGGCCTTCAAGCCAGGTGAGGATGTTGATGACTTTGCTCTCCGTCTCAACACTCTCTTGCAAAAAATGGTGCAGTACGGCGACGACACCTACGACGAGGAGAGAGCTGTCGAGAAGCTCTTCCGCTGCGTCCCTGAGAAGTACAGGCAGATCGCTCGCTCGATTGAATCTCTGCTGGACCTCTCCACGATGTCGATCGAGGAGGCGTTAGGTCGCCTCAAGGTCGTCGATGGTGATGAGCCACGGCCTCTCTCGGGGCCCATCACCATCGGCGGGAAGCTCCATCTCACTCGGGAGCAGTGGGAGGCCTCTCAGGGTGACGGGAGGAAGGGGGAGTCATCTTCCCCGACAGGCGGCCGTAAGCCGCGCAAGGCGCGGGGAGGTGTCCAGCTACGGTGGGCGCGAAGACGTGCCGAGGGTGGCGCCCGCAGAGGCGCCCAGGGCGTTGCCACCGGCAACCACAAGCCGGCACGAGACGACACCTGCCGCAACTGTGGCAAGCTTGGCCATTGGGCCAAAGACTGTCGACAGCCACGACGCGGCCAGGCCCACGTCGCACGGGTGGAGGAGGAAGAGTCGGCTCTGCTCCTAGCTCACGCAAGCATCGAGCTACCTCCAGCGGCACCGGCCGCAGCGGCTTTCCTCCACCTTGATGAGCCGAAGGTACTCGTCTCCCTCTGCGACGGCTCCAGCAACGACAAGGCTGATGGGTGGTACCTCGACACCGGCGCCACCCATCACATGACCGGCCGACGGGAGTTCTTCACCGAGTTCGACTCCAGCGTCCGAGGCACCGTCAAGTTCGGGGACGCCTCCGGCGTGGAGATCAAGGGTGTTGGCTCCGTCACCTTCACCGCCAAGTCCGGTGAGCACAGGCTGCTCACCGGAGTCTACTACATCCCCGCGTTGAGGAATTCTATCATCAGCGTGGGACAGCTGGATGAGAACGGCTCACGCGTGTTGGTCGAGGACGGACTCATGAGGATTTGGGATCGCCGTCGTCGCCTTCTTGCCAAGGTAACCAGAGGCACTAATCGACTCTACATCCTCAGCGCGCAAGTCGCACATCCAGTTTGCCTCGCCGCTCGTCGGGACGACGAGGCGTGGCAGTGGCACGAGCGCTTCGGGCACCTCCACTTTGAGGCCCTGAAGCAGCTCAGTGCCAAGGAGATGGTGCGAGGCATGCCGTGCCTTGACCACGTGGAGCAGCTCTGCGACGTCTGCGTGGTGACAAAGCAGCGGCGGCTCCCCTTTCCCCAGCAGACGAGCTTCCGAGCCAAGGAGCGGCTCGGGCTCGTGCACGGGGACTTGTGTGGCCCAGTGACACCGGCCACACCAGGAGGACGACGTTATTTCCTGCTGCTCGTCGACGACCTCTCCCGCTACATGTGGGTGATGGTCCTCGGCAGCAAGGGAGAGGCTGCGGACGCCATCAGGCATGCGCAGGCTGCAGCAGAGGCGGAGTGCGGCCGCAAGCTGCGCGTGCTGCGCACCGACAACGGCGGCGAATTCACGGCGGCTGAATTCGCGTCGTACTGCGCTGATGAGGGCATTCAGCGCCACTACACCGCGCCGTACAGCCCACAGCAGAACGGCGTCGTCGAGCGGCGCAACCAGACGGTTGTGGGGATGGCTCGGGCCCTCCTCAAGCAGAGGGGGATGCCGGCCATCTTCTGGGGGGAGGCGGTGGTGACGGCCGCCTACATCCTCAACCGCTCGCCTACCAAGGCCCTCGATGGCAGGACACCGTACGAGGCTTGGCATGGGCGCAAGCCGGCGGTCTCCCACCTGCGGGTCTTCGGCTGCCTCGCGTTCGCCAAGGAGCTTGGCCACATCGGCAAGCTCGACGACAGGAGCACCCCAGGGGTGTTCATCGGCTACGCGGAGGGCTCGAAGGCCTACCGCATCCTCGACCCGGAGACACAGCGTGTGCGCATTACGCGCGATGTTGTGTTCGACGAAGGGCGAGGGTGGGTATGGGACAAGGCGGTGGATGATGGTTCGACTCCGACGTACGACGACTTCACCATCGAGTACGTCCACTTCGAGGGAGCTGGGGGAGTAGGCAGCTCTTCTTCACCGAGCGTGTCTACCCCAGTCCCCGAGCCTCCACCGACTCCAACACCAACACACCCTCGGGCCACGACTTCGACTACGACGAGCTCGTCGTCGACACCACCCCAGCCGGTGTCCCCACACGCTCCAGCACCAACAGCCACTCCTCCGGGCACGTCTACTCCGACGCCAGCTCGTGTTGAGCGCAGCCCGGTGGAGTTCGTTACTCCGCTCTCCCACGACGGGGAGCGCATCGACGCGTACCATGACGGCGAGCAGCTACGGTACCGTACGATGGAGGATCTTCTCGGCGACCAGCCGGTGCCGGGACTGGTGCCTCGCAACCTGGAGGCGCAGTTGCACCTTGCGTGCGACGACGGTGAGCCTCGGTCTTTTGCAGAGGCCGAGAAACACGCGGCATGGCGTGCCGCGATGCAGTCGGAGATGGACGCGGTTCAGGAGAACCGCACCTGGGAGCTTGCTGACCTCCCTCGTGGTCACCGCGCGATCACCCTTAAGTGGGTGTTCAAGCTGAAGAGGGATGAAGCCGGAGCCATCGTCAAGCACAAGGCTCGCTTGGTGGCACGCGGTTTCGTGCAGCAGGAGGGGATCGACTACGACGATGCCTTCGCTCCCGTGGCACGGATGGAGTCCGTGCGACTCCTTCTTGCGCTGGCTGCTCAGGAAGGCTGGGGCGTCCATCACATGGACGTCAAGTCGGCGTTTCTAAACGGCGACTTGAAGGAGGAGGTCTACGTGCACCAGCCGCCGGGATTTGTGATCCCCGGCAAGGAGGGCAAGGTGCTACGCCTGCACAAGGCCCTCTACGGCTTGCGGCAGGCACCGAGGGCGTGGAATGCCAAGTTGGATTCCACGCTCAAGGGGATGGGCTTCGAGCAAAGCCCGCACGAGGCGGCCATCTACCGGCGGGGCAATGGAGGAAATGCCTTGCTGGTGGGTGTCTACGTCGACGACTTAGTGATCACCGGCACCAAGGATGCAGAGGTCGCGGCGTTCAAGGAGGAGATGAAGGCCACCTTCCAGATGAGTGATCTGGGGCCTCTCTCCTTCTACCTGGGGATCGAAGTGCACCAGGACAACTCCGGGATCACGCTTCGACAGACCGCCTACGCCAAGCGCGTCGTTGAGCTGGCTGGGCTCACCGATTGCAACCCAGCTCTCACTCCGATGGAGGAGAGACTGAAGCTGAGCCGCGACAGCACAGCGGAGGAGGTGGATGCTACACAGTACCGACGTCTTGTGGGGAGCCTTCGCTACCTCACCCACACACGGCCGGACTTGGCCTTCTCCGTCGGCTACGTCAGTCGGTTCATGCAGCGACCGACGACGGAGCACCAGCAGGCTGTGAAGAGGATCATCCGCTACGTTGCGGGGACTCTCGACCACGGTCTCTACTACCCGAGGTGTCCTGGCAAGGCACACTTCGTCGGGTACAGCGACAGCGACCACGCCGGCGACATCGACACCAGCAAGAGCACGAGCGGGATTCTCTTCTTCCTCGGCGAGTGCCTCGTTAGCTGGCAGTCAATCAAGCAGCAGGTGGTGGCCCTGTCCAGCTGCGAGGCCGAGTACATGGCGGCATCCGCCGCTTCGACCCAGGCGCTCTGGCTTGCTCGACTGCTTAGTGATCTCCTCGGCAGAGATACTGGAGCGGTGGAGCTCAGGGTGGATAGCAAGTCCGCTCTGGCCCTGGCAAAAAACCCCGTTTTTCACGAACGGAGCAAGCACATCCGAGTGAGGTACCATTTCATCCGAAGCTACTTGGAGGAAGGGAGCATCAAGGCGAGCTACATCAACACCAAGGACCAGCTTGCGGATTTGCTCACCAAACCCCTTGGGAGGATCAAGTTCCTTGAGCTTTGCTCCCGGATCGGGATGGCTCAACTCTCCCACAAGACGGCGCACAAGACTTAGGGGGAGAATGTAGGAATAAGTCTTGGCTGGTTGGTCTTGGTCTTGTGGTGCCTTTTTTCCTGTTTTTCAGCTTTCTAGGACAGCATCTCTACTTTCAGTTTGGATGCTCTAGGACAGTTAGGACAGCAGTTTGTTGAGATGCTCTAGGACAGTTTGTTGGGATGCTCTGCTCTAGGACAGTTTGTTGGGATGCTGACAGCACCCTCTTAGACTAGCATGGCTGCATGGCTGCTACAAGCAGCTATAAATATGTATCCAATCCTCTTTGGGAGGATATGGCTTTTGTGTTTAGTGAATGAAGAAAACCAGAAAATTGCCCCATCTCGAGTGCCATCCTCTTCTCAATGAGAGTAACCATTGAAATTCTAACAGCAATTACACTATTATTGTGTTGTAGTTACGGCATATTTTTGGGGGGATTTTATGTCGAACGTTAGATAGGTAGTCCCTAATTTCATACCGTGAATTTAGCTACTGATGACGTCAAGATTATAGTTCATGAGAACTAGCAGATGTGCATGAACCTGTATGGCTTCTCAGATAGCAGTTAATGAACTTCTTCGCCACGCAAGACGCAACAAGAAGATGCAAAAAACAAAAGTGAAGATGCAAGAGAAACGCATTATGTCTAGCTTTATAGCACGGCAAATCAATATTGACAAGGCAGGAAGAAAGTGACTCAAACTTTGAACTATCATTGTGTTGTTATACTGTGATAGTAGCCAGATGGTTTATATCAGGAACAAGTTTTTTCCTATTAAACTTTGAGGAAAAAAATCACATTTTGATACACAGAAAATTCAACAATTTAGAAGGCAAACACATAATACAATGAGCGGTACAAGAGGAATAAAGGATCGGGGTGTGTACAACAAAGATTCATGCTCACTTCAAAGATGAATGAATAGAACTGCCAGCATAGCAAAACGATTCACAGAAAATGGCATCCACCACATAATTTGTGCAGCTGAAACCTGAAAGACGGAACAGTGAGAAAGGCGTGGGGGTCTTCTGGCTAGCACCACAAGTTGTGGGCTAGCCGACCCAGGTTCGAGCCTCACTCCCCTCTTAATAAATTCCGATATGAGAGCACCTCCTCTCATATCCAGCGAAAGACGGAACAGTACATGGAGATATATTCAAATGTGGCAAGGTTTAATTTTGTCATTCCACAACAAGCTACAAAAGCAGATAGTAAATGTATCAGGATGCTCATAATCACACATGACATGATGCCAATATGGTGATGAAAGACGGAACAGTAGATATATTCGAATGCGGCAAGGTCTAATTTTGTAATTCCACAACAAGCTATAAAAGCAGATTAGTAAATGTATCAGGATGCTCATAATCACACATGCCATGATGCCAATATGGTGAGATACCCCCAAGAAACAGTTAGATGTTCACCTTATTGATGAGCCCATCGTCGATCACAGAACCACTAATGCTCTTGAACAGCTCGAACAAAGCCTCCACCTCACTTACGCTAACTACACATCCAAAACAACTAACTCAGAATTTCCAGTACGCCCATCGATTGCATAAATCAGATGAACTACTTGATGAAATGAAATGAAATACAGTACTGTAGAGTACTCCTCAAGTGGCAAGTACAGCAACAACAACTCACAGGCGGTCTCGGAGGCGAGGCCGACGGGGTCCTCGTACCCCGGGCGCGGACGCCTCGCCGTCGACTGGAAGCACCCCATCCCCACGCGCACCCCGCCCAGACCCGACCCACCGGAGTAGCCGAGCACACACACCCCCTCTACCGCCGCCGCGGCCGATCTCGCATCACCCACCCCTCCACCTACCCTTACACACCCACCACCACACGCCGGCGCACTCCCCCGGCGGCGCGCGCGCGGCGGCGGCGGCGGATCGGAGCGCGGAGCACGGGAGGAGGTCGGGGTTGGGGGCGGGGGGGTTTGGTGCGCGACGCGTCGGGGTCGGAGGGGTGTCGAGACGAGACGGGCTATGCCTCCTCCTAGTCCTACTACCTACGCGATAGGTGGGCCCCGAGTCCGTTGCGCCTCGCTTTCCCCCGACTTCTTTTGGGAAAGAAGACCCGCACCGCGCCCACGTGCGCGCGGCCCTTGCGGACTTGCGGCCCATGGATTGGAAGAAGCGAAGAAGGGAGGACCTCGTCGTCGTCGTCCATTCCCATTTTGGTCAGCTGGGAATATTCGCAGATTTTTTTTTCCGAACGCGCAAAACAATTAAGTCAATATATTAAAAAAAAATATTTGTTTACATAACGCAATCAGACAGACTGGCTTATGCCAAGAAAAAGAAGAAAAGACAAAAAAAAACCAAGAAAAAGAAAATGACTATTACGACGGCTAAGCGCAACTCCAATCAGCGAGAAGGGGCAGAGCCACACGGAATATTAGCAGATCATACGATTTCGCAAAGAAATTGCAAGCCAACTTGCGCTAATCTTACCTCTCGGTCACATGCAACAATTCCAGCACTAATGTGTCATGGTTTACCTCAGCCACGCGCAATAATTAGAGTAATCTAATAGTACTACTACCACAGTAGTGAACCACGACCAGGCAGATTGTTTATGTCACATCGAAGAAATTCAACATTGTTCCAAATCTTCGATGGAAGATTCTCGAGCGGATGCTTCGAATTGATAGTAGTCCCATGGTTTGCTTGGCTCATAATCATCTTTTTTTTTTGAACGACTGCTCATAACCATTTGAAATCCCTACGAAACTAGCAAGAAAACCAAGTTAACCAACGTCTTTGCTAACGATTACTAGCTAAAACTGATTAATCAATTAATTTATCGTGCAGCCCATGGTTTGCACTTTAGAAAACCGGCCCAGCATCTTTGGAAAAGAAAAGCCCAGCTCCATGTTTCTGGACACCGCCCTCTTCTGAGCGTGGGCCTCCATATAATACGTACATGGAGCCACGTGGCAACCCGGAGCGACGAAACGGCCACGTCGTATTCACAGGACACGCCACCTAATCCACGGGCCCCACTCCTACCCCGCCCGCCGATTAGCTGAGCTGACGCGTGGGGCCCACGTGACAAGCGACGGCACTCGTGGGGGCCACGTGTCGCGCACCTCGCCGTCGCCGTCGCTGCTTCGCTTCGGCTTCAAGTCCGACCAAGAGACCCTCGTCGCTTTCCGGTGACGGCGACGAAGAGAATTTCATATCCCTCCACCTCGCCGCCTCCCTTCTTCGGATTTGGTCTGGTTTGGTTGGAGGTTAGCTCGCCTCTGATTGGGTTGGTTGGGTGGTCGGCTTCGGTCTCGAACCGCGGCGACTTCTCCTCTTTGGGTTTGGGTTTCGAGGGGGCCAATGGAGGAGAGGTACGAGGCGTTGAAGGAGCTCGGGGCCGGCAACTTCGGGGTGGCCAGGCTGGTCAGGGACAAGAGGAGCAAGGAGCTCGTCGCCGTCAAGTACATCGAGAGGGGCAAGAAGGTCTGATGCTGCCTCTGTCTCTGTCTTCTCTTCTCTCCTTTTGTGATTTATTTCGCAGTTTCTTGCGTCGGACTGATTGATAATTTGATGGTGTGTGCGAGTTGATGTTTTCAGCAACTCGTTGTTCCAGATGCATGACGAGTCTTAGCTTTTAGTTTGATTGATTGATGATGCATGGATGGTTGGTTTGCTCTGTGTGCAGATTGATGAAAATGTGCAGAGGGAGATCATCAATCATAGGTCGCTCCGGCATCCCAATATCATTCGGTTTAAGGAGGTAATTCAGATTTTCTTTTCACTCATCAGTTCGTTCGGCAGCTTCACTGATTATCAGTCAGTCAAACAGTCAAACTAGATGGAGCTGATCTCCACTGCTACTGTAGAAAGTAAAATGATAAGGTTTTGGGTTTATACATCTATCAAGCACAAAGCTTACCCTGGCTGATTACTTACCATACAATTAGTAAGTAGTGTATCGTCTTAAGATCGAAGTAAATTCAACTGCTATAACGATTTCTTGTTTTGTGTGTCGATCAAGAGCAGGTTTGTTTGACACCCACACACCTAGCCATTGTCATGGAGTATGCTGCTGGTGGAGAACTCTTTGAACAAATCTGCACCGCAGGGCGATTCAGCGAAGACGAGGTTGCTTTCAGGCCCTACTTGTCTTCTTGTGAGCTAATCTTCCCGTTTTGCAAACCATCTGTGCTCAATAATTGATTCATGTCAATAGGCAAGGTACTTCTTCCAGCAGCTAATATCAGGTGTCAGCTACTGTCATTCTCTGGTATGTTTTGCTTGTTGAAATTCTGCAGACGTAACAGGCACATCGTAAGCTCATTAAGTTAAGTGGTCATTAACTGCTTCTGCAAAATGCAGGAAATTTGCCACCGTGATCTTAAACTTGAGAACACCCTCCTGGATGGAAGCCCAACACCTCGTGTGAAGATTTGTGACTTTGGTTACTCAAAGGTGCTAACATGGATGCTACTAGTTCTGTTCTACATCTCAGAGTACTTTACTAGAAATAGATTGAATTGTTCTTGCCTTCTTGGTAGAATCAAACTGGAGTACTGAACAACTTGGCTTCTTTGATTTTCAGTCTGCTTTGCTGCATTCGAAGCCGAAGTCTACAGTTGGTACTCCAGCATACATAGCGCCAGAAGTTCTTTCAAGAAAAGAATATGATGGCAAGGCAAGTTATTTCTCATTTCTATGTTTTGCAATCTGAATTTGGCTGTAAAGTAAAGATAGATAGCAGTATCTATCACTATTGTTTTTTCTTTTCTAGCATCATGGAACCGTAGCAATTGAGCATTTAGACGTTAGCTAAAAGTGATCCATTGCAGCTGAAATACTTACATTGAGTGCAAAACAAACCGAACAGCATAAGCTTTACGTTTTCAGTAATGTTAGGACGCTACTGAAGTTCCTGGAACATCGCATCATAGAATTGCATCTCTGCATGATCTGAGGTAATGCGTCTCCTTACCCAGGTAGCAGACGTTTGGTCCTGTGGTGTGACACTGTACGTGATGCTTGTCGGTTCATACCCGTTTGAAGATCCAGGTGATCCGAGGAATTTCCGCAAAACGATCAGCGTAAGTGCTCCATTTCCCTCTGTTCATCATCCAAGCCTTTTCTACACCTTGCTTCAATGGTGAGTCTGAAACTCTGAATATGCATGCCTTGTTCCACTTGACAGAGAATTCTTGGCGTGCAATACTCCATCCCGGACTACGTGAGGGTGTCTTCCGACTGCAGGCGCCTTCTATCTCAAATATTTGTTGCCGATCCTTCAAAGGTACTTAATTTCACACACTTTACCTCCCAGTTTAAGTGAGATCCCAAGTTGCCAAACTAGACCAAACTTTAGATTACTCCGAAGGGAAAATTAACCTTAAATCATACTCAGATTCTACCTGTAATCTTACTCATTGTAATGCGGCCTATATGATCTCAATTATATGTTCTAATGCTCAAACTATGTCTCTAATTAATTAACGAGATGGATTCCCTCTGAATTTAACTAACTCGAGTTTTTGCATCCCTGAACTTTTGATGTTCAGAGGATCACGATCCCTGAGATAAAGAAGCACACGTGGTTTCTGAAGAATCTGCCAAAGGAGATATCGGAGAGGGAGAAGGCCGACTACAAGGACACGGACGCCGCCCCTCCGACGCAGGCCGTCGAGGAGATCATGCGGATCATCCAGGAGGCCAAGGTCCCCGGCGACATGGCCGCCGCCGACCCGGCGCTGCTCGCGGAGCTCGCCGAGCTGAAGAGCGACGACGAAGAGGAGGCCGCCGATGAGTATGACACCTACTGACCATCCATGATCCATATGCATCCATGGTCGTTGTGCTGCAGCTGTAAATATGATCCGGAATATACGTGATCGCCAGACCAAATGATATGCGTATTCTGATGCATTTTCTGCCGTGTATACTCTGCACCGGATTTTCCTGCAGCGTAAATAATAAAGAAAAAAAATAATTATTTGTTTGCAGTTTCGTGTGATCATTTGGCAAGGACTATTCAGTTTGCATGGTCATTTTCCCAGTTTATTCATTGAATTATGTAATTGGATTATTTGTGCTACACTTCCTTGTCTTTGGATTATTTAAACATATTATTTGCGCTTCTCAAAATATTTTTCTATTTTAAGATATTTGTTAAATTTATTTCTTAAATAATTTATTCTCTCTATAATCAAAACGATAATCTGTTCAATATTCTAATCAAATAAAACTTTAAGGCCCCCTTTGATTGAAAGGAAATTCATAGGAATTTTAGAGGATTTTATTCCTATAGAAATTTTTCCTACAAAGCATTTTGAATTAAAGGAATGAACCCTATGAAATTCCTATGAAATGCCTCTTTCCATACAAGTTTTAGAGGAATTTTAACAAGAGATAGAATCTCATGGAAGAAATCCTTTGAGTCTTTTATCTCTCCTCAAATTTCTGTGTTTTTCCTGTGGTCCAATCAAACGGTCATTCTTTTTCCTGCGTTTTGCAATCCTTTGTTTTACACTTTCATTCCTGTCAGAATCCTATGTTTTTCATATTCCTCCGTTTTTTCATTACTGTGATTTAAAAAGGCCCTAAAGCTTTGAGGTTACCGTAGTGAGGTGAGTGTAGCTCAATTAGAAACAGCGAGATTTGTCGGTTTCGTTATCCAGTTATTCGGATATGCTATAGATAATGTGTGTGTATGCATATGGAGATGAGTATGTGCGTTGTTACTTATGAACGTATACATATTTGTACCATGTTCATAAAATGGTTATTGTATAGACGTACAGTACAACTTCAGTGTGTGTACACCATTGTGACTATTATATGTTGGTGTACTAATCGGGTTTTTAGTTCCCATTATCTTTTCCATGGAGATGTTTTTGTTCGAATTTTGGTCGGCTCAGAAGAAGCTAAAGATTCGACCACCTAAGAGGCGGAAGCTAGATCTAGACCGGTATATTTTTGGATTTTTGATGTTTCATACGTGCTAGAAAAATATTTCAACTTGGGGTAAAATGGTGTTGCATTTGTTTGAAACATGTAGATTTTCACGATTTTTTTTAATGTTTCAATCAATGTATCTTTGTTGTTTACCGCATGATTGAAAAATGTTTCAAGTAAATTTAGACGATATTGTAATTGTTTAAAACACTTTTTTAAGTCTAGTGATGAAACAACTTCTGCATTTTTCATGCGGCCGATTTGTAGTTGCTTCGTTTTGGTTAGTCTAAAAAAATTGTGACTATTATACGTAGTGACTGGAGTATTATACGGCGGCTCTACATATAAATACCCAGTGATTTGCCTCCGGCTGCGGATCCACTCGATGACGTGTCACTCTGCCATGGCGGCTCTCACCGTTGGGCACGCGGCGATCGTCCATGCCACCACGCGTCTCGAGGACGCCCGGTCCACCGGCCGTCGGCGGCGGCGGCGGGGGATGATCACGGTGCGCGCGGCGGCGGCGGCGACGAGCGGGTGGGAGCCGGGCAGCTGGAGGGCGCGGCCGGCGAGGCAAATCCCGGAGTACCCGGACGCGGCGGCGCTGGAGGGCGCGGAGCGCGAGCTGGCGTCGTTCCCGCCGCTGGTGTTCGCCGGGGAGGCGCGGAAGCTGGAGGAGCGGCTCGGGGACGCCGCCATGGGGCGGGCCTTCCTCCTGCAGGGCGGCGACTGCGCCGAGAGCTTCAAAGAGTTCGCCGCCAACAACATCCGCGACACCTTTCGCCTCATGCTCCAGATGGCCGTCGTCCTCACCTTTGGCGGCCAGATGCCCACCATCAAGGTCCTCCTCGCCTACTCCCATGGCTTCATCTTCTCACCATTTCTCCTTCTCCAATCCATCCCTAACGATCTCGTAAAAAAATTAAATTAATTAAACCGCAGCTAGTTTACGTATATTCACAATTAATTTTGTTGCGAGATGTAGAACCGCAGCTAGTTAACATATATTCACAATTAATTTTGTTGCCAGATATAGAAGCTGAATTTGAATTTGTGGAGTGATATATTACACACGTTAATACATCTTCTCAAATTTTTTCATAACCATTTGAGTAACATGCAAGCAAGCAACGAGGAGATATCTCCTCAAGAGATCAAAATCCACTTCCTCCATTTTATACCCGATTGGAATTCGAGATCGAAAATTATCTGTTTCCTGTCCGCCACACGCTGCACTGTTTGGGATTTTGGCGCATTCAGATAGAACGAATATATGTGATGTGGCTGATCACTCGGGCTTAAGCTGTTGCAGGGTCCCAGCTGTCATCTTCACAATCTCTCTTTGAGATGGCGATCGGTCGATGTAGACATAATCGTGTCGACTTCGCTGTCAAGTTCTGAAAGATCAGGCTTTATAATTTATAAATTATGGCACAGCGCGGATTCATCCATTCAGTTTTCTGTTTTTTCCCCCTGAAAGGCATAGTCGCATAGATGGTTGATTGTTAGCAGTTATATATGCTATGAGTCTTAAGTTAACGGATCAACAAGTCAATCGCCAATTTCCATCCCCAATATTTGACAGACAAGGTACAGCAGCAAGAAAGACAGGGATCAGACGTGGCCACCAGTGCACACATGAAACCATAAGCATTCATATTGTTTAAAAGACAAGCTAGATTCAGTATCTTAGTCTATTCTGGAATCTAGATTGACAAACAAAAGTGTATTTGCAGTTTTCTTTTTGAGGTTTATGTTCTTCAAACCATTGATGGCTTAACATTTAATGATTCAAGTGCTGATAGACAGGTGGAGAGATTGACTGATTGACAATGTATATTTCAGGTTGGAAGGATGGCTGGCCAATTTGCAAAGCCAAGATCAAACCCAACTGAGACTATAGATGGAGTGACACTTCCTTCCTATCGAGGTGATATTATTAACAGCGATGGTTTTGATGAGAAGTCGCGTGCACCAGATCCTGAAAGGTTAATTAGAGCCTACAGCCAGTCCGCGAGCACCCTGAATCTTCTGAGAGGATTTGCTCATGGAGGGTATGCAGATCTGCAGAGAGTCACCCAGTGGAATCTTGACTTCTTGAGGGACAGCACGCAAGGGGACAGGTAGTTGTTAGCTTAGCTCAAGTGCTAGACATTTTGCAATTAGTTTTATTCAAAACTCTTTACGCATATTAGTGGTTGTTTCATATGAATGCAAATGTTTATTTTCCAAACAACAGACATAGGAATTGCATTATTTAGTACAGATGGCATGTACGCATCAGACCCTTAATATAATCATGGTGACGTGGCAAATAGTAGCTAGGGATTTCTAGTAAGTATCATTGATAATAATCCTTTATACAATGGAAACCAAGATCATGTCCTCTTTTGTTTTTTTCTGTGAGCAGGTATATGGAGCTGTCCGAGAGGGTTCACGATGCCATCGGATTTATGGTTGCTGCTGGTCTGACTCCTCAGCATCCCATCATGACGACGGCTGAATTCTGGACATCTCATGAGTGCCTTCATTTGCCATATGAGCAAGCATTGACTAGGGTGGACTCCATTTCTGGGCTTTACTACGATTGCTCTGCTCATATGCTTTGGGTTGGGGAGAGGACTCGACAACTGGATGGTGCTCATGTTGAATTCCTTCGTGGTATTTCCAACCCTCTAGGTGTAAAGGTAACCAATCCACCTCTTCAAAGTTGGCTTATTTGTATAAGACTTTCAGCCAATATCTTCAATATGTAATATATCTACTGAAACTCTCAAACTATGTATCAGCATTGGACTACTAGAGGTACTTAAGCTCCATCTCAAATGACAAGTAACAATATTTACTAGTAGTACCATAGTTCATCATCAGTCATCGGTCTTATGCTGTTTAGCCTTAGATGTAAATGCTAATTTGTCGGGGAAAATATTTATTTTTTGAAAGACCGCCAGAAAAAAAACATTGTATATCATGTTTACCATGCCATCGCAAATATAAGTACAGTAGCCATGACTTTATGGTTATTGTTATTTGTTATACAAAACGAGTTGTCTATGCACATAGTTAATTTTTTCTGTGTTAAAAAGGTGAGTGACAAGCTCGAACCTTCAGAGCTTGTTAAATTGTGTGAGATTTTGAATCCTCACAACAAGCCCGGAAGACTGACAATCATCACAAGAATGGGTGCTGAGAACACGCGCGTTAAGCTCCCACATATGATCAGAGCAGTCCGCCAAGCTGGGTTGATTGTCACTTGGGTCAGTGATCCCATGCATGGGAACACCATCAGCGCACCATGTGGTCTCAAGACAAGATCATTCGACGCGATCAGGGTAAGAACTGAGGGCATGTTCAGATTGTAGTAAAAATAAACCTTACCAACTTTTGGCATTGCCAAAATTTTGGCAATTTGACAATATTGCCAAGTTTTAGCATGGTTTCTTATTTATTTACTAGAGTTTGGCAAGAAACTAAATGGATGTACATATTTGACAACTTTAGTAAAAAAAATTGTATGGTTTAAAATGACATCAATCTGAACAAGCCCTGAGACTTCACCATTCATGGTTTGATGAACAACTGACTTATTACACATGAATATTTGACATATTGACACCATTTGTGTTTATTCTTGTACATGTGCAGTGCGAGCTGAGGGCTTTCTTCGATGTCCATGAGCAAGAGGGAAGCTACCCTGGAGGGATTCACCTGGAGATGACAGGGCAGAACGTTACAGAGTGCATTGGTGGATCCAAGACGGTGACCCTTGATGATCTCAGCTCTCGCTACCGCACGCACTGCGACCCCAGGCTGAATGCATCGCAGTCGCTTGAACTGGCTTTCGCCATTGCTGACAGGCTAAGGAAGAAACGAGACAGGGCTTGGAATAGGTTGGTGTACAGGGCGGTAGCTTAAGATATCTAGCTCGGAATTTTGGCCCTACAAGAAGAGATAGTATCTAGCTTGGAGTAGTTCATTCTTTTTTTTTCCCTTTGAATAATAAAAAAAATAGAGCCGGCGTGGCGACGTCAGTACTCTCTTCTGCTTCATTTCTTCACTAGTAGTTAACTTTGTCGAAGTTTCTTTTCTTCAATAAGACGACTTGACTATCAAAAGAATAATTAGGAGCTAAATGGTGTATGTGCCGCATGCATTATCTTAAGCCTTGTTCTGAAGTCTAAAAAACCTAAGAACATTCAGAAAACAAAAAAACATCTCTGAACATCATGCAAAATTCCTGTGATCCTCTGTACATTAAGTCTCGACGTGGGCCAGATGCTGTGCCGGCCGTCTGATAACTGGGCCTACATGGCACTCACGAGCGCAAAGCCCATCTCAGCCCAGCTCCCACTCTTCCCATTTTGCCCCTACGCTCGCCCACCTATCTTACCACTGACACATTGGCCCCACCACCACTACCCATCAATTAAACCCGCCCGATTCGCATCTAACGGACCGCATCCTAGGGGTAAACACGTCATTCTATCCCCACCCCAAACCCTAAACCATCCTCTCCGCAACCCGACTATAAAAGAGCTTAAAAAAAGCCTCTCCTCTCCCCGAACCCTAACTCCATCTTCCCCGGCGGCGGCGCAGCAGAGGATATCAGCCATGGTGAAGTTTCTCAAGCCCGGGAAGGCGGTGATCCTGCTGCAGGGGAGGTTCGCGGGGCGGAAGGCGGTGATCGTGCGGGTGTTCGAGGAGGGCACCCGCGACCGCCCCTACGGCCACTGCCTCGTCGCCGGCCTCGCCAAGTACCCCAAGAAGGTGATCCGCAAGGACTCGGCGAAGAAGACGGCGAAGAAGTCGCGCGTCAAGTGCTTCCTCAAGCTCGTCAACTTCACCCACCTCATGCCCACCCGCTACACCCTCGACGTCGACCTCAAGGAGGTCGCCGCGGGGCCCGACGCGCTCGCCACCAGGGACAAGAAGGTCGCCGCCTGCAAGTCCGCCAAGGCGCGCCTCGAGGACCGCTTCAAGACCGGCAAGAACAGGTGGTTCTTCACCAAGCTCCGCTTCTGAGCTCTCTCCTGCGGCGGCGGCGGCGGCGATGGGATGGTACTGGTGCACGGCCATCTCATCCTTTTTCTCTTTTTCTAAAGCTTTTCGCTTTCTGAGTAGCAGCCAATGAATGGTTTTGGATTTTCTAAATTAATCTCAATCACCCTGATGTAATGGTACTACTGCCTGCTTGTGTGGGTGTGGATGTTTAGTAGTATGGATCTATTAAAGAAGCATATTGGGAGACGTTCTGTGTCAATTTTTCACTGGTTATGGTTCATTTTCTTGTCTTAGTTATAGTTTGAATTTGATGTCGATTGCTTGCGCTAAATTCCCTGATTAGTGTTTTATTAGTGATTGGCTCATTGCTTTGTTGGTGCCAAGGTGTGCAAGATGAGCCTGTCTGGATGGATGGATTATGTGATGCTTCTAGTATTAAGGTTCAGGCGGATAGCTGATTATGTGTATACATTGTTGGATTTGAATAAAGGAATGCAATAGGACATTCATAAGTAATGTTTTCATTCTTTTAGTTGTTCCAACCAATGGTTGCCTACCCTATGATCCTTGTAGAAATCTGAGATAGTACCACATGGTGTTCTACTCACAAAAAATAAGTATAATTAGGATGTCCTAATTCAGTGCCTCATGCTTACATACACTTCACTGGTAGGTCTGGAAATTTTGCTCAGCTAGTGTGGGAATGCTGCTTACTATTTTTTTTGCACCACTAATATTCTGGTTTAAATAAGTTTGAAGATTGAGATATGTTATGGGATATGTCATTGACCTTAGCTCCGTTTTGACTTTGATGGCGAGACACTTGAAGTTAGGTGATATTCCAATATCTTATGGTTTATGTAGCTTTTGGCTGGTGTGTAGTTTTTGAGGGGCCAAATTTATAAATACTCATTGCTGCTTGTTGTGTAAGCTGGAGCAATGCTTGATATTTGGCAACAACTACCTTGGCACATCTTGCTTGATTTTGAAAATGTCTTGAAACTTACTGTACGCCATAGAGGAGCTTATGATAGGTTGATTTCGAACAAAGCTGCCTCGATTAGTAGTCGCACCCCTGGGTGGTCAGACTGTCAGATAAACTTTACTCCATCTGTTTCACAATGTAAGTCATTCTAGCATTTTTCACATTCATATTGATGATAATGAATCTAGACAACATTAATATGAATGTGGGAAATGCTAGAATGACTTACATTGTGAAACGGAGGAAGTAATTCTCATCGTATCATTTTTTCCCATCGCATTACTACATTATCATATTGGCAGTCAATCATGTTATGTAGGATGCGATTTCTTGCATCACAAAAGAACATGGAAGATGTGATTTCTTGCATCACAAAAGAACATGGAAGATGTGATTTCTTGCATCACAAAAGAAGCCTTCGGGGCCTGATAGAACTGATGCCAATCTTGTGCTCAGAGGTAGCAAGTTGATTGGCTGGCGCTGGACTTCATTCCTTGTTTTTCTTTCTGTTTATTTGTTTACAAGGCTGGATGCTGTTCTGTTATTCTGGTTTACTCTACATGTTCTGTTTGCGCTGTGATTTGTGAGTTGTGTGTCAAGCTGTCTTTCGAGATATTGTTTTGCAGAATGTTCGTTGTGCCACAGCGGGAATGAGTTAACTCGATGAAGGTTGTGCACTGTGTGATTGCTTTATCATTTTTGTAATGCTCATTTCTATTTGTTCCACACCTGGGACGATCTTATATCAAGGTTTCTTGAAGAAAAATGGATCATAAATTCGTAACACATCTCTCCACAGGTCCATGTATTCTTACTTCTGAGACAACCAAACTGACCACATGATCAATGTATGAATAATAAAAGGCCTCTGGCATCTTTTTTTTTTTTTTATGCTTATACTTATCGGCCAAAATTTGAATTTTCAACCTTAAATTTGAAGCTGATTTTGGAGCCTCATTGGAGTGCCGCATGTATATCTAATATGCAAGTTTGAACAATTATACGTTGATACGTTGCAAGTCTGCGTCTATTATCAAGTGCTAGACCTTTTGCAATTAGTTTTCAGCGAAAAAATTTGCACTTTGTTAGTGGTTTTTTCTTAAGAACTGGAATGTTTATTTTCCAAACTACTGACAGGACGTGCGCGCTCTTTTGTCTGGTCCTGATTCAACACAGATGGTTTGTCTACATCAGACCCTTTGTATAATCATGGTGACATGGCAAATTGTATCTAGGGATAATCCAGTTTCCAGTAAAAATATATTGACAATCATCCTTTATAATATATGAAAACCAGACGGTGCCCCATCATTACAACGGCTGAATTCTGGACATCTCATGAGTGCCTTCATTTTCCATAGGTACGAGCAAGCATTGAGTTTCACTAGTGAGGACTCCGTTTTTGGCCTTTACTACGATTGCTCTGCTCATATGGTTTGGTGAACTGACCATTAGTGTCTGAGTACATTTGCAGTGCGAACTGAGGAATTCACTTGCAGATCTGTCATTACCACACGCACTATGACCCCATGCTGAATGCGGGCATTTGTGTGCCGATCAGGCTCATTACTTCGGTCCCAAAACATACATATTAAACTTGAAAAACAGATTTATTTGATTTCGCACAAAAGGACACCATTTATTAGTTGGAAAGCATATAAATAAAACAGCTTAATGAAACATTGCCTTACCTCAGAATTTCGTTGGCTTAATGAAACATAGTCCTACTAGATTGTTGTCATTCTTTATTTCATTTGAACAATTAAAATAATAGGACCGATGTCAGCACTCTCTTCTGCTTCGTTTTGTATTTAACTTTGACAGAAGGCTAGTCGAAGTTCCTTTTTGTTTTCAAGAAGACTTGACTAACAAAAGAATAAATTAGAAGCTTAAGTGCAGGATACTCTTCAGTCTTGTTCTGAGTGCAAAAGAGCAAGAAGCGCGAAGAAACCGGCACATTTCGCTATACCCTCTTTGATGCATCCAGAGTGTTGTTTTCAGCTGTCCAGATGTCCATGACAACTGATAAGCTATCATAGTACCCTTAAACCAGCCATTAATTTGATTCATGGAGAAAAACATGTTACTACAGTGCAAGGCTTCTTCAAGTTACTGTCACATACTCCAAGGCTTAGGATCATCAAAACATAGAACATGACACAGGACACTGATTGAGTAAAAACCTGACAATAATATGCTACTACAGAAGTATTTGGACAAGGCAGCTTCAGCAGCAGCAACTCAAGCACAAGATCACTGAACTGATTACAGGCAGCTTAACTGAGCACTCACTCCTAATCCTCCTCCTCACTCCCCCACTCCATATCCTACACCTGACTACTTTAATCACCCTCCCAAACACAAACAACAGCTAGTAGAATTATCACAAGTCAACACCAGCAGTTAACAATGAGAAGTAAACATTACTAAACACATAGTAGGCCATACCAACAACATGGAGTAGATCAATCCTCATCCATGGCGGCTGTTGCTGCGGCAGCGGCGGCGGAGATCACCTTGGCCTTCTTGTGGTGGTGGTGGTGGTGCTGCTGCTTGCCGAGGAAGGCCTCGACGAACAGCTGCTGGGCGTCGAGCAGCGTCTGGGTGCGCTTCATCTCAGACTCCATCCGCTCCTTCTCTATCTGGAGAGAGATCTCCAGCCTCCGCTCCTCCATGCGGAGGAACTTGTCGCCGACGGCGCGCAGCGCCGAGGCCACCTCGGCCATGGCCTCCGCCTCGGCGTCCTCCTCGCTCTTCTCCACCTTGATGGCGGTGGGTTGTTCTCGCTGCGCCACAGGCTTGGAGCGGGAGGCCTTGGGGATGGTGAAGCGCAGGCCGCTCCCGCTCCCGCCGTTGGAGATGAGGCCGTGAAGGCTCCTGCTCCGCCCCGCGTCCGCCGCCGCCTCCTCCTCCTCATCCTCCTCGGAGGAAGGGGAGGAGACGGGAGAAGGGGACGCCGGTGAGGGGGAGGCGGCCGCGGCGGCGGGGCCCTTGGATTTGATCTTGATGATGGGGTTGGGGCTAGGGTCGGGCGCCCCGCCGCCGGCGAGGTCGTGGAGGAGCGGGAAGAAGGGCCACTTGGGGCCCTTGGAGCGGCCGGCGGCGCGCGCCCTCTCGGCGCGGTACCGCTTCCGGAGCTTCTCGATCTTGTGGCGGCACTGGACGCCGGACTTGTGCGTCGCCGTGGGGAACCTCCCGCAGCGGGCGGTGACGGCGCCGGCGACGTCGTCCCAGTCGGAGGCTCTGAGGTTCCCCTTGCGGAGCCCCTCCCACCTATCGCGGTAGGCCTCGATGAGCGCCAGCGTCTCCTCGTGCGTCCAGCACGGCGGGGGCAGCCTCCGCCCGGAGCCCCCCGCGCCACCAGATGACACCGCGGCGGCGGCTGCCGCGGCCGCCGCCGCGGGGGCGGCCAGCGGGGGGAGGTCCGGGGAGGAGAGCGCGTCCGGGTTGGGCGGCGGGGAGGAGGAGGACGACATCGTCGGCGGCGGTGGGAGCTAGGGTTTGGTGGTGGAGGAGAGAGGAGGGGATGGGGAATCGGTCATAAAGGCGGAGGTGGGCCGCGCGGCGGGCGTGGGCCGGGGAGGTGAAATGACGGGATGGGGGGGGGGGGGAGGGGAATGAACCGCGGCGGCCGCGTCCGCGTGGGTGGTGGTGGTGGGCGTGCGGCGCGCGCGGTGGCTGGCTCTCTCTGCCTCTGCCTCCGCGGGGTTTGTCGCGTGGCGGCGCGGTGGTGGTGGTGGTGGGTGGGGCGGCCCAGCGAGGGAGTGGTGGCACGGCACGGCGCCGCGGCATCGTGGGGGCGAGGCGAGAGATGGAGCGGCGCGCGGCGTGGGCGTGGGGGCGTGGGCGTGGGCGTGGGCGTGTGCCGTGTCGGATCGGGGGTGGGGGGGTGGTGGCCTGGTGGGTGGGTGGACGTCCCTCTCGGCTAGTGCTTTCCGTTTCCGCCGCGCGGATGCGGTGCGGTGCGATGCGCCCGTGGCTTTTTCGAATGGGGAGGAGCCGCGCCGTCTGGTCTGTGCCCCGTCTCGACCCGTGAATCTGCGATGGCGGCCGATCTCGCCTGCTAATTTATTCGCGCGGCGCGGCGGCTACGGCCTACGGCCACCACGCCCACGCGCGTGCCGTGCCGGCGTGGCTGCGTTTGGTTTCGCCGTGCAGCTAGGGCCCATTTGGAAGCGTTGACAGTCGTAGGGTGTGATGGGATAATAATGAGATAAGCGGGATACTGTTGGGATAGCAAAATGGATAAAGGGTTAGGAAAACAATGAGGAAGGAATAATGGATGGCTAGGATTTAAAAATATATTTTTTTTGGTAGGTGAGATTATTTTCCTAACCCATTTGCCAAGCAACCTCTTAAATCCTAGCATGTGTTTGTAAATATGTAATTGTCCTAAATCCTTAATTCATGATCCAACTCCAATACTTTTTTTTTTTGGGGATCCAACTCCAATACTTACAAGCTACTATCATCTTCAGAAATCATGAAAGAGATGAGAGGATAAATATGATTATTACTTACGTTTATTTTGATGTACGATTATAAGACATGAATATGTGTTTCAAATTTACAACCAATATATATCAATGTTAATTTCCTTAAAGAACTTCTAAACCACAAGTACAACTTGTAAGACTTGTAAGAGTTATCCAACCCACTCTGCTCCATTTTTGCATGGATCTCAATCATTTGATAGAACTTCAACTTTATTGGATTTGGATCTAAAAGGCTCTACCAAACAGTCCCTTTGATCAAAACGAATGGAGGTGATCCTAACAACAGTAAACTAGCAGAGCATATTCTTGAATCGTTTCAAAGGGGTTATCATTCATCACACTACTGTGTGTATTTTAGTAGGTGTTTGTCACGACAACGTGAGCTATGTCTATCAAGTTCCATAAATAACATGTCCCTAAGATAAAATACAAGGAATATCTCATATTTCATCAATATGTATCATGTTATTTAATACACCAATAATACATTGGTATAACATAAAGGGTTATAATTATTTTCTCAGAAACATACAAGGACTTGTTCTATAAATTTTATACATAAGTAAAGAAATGTGTTTAGTTATCTAGTATATAGTATGTAGCTTGAGGTCTGCCTCATATCACCAAGCCTGTCTTACCTAAACCTGTTTTCCACATGAGATATCATTGGGTTTAGTAATTGGATCTTCGGAGCTGCGTTGGATAGAGCTGTTGTTCGGTTGTATCGTTTTGAGTGTCAAGACCATCATACAATTTTGCAGCTCATACAGTGTAACCGCATTATATTTTTTTTTCTCGTCCCATAAGTTTACATAAGGATGAACTTAACATCCGTTTTTACGCACTAGGTTTTCCTTCTTTTTTTAGGGCCCCTTTGATTTGTAGGAAAAATGTAGGAATTTTGGAGGATTTTAATTCTATGAAAAAAAAAATCCTATGAAGGCCTTTGAAACAAATGATTGAATCCTATCAAATCCTTTAAAATTCCTATGGGATGGGTAATCCTATGCACATTTTGAAGGAAAGTTAGCAAGAGGTCTAACCTCTTGGAACATTTCCTCTGAGTCTATCTCTCTCATCTGATTCCTGCGTTTTTCCTGTGGTCCAATCAAACGATCATTCTTGTGTTTTTCCTGTGTTTTGCAATCCTCTGTTTTATAATTGTATTCCTGTCAGAATCCTGTGTTTTTCCTATTCCTCTGTTTTTTCATTCCTACGATTTAAAGGGGCCCTTATAGTTGGAGATAAGCCTATGTGATCTAAATCAACCAAGCATCTTTCCTCAATATGAGATTCTACTATCAAATTGTGTGCAATGGAAGGTTGGAAAATAATAGCGAGGGAAAAACTTTAACTTTCAAAAAACATGTATTTGCTGAAGCATTGTGTATTTCTCTCATCCTCATCGTGTCCCCTTCTCATGCGAAGAAATTACTAGTATGTAACACTAACGTCTTACAACATTTCACATCTATTAATTCAGAGAATAATTAACTATTTGCCACTCTTACGAGTGGTGCTAAATTATTTATCACTAGATCCACATGTCATAGACACATGAGGGCTGACATGTTATAGATAGCGAGTGGCAAATAATTAATTGCCACATCTTAAAGTAGCAATAAATTAAATGTCCCGCGGTACGAATGATTCCGGTTAGTGCCATTCTCTCCTTATTTTCTCATTTTTATAGTAAGTTTCACAAAATTGTAGACACTTGGATCAAAGTATCATAAAACTACAGATTTAGCGTCAAACTTTTCACAAAAACTACAGATTTAATGCACCATATCACAAAACTTCAAATTTAGTGATGAAGTTATCAAAGAACTACATGTTCTAGAGTTTAGATCGTATCACTATTATTTATTTAAAGTTGTAAATATGTAGCTTTATGATAAAATAGTTGTTAAATCTATAGTTATATGATATAATACATTAGTTCCATGATAAATTTGACACTAAATCTATAGTTTTATGAAACACATTATTAAATATGTAGTTTTATTATCAAAGTATTATGTAGTATCGTGAAATTTACTCCATTTTTATTATCTTTGCTCTTAGTTTGTTTTCATGGACGATTTTGTCCCTGATCTAATCGGTCCTCACTTTTGCCCTCGCCGCCTGAGCGCCAGTGCAAAGGGGAACGCCGAGTACGCCGCCGCCGCCGCCGCGCCGCCCGCCGCCGCGGCCCTCTCTGCTGCTGCCTCGCTCTAGGGTTCGTCCAAGGGGGGGGGGGAGAGAGAGAGAGAGAAGGGCGGCTCTCAGCGCGAGCAGCGGCGGGGCTTCCCCTTCCCGTCCGAGTGCCGCGCGCATCCAGGGCCTTCGAGGTATTCCTCCCCCCTTGCTATGCTGAGCCGGAGTAGATCGGGGATCCAGCCGGAGCAGTCGTGCTAACTCTCTCTCTCTCTCTCTCTCTCTCTCTCTCTCTCTCTCTCTCTCCAACACTTGCAGGTGCTTGCTGCGTGATGGAGCCGGAGGCAATGCCGGCGCCTGACCCCAACGACGCGAGGCAGCGGTTCTTGTTGGAGCTCGAGTTCATCCAGTGCCTCGCAAACCCTACCTACATCCACTGTACTGTACTGTATCCTCGTTCTCGTTTCACTTGGCTTGGGGTTTTACCGCGGATCTTTTCATTAGGTTTATTGAACAAATTAGTGTTTAATCTTTGACTTGATGGTATTAGTTAAGGAAAAATAAACAGCAATTTGATTGTGTTGGTCAGCAAGCGTGATACACTGCCTAGAGTAATTAGTTTGCTGGTAGTCTGGTACCGTAGATTGGATGCATAATTGAAGTGTATGTTGATCAGTAGGAAGGTATGGATGTCTGGATTATGTTTTGCTTATGCCCAATTACTCTCAATGCTTCTGCTATTTTTAATGGAATCAAACTTGTTAAATGAGTACTGAAATTAATACTGTATGTAAAATGGCATTTGGCTAATATTTCTTATGTTGAAACAGATCTAGCACAGAATAGGTACTTTGAGGATGAGGCATTTATCGGGTATCTCAAGTATCTCAAATACTGGCAGCGTCCGGAGTACATCAAATACATAATGTGAGTGGCCGTATAATTTAGATCTGTTTGCTAGTAGGTGCTTGCTGTGACAAAATAGCTTGGTCACACTGGTTGTTGTTTGTGTAGGTATCCGCACTGCCTTTTCTTTCTTGAGCTCCTCCAAAATGCGAATTTCCGGAATGCAATGGCCCATCCAGCAAGCAAGGTGACCCTTTGAAACCCTTTTTCCTAGTACACATGTGCCATTTCAACCTTTTATAGTACCGCCTATAACATCCTTTCAGATTTCCCCTTTATTAAGTGTATTTGGAATGTATTACTTTGACTGTAGATTGTTAGTGAATGGGGATGAGCTAAAACTTTATTATTGTTGTTCTTACAGACTTATGAATGGGCACCTTTATTTGTTTATGAATTAGTTAGGGGGCAACTGAACAAATTGGAAGCATATCATTTGTTCATATTGTACTGCATATTCGTAATTCTGTTTTGTCTGTTGTGCTTTATTAGCATCAGTAGCACAAACTAATTCCTTCCATCAAATTATTCGCAGGAAGTTGCTCATAGGCAGCAATATTTCTTCTGGAAAAACTATAGGAACAATAGGTTGAAGCACATCTTACCCCGCCCTCCTCCTGAACCAACTCCGGCACCTGCACCTGCACCTGCACCAGCAACAGTGCCCCCAGCAGCACCAGTGCCGTCGACCGTGGTTCCACCTGTTGCTGCACCATCATCATCTTTGCCACCTATGTCAGCAGCTGGTGCATCTGCAATGTCTCCTATGCAGTTTGCAGGAACCCCTGGCACCAATATCCCAAAGAACGACATGAGAAATGTCATGGGTGGACAGGGTGGTAGAAAGAGAAAGTATGCACTTCCCTTACAATCATCCATATCTCTTATGAAGTTGTTTGTTTTCTTTGCAGTGATGTTTTGCCTTGCGAGTTGTTTTCCGTCTATGCAAACATATTTTTGTTTCTGTTTTCTAGATTATGAAGATCCTCTTCCTGTTATACAGGAAAGACGGCTGAGGCTCTCAATGTGCTTTTGCAGGAGAGCTGAATTGTTCCTCTTTGGTAGGAATCGTTATTTGTTGAAAAAAAAAACTGAACAGAGGAATCTTGTTGTGTTTTTCCTTTTATTTTCTCCATCCCTCCTCCCTCTCCCGTTGTGTGTTTGTATATGGTGAGGGAACGGAGTTTTCCAGATGGTCAGGATTTTTCAGTGATTTTGTCAGCGAGTACAAGGTTTACAGTAGGATTGCTATGACTGAAAGATGAGTAGTCAGTTGAATTGCCTAAACTTTGAAGTGTGTCATGTAGCTACAGCAGCTTATTTCCTTTCGTCCCTGTTCCGTATGTTTTGAACTCAGAAGTATGGTATTTATGTTCAATAAAACAATTCGATATGACTGATATACTGTTTTTCTTGTCACTACAGGATGGGCTAGTGGAACTGTGGAACATGCTGGTCAACTTTAACAGACAGACAACATTGTATGCAAGTGAAGAGTAATCTTCATATTTATTTCCTCGTAGGCCTTTTTTTGCAGCAATTTAGAAGCTAACAGTTACTCCTATTTGTGCCGCTGGAGATGTAATTTGGATAACAATATGTCCTGTACGCTTGGCCCTTGAATGATTGGCTCATCTATGTGGCCTTGTAATTATAGGAGTACTAATTTTTTGGTCACTGGAAGATCACTGAAAACGCCAGAGAATCCACAGTAAAAGCCTGTTTCACAGAGCCCATATTTTCAGGGTACGATGAAGTGGTTACGCTCGGTAGTGTGTTCTTCATTAGTTCATCGTTACAACAACAGTATTGGGATACGGGATCAATTTGAAGGTCCAATCAACTTAATATTGTCGGTAGGCAGTGATATTCTCACATTCTTTGTACATCTAGAAATATGAAGCTTTAGGGCCCCTTTGAATCGCAAGGTAGAAAAAACGGAGGAATAGGAAAAACATAGGATTCTGACAGAAATTGAAGTGTAAAACAGAGGATTGCAAAACACAGGAATGATCGTTTAATTGGAGTGCAGGAAAAACGCAGGAATCGGATAAGAGATAGACTCAAAGAAAATTTTCCAAGAGGTTGGAGCTCTTGCTAAATTTCCCCCAAAATCCACATGCAATGTGCCATTCCATAGGAATTTCATAGGATTTAGAAAGCTTCAATCCTTTAAATTAAAGGGCCAAATAGTAAAATTTACTATAGGATTTAAATCCTATAAAATTCCTATATAAATCCTTTGATTCAAAGTCCCTTAGTTTTGCTATCTTTGTACGTAAAAGATCGTATTGGTAGAAATGATTTTGTTGAAGTATCATCTAGTTGTCACGGCTATTTCTTTTTCATATATTTTGTAGAAGGGCACAGTATCAAAGTATTACATGTAACAGCGACTTTATGCTTCAGTTATGCTTCACGGTACTTTTTTTTTCCTTTTCATTCATATGCTTACAGCATGAAAATATTGGATGAACATAACACGTGCATTGACTCATCCGTTTTCAACACAAACAGGTAGACCACACAACCATAAGAATCACAAAAAATGCAACTAAACTATGAAAAATTAGGGGCATCTTTCCATGATGAGATATAAACCACATGCCCTGTCACACTAACAAAAGCAGATATACCAAAAACATTTGCCGGGACACAATGATTTCTGCAGGACTACAGCCGAGAAGAACAAAAGCCATCAAAACATCTATTGCTGGCTCAGTACAAGGATGGCCCAGGGATGGATACAGGGCGGCAACAAGCCTATCGACTAACTGCTTAGTACCGGTAAGATGACCCATATCCACCGAGACCTGAAGACGAATATCCACCCCCATCCATGCTAGAATACGATGGCAATGACGACGACGGATAGGTCGAGCTGCCATACTGTGAATAGCTTGGCCTATATACTGGATCTAATCCTGCATAGCTGCTCCTGACAGAATCCCTATGTGCCGCCAGAGAATCCTGAGGGAGGAGGACATGACATTAGAGATTTTTATGGCTGAAACTTGAAAATACAAAATTTTAAGGAGTATATATATGCCATGGTATTACCTGGATGAGTTGATAGGCAGCTTGTACTTGTGATGATGTCCCCTTCATTTCAACAGTAATATCGTCAGGGCTCCCCAAACTCTCTTGAATTGTGACGACTGCACCACTGTTAGCTCGTATGTATGCAATATTTGCTCCTTTCACTCCAATTATGTCTTCAGCGTAGGTAAGGGGAATTTGCATTGTTTGAGTTATCTGCGTGCCACGTGTTCTAGTCAGTAAACAGTACGAGGAAATAAATATTTGTACTGATAAATAATAACTGGCAAACATATATTAATGGATAGGATGCATAATCAAAGGCAAAAGAGACTCAAATTACAACAGATTTCAAAATCAAAGAACCACATGAATCATGTTTGTTCCAGCAAACAGCTCATCAGAAAAAAAAAATGAAGATGCATGTGAAACCCAAGATCAACCATACCTGTGAAAGTAGAGGGCCACCAGGTCCACCACCATGTATTCCAGAGGTTCGTAATGTTGACAAGGCAGGATCCCGCCCATAAAGCGAAACACCTGAGCGATGAATATTGTGGTCTATCAATGGTTCCCGTTCGAGAAACAGAGGGTCTCTCTTCATTGGAAGAATATATTCATCAACCACAGGAGGTGGTTGGTTTATTTGTGCAGAAACAATTGAAGGATGTGATATATCAGTCCAAGCATCAGTGCTGCGATCTTGAGTTACTGTAGCATTCTGAGAAACAAATCAGAAACGGCATATATTAGGATTGATAAGAAGGGTAAAGTAAAACATGAGATAAATGTGCTTACAGTCTTCTCAAACAATGGAAGTACACTATGGTCAACCAAAAACTTCCGGAGATGATTAGAAACTGCTTGAAGTGCTTTTAGGACTTTCTCTGTTTCCCCCTGGATCTCAACTATCCTTTCATCTTCAATTACATAGAAAGGTCGCTCTCGCTCATCTACATAAATTTATAAGTTGATATTATATATTGCTGTCACTTTTCAGGGTAATTGAAAATTTTAGAGGGTGTTTAAGTACAATACCATCAACACGCATTTGTTTGTACAAAATTGTACTAATTCATTTTTGTTGATCCCTTGATATCTTTCTACATCTAGAAAAGTTAAGCCTTTGGGTTTTCTACGCAACAATGTTATGTGCTAATTTGAAACTTTTCCCACAATATTTTCTACTGACTGTGACCAAGAGTAGAATGGACATGATACGTTCTTCCATGCAAGAAGACATGCAAAGTGCTCTACCACGCTTTCTTTGAATAAAATACGCATATCAAGACCATGGTTAATACTAACAGGGGAAGACTTCAAAATATCTATTACTTGCTTAAAGCCTTAAACCCATACAAACAGTATAAACAAAGGATCACAGAATAATGCACAGCAAGCCCTGGTGTAAAATCAAACTTTTACAGAAATTTTAACCATCAAATTGGCACAAAGGCAATGGTGTATTAACATGCTATGCATCAAGCGAGAGTACATTACCTATTGATATAACCCGTATTGTAGCACCAGTGCCCTCTTGGATGGCCTTAATTGAAGCACCTTGCTTCCCAATTAGGTTAATTGCCTGAGCTCCAGGAACCAACAAACGGGCAGCACATACACCAGGTGCAGTAGCTGCCTGTGTGCCCTCAGCAGCTCCATCTGTTATACCACTGACACGCTTAAAAACTCTCATGAGAGCATCCATAGCTGGAGGAAGCTCCAAGGCTGGGTCTTCTTTCCCAGACACAAGAACCTATAACCAAGAGGCGTGGGATTGATTCAGTTAGTGAATCCAAAGGATAACATCAAACGACTAAACAATAATGCAAACAACACTAATGTGAGTGCCCAATACAAAATTTCGAACACATTCAGAGAACAGATAGAATGATAGATTATTGCTTTCATCAATTTGAACCAAATTATAAATAAGATCGTTCTGTTTGAGTCACACCAAACCAGGCGAGATACAAATGCAGGAAAACATATTGAATGCCATCTGTTCACTACCCATCATCTTGAGAGATGAACTGCCTACAATCGTAAGCAATAACAAGTCCAATAACTTCAGGATAAGACCACCCTAACAAGCATAATTACAATAAGGCCACCACCACACACCAATACTACACGCAATCAACATCAGCTCTAAATTTGGCTTGAAATTTTAACCAATTTAAGAATAATATAAACCACCTGTCCACCTCTGCTCTATTATTTGACATGACAAAAAATGCAATTAACAATTGCAGCAACTCATAGGCTAACATATATAAGTCAAAGCAAAACAATCAACAAAATTTTTACTGAATATACACCCAACCTAAGCAGCTAACTCACAAAATCTCTAATTCAGAGCACTAAATAACATCTCTAAGAAAAGATCCTACCTACCAGACAATCCAACAATTTAATGTCAAATTTAGAGCTTCTAAAATACTCGACAAATTGAACGGAAAGAACTACATAGGCACTCGATAAACTAACTAGCGCGGGGCACTCACAATGCGCTCGGTGGCGCCGACGGGGCCCTCGAGGACGCGGACCTTGGCCTTGGTCTCCTCGACGAGGCGCTTGATGAGCTCCCCCTTCCTCCCGATGATGCTCCCGACCTTGAGCACGGGGACCACGAGCCTGAACACGCTGTCCCCGGGCCACCCGGGCCACCTCTTCGCCGCCGCGGCCTCCGCCGCCGGGACCGCCTCCTCCCCCACCGCCGCAGCCGCCTCGGCCTCCTCGGCGGCCGGCGCGGGCGGCGAATCGGGATCCCCGAACTCGGCGGCGGCGGCGGCAGCGGCTGGGTCGGCCATGGCTAGGGTTTGGGGCGTCGAGGCGAGAGAGAGAAGAGAGAGAGACTTTGTTGTTGTCAAGTGGTGGGAGGCAGACGGCGACGAGGAGGAGAGGAGCACGAGATCTGTTTGATTTCACACGAGCGGCACTATGGGCCCAGATCTACTAGCAGGCCGGGGTTTACGTTTTCCTGGGCCTACTCGTGTTGCCGTTTGGGGCTCATTTGGATGGGCCGCGATTGAACAAGGCCTTAACATTTAGGCTTTGGAATTCAGCTGTGGCCCACTTGTCATTCTCACATGTGTTACGGTTTAGGAAACGTGCGCGTGGAAAACGAACAGCTAAGGTTGGCAACCTTACTAAACGAGGGAGGTAAGGCGGAAAACTGTGGTTCAAGAAACCTTAGTGTTAGTTTTTTTTAAAAAAAGAACCTTACTGTTGCAAAAGCATTTCATATGGTAATTCTAGTAATGCCAATTTTGTATGTCCGATATAGAATTATACACTTTCATTTTTGAGAAATAGAAGGAGCATGAGAAGGAGCAACGTGTAGGTCAGCTTAGGCTTGGGCCCTACACATGACAACAAATTCTAAAGAAAAAAACATTAAATTTGAATTTTAATAAAATTTTAAAATTACATCGTTCAACTCTCCTGTTTAACAAAATCATGCCTCCGGATAGGAGGATGTGCGATTGATAGAGAAGAGGATATGTGAAACTTTGGATCCTAATCTAACGGCCCAGACTTCGCAAGTTTTAAAGAGCGAAGTCTTATGTATAGAGAGTAATAGTGTCCACTTCAAATAAACACATGGTAGACCGAAGTATGAATGATAGAGTGCCTTTTGTCATCTTGTACTGAGCTGGTCACCCCGTATGAGCTGGGTACGATCATGTGCAAGTGTTTCTAGCTTCCATGTTATCTGATGGTGATCTACTGGGTGGTACTGTAGTAGTCATGGTTGTACACAACTAGTGTAGGAAGCAATATCCTAGACTGCCAGAGGTCACTGTTTCTAGACAGGGTATTAATCAAATAGGGTATTAATGTTGGGTTTGATGGAACCATGCCACCCTAATTTTACAAAATTTGAGATATGCCACCCGTATCTCAATGACGTATAGGACCCACATGAGTTAATGACATGTGGGTCAGGGTGGTATATCATAAATTTTGTAAATTTTGTGTGGCATGATTTAAATTTTCCCATTAATTGTTTGATGGTCAACTTATCTTTGCAAGAAAACTGTGCTGCAGGGTTTAACATCAAAAAGTACAGTCTTCATTGTTTTGGGGCTTCTGTAATGTTTACCACCTGCCTATCCTTACAAAATTTGCACCTAATAAGGTTGTGCAAATTTACTGGAGACGGGTTAAATTGATTGTTGAGTTTCATGCATCATGCATCGATCAATTTCATATTGTGAGTTCAAATGTTAAGAAAAGAAACTATTTTTACTGTATACTTCAACCCCTAGTAAATCCCCTGTGGTGGTCCTGAGCTCATGACATCCCTGTTTTCACTTCTATTGCATAGGAGCCACAATTAGTGCACTTGTCACTATTCCAGAAGATAAGAAAGGATGGAAGCCATGGAATTCAGAAGACATGTACCAGCAACTCAACAAGAATGATTAAAGGCACACACATGCATTGGCATCAAAGTACATAGATAAAGTTAAGCTCCCAACCAAAATCCATCTCCATTTCACAGGGGAACAACCAAAGCAAATGGAAGCCTTTATGAAAAGCAAATGCCCAAAGAATCATCACTGTCCCTGATGGTTTACTCCTGTGATTCTTTAGGCCACTGATCCACATTGCATGGGCTAGCTAGCTAGCTAGGCTTCACATCACAGGTTCAAATACCATTGGCTTTGGCAGTTCTGGAGTCACATGGTTCAGTACCCACATGCCAATTCTCACCACATATATTTAATTTTGTCCATAATAGTTTTCTACCAATAGAAACGCTTCATCAGCTTAAACATTTACCCACCGACACATCTTCCCCCAAATATATTACACTCTAACAAATCCAATTTTCTTACCATAAGGTAATAGCTCAAAATAAATTATTTTGACCTTTTCATTTAAAAAAATACAAAATACAAACCACATCTGTAATAAAATTGTGTATGCTGTTATTGCCGCAATTAAGAACAAGCTAGTTACAATATAGTATAAGTGCACTAGCTTAGATCACTAAGTACAGCACATTAGCTTAGGATGCACATAACCTTCACCTGGAATGTCAAATGAGCATAGAGACTAGAGAGGGAATCGTTTACTACTTCTCCTTTCTGACTTGGCTGCAATTAAGCCTCACCTCACCTCACCTCGCCCTGCATCACTGGTCATCTCATCAGATCACCATTTGCAACCGCCGAATTTCTTGTGACCGGCATCCATCCATGTTCATGTCCAGCTCACAGCATTAAGGCCAAAGGCATTATATATTACACCCCCAGCTCAAAAGTTGGCACGCAGTGTTTGCCCTCCACAACCACTGCCTTAGCCCTACAAACCTCATGCACACCACGTTCTCTTCTCTTCTCTTATCACCCCTCCTCCTTGCTCTCCACTACTAACATCTGCATAGATAGTATATGACATGATGCATCTACTGTTCATGGTAATGGCACCCTTTAATTACCTGTCTGATATACTCTCTCCGTCCATGAATATAAGCGATTTTGGACTTGGACATGGTCACCAATATGTTATTTTGATCAATGGAAGTATTTTTTAAAAATAATTATTTCAAATAAAAAGAGTTGCATATTATGATAGTTTGTTTAACTCTAATTGCTGTAACATCATTCTTAAGTCATTGATTTTTATTTTATTTTACTGGCAGTCATAGTTAAAAATACTTGACTCAGTATTGTTCTAAAATAGCTTATATTTGTGAACAGAGGTAGTACCGCCCAAGATGCCTCTGCTGCCATGAGAATCTCTCCATCTCCTTGTAGTAGAATCTCTCATCTACTTGGCCCTTTTGGACAAGTACATGAGGTGAATTGACATTGCATTTAATTGTGTTCCTCTCTTTTTTTTTCTTTTCCTTTTTGTGACTCATTTACTTCTGCTCCTGTAACCCCTGATGCAACTCTGGCATGTTTGTTGCTTGCTGTTAAGGCCTTGTTTAGTTCTAAATTTTTTTTCCCAAAAACATCATATCGAATATTTGGACACATGCATAAAGCATTAAATATAGATAAAAAAACTAATTACATAGTTTGCATGGAAATCGCGAGACGAATCTTTTAAGCCTAATTAGTACATGATTAGCCATAAGTGCTACAGTAACCCGCATATGTTAATGCCGGATTAATTAGGCTTAATAATTTCGTCTCGCGGTTTCCAGGCGAGTTATGAAATTAGTCTTTTCATTCGTGTCCGAAAACCTCTTCTGACATCCTGTCAAATATTCGATGTGACACCTAAAATTTTTTTTTTTCGCGAACTAAACTAGTAGGAGAGCTCTGGAGTATGAAGAAAGCAATGGAACTTCTTCTCTTCTGGTAGATCGAACAAAAACAATTGGTTCTTTCTTGCCCTAGTGGACTTTCCATATTAATGGAATTGTACTCCAGTGACATTTATGCCAGTACCATCAACTGACTACTATTTCAGACTGACAACTTTCAGTTGCTCTCTGCATTTATTCAGAGTTTTCAGGTTCTATGCCCATCAAATATATAATCGAAAATTTTCATTTTCATGAGAGATGCTGAGCTGATCATTTTCGTCCAAACATTGAAGAAACATGCCATGTTCTGACCAATAACCCAATTGTCGCCACAATCCCATGATATCTCTCCTACCCTTTTCTTGCCCCTGCCGCGAATAATGTTCAGAAAAGAGGAAAATAAAAGAGAGAAAAAAAAAGGAAGCAAACAAGAGACATGCAATGTGCTGTGACTCACATGCGCACAAGTTAGCATCACTTAAACAATGGCAAGATCCCAAAGCTGATCCACCTATCCATGATCCATCCATCCATCGAACGAACAATGGCGAAAAAAATATCCCAAGAAGCTGACCCATCCATGAACCATGATCCACCTATCTAATCAAAGCTCAATTCTTTCACTAACCACAATTAACTAACACCTATGTACCAAGCACGGTAAAAAAAAGATTAAAGAAAAGAAAAAAGAAAGGCAAATTGACACCACATCCAGTGACAAAAAAGAAGAGCTCTGAACTTCTCATTGATTCTGAACTCCTGAACATTCAGACGGCGAGCTGATGCTGCTGCTGTTGTTGCTGCTGCTGCTGCTGCTTGTGATGGCAGCCGGCATCGTCCTGATCGGACGGACAGCAGTGCAGCCTGGGGAGATCGACGGCGGGCGGCTGCTCCAGGTAGGTCATCTCGCTCTGCAGCACGGCGCAGTAGGAGGCGAAGGCAGCCGGCGTGACATTGAGGTCGAAGGCGATGCCAAAGAGGAAGTCCACCTCAAGATAATTCATCTCCATCAAGCTGATGCCTCCCACCCTCGCGAAGTAGGCATTGTTGTAGCATCTGCATCGACGACGCATTGTGACGGTCATCAGGTTGAATTGTATGCACCGACCAGTTCAACCGAAAGATAAAACGAACCCGGTAAAAAAAAAACATATTCCAAACTACGACAAGAAGAAGAGCATATTCAGAGTTTTAGACCACTGATCAATGATGGCCAGGCCAGCCAGCATGTCACCGAAGCAATAGCTCTTGTCAATGGCGAAACGGACAAAACCGAGTGGCTTGTTTTGAGGGCAATGTGAGCCTGTGAGAAGGTAGATAGGACAAACACACACACACACACCCAAGGTGTCTGTCACTTTGGTAAGAATGGCGAATTTGGTAGTAGAATGGCCGCCGCATCAACCTCGAATTCGACAACTGTCCTTTGGATTTGTGACCAACTCGATGGCTTGGATTTGATGCTATTGCCAATGCCAGTTGGAAAATGCTATTGCTAGGTGAAAAAGGGGATTAGCTAGTAGGTCTGTGAGTGGGGACCACATGCCTGTGGTACAGTGGTGGGGCTGTGCAGCAGTGCTCGTGTGCCAATCAATCCAAAGGGGATCGATCGATCCATCGATTGGTCGATCACATTTGGTTCAAAAAACGAAAAAGAAAAAGGATTGGTCGATCACATTTCGCCAAGCAACATCGCTACTAAAGTCGAATTGTGCGATTGTAAAGAGAAAAAAAAGGTCGAATTATGCGATCATGCTGCTGCTGCATTATGCAACTTTGCTCAGAATTTCAGGTTGATTTAGTTCGATTTGATTTGGCTGGCTAGATAATACAAGAATATGCAACTTTTTTTAATCTAACCGGTGCAAGTGTTTATGCAATTGTGTTTTCAAGATAGAAAAAGAGTTCGTTTTTTATCTACACTTGCTCTTGAAGTTTCAAAATTTGAAATTCAGAAGCTACGAACAAATGCCACCGTTGAATCAATCTACAATTCTGTCGACGACGATCGCAAGCAAGCAACTCTGTCGGTGGCGTTGTCGTGCGTAATTCGCGTGAAATGGGGAATTAGGAAGTAAAAAAAAACAGAGAGAGAGTGGTGGTGCAGCGACGTACATGTCGTCGACGAACTTGACGGCGGTGAGGACGGATGTGATGAGGAGGCGGTGGACGTTGAAGGAGTCGACGGCGAGGGCAGGGCGGCGGCGGAGGAAGCGGTCGAGGTAGATGTAGGCGACGACGTAGCACGACGGGCTGCAGTTGGCGAACCGGAAGATCCGCTCCAGGTACCCTCCGATGGATATCGCCGGCTTCGTCAGCCCCTGGAACGCCGACACCGCCGCCGCCTCCTCCCCCACCGCCGCCGCCGCCGCCGCCGCGTCGTTCCGCTCCGCCACCCGCTGCAGCAGCGACGACAGGATCGCCACCACCCTCGGCACCGCCTCCGCCACCTCCCCCGTCCTCATCGATCGCTCGCCACGAGGAGGAAGGCGACGAGTCGAGCAGTAAGCGAGCGGGAGGAAGGAGACGAGATGGTGGTGGTGGTTATAAAGGGAGGGAAAACGCGAGGAAAGAGATGAAAAAAAAATTAAATTTCTAAGGAAAGATTGGGTCTTTGGGCTTGCAAGTTGGCATGATTAGTCTGTCTTTCTTCTTCTTCTTCTTCTTCTCTCTCTCGAATTTAAATTGAATTTCGCTTTAAAATTTCATTAACTGTACAGATGTATTTGTCGGCTGCACTGCACTAGTCCTTGCAGTGAATTTTGAGCAAGCAGGTAAAAATTAGTTTAAGTCTGGGTTTGATCAGATTCTCAAATTTAGATTATAAAGATGGATTTAATTTTGCTTTAAATTCGTATCAACTGTACAGATGGATTTGTCGGCTGCACTGCACTAGTACGTGCAGTGAATTTTGAGCAACCTGGTAAAAATTAGTTTAAATCTGGGTTTGATCAGACTCTCAAATTTAGATTATAATGATGGATCGGATTTTTGCTTAAATTCGTATCGACCGTACAGATAGGTTCGTACGGCTGCACTGCATTAGTACTTGCAGTGAATTTTCGGCAACCTGGTGAATTAAGTCAGTCTGAATTCTGAACTTGTGAAGTTCTTTTCTTGAGGGTTATCTGAACTGTGGAATCATCTGATTCTTGCAGCTTAATTTATGACAAGAGTGATAAGGTTCGATTCGAGAGCGTGTATTGGTTGGAAGAATTTAACCTTGGCAAGAATGCAGGGTAGAGCACTTTCAGAGCTAACCTGACTTTAGCTGCAATTCTCACAAGATGCACAAAGTCATTTTTCCAGCTGTTAGGCAGCCGAACGATGAATGGATGGATATACATGCACACAAATTCAGCGAGAATTAGGGTGTTTCGCAGTTCTAGCAGTGGGCATTCCGCACGAAAAATTCATGCATGTATTGGCTAATGATGGATCATTTGAAACGGTAATTAACTGATTAGTGGCGCTTCATTTTTTGTTTTTCCTCGTGTATTCCGTGCTGATTATAGGCACCCAGTTAGTCAAAATGTCAGTGTCGTCTTCAGCGTAGTATATTCAGCATCAACAGTGATCAGTTCAGAGATACATTGAACACTCGAAACAGACTGAACTCTGAAACTGAACATATGTGTGTCAGCTTCAGCATATGCAGCAACAGCACAGATCAATTCAGAGATACACTGAACACATACACACCTGAACAACCTGAAATCTTTTTGCGATTACACGACAGATGTAAATGCATGCACAACACTACACACGTAACACCACACTCACACAATGACAGATGCGCCATCTAACACATGCTCAAAGAGACGGGAATCCACAACACATCCCTGATCTTACTAAATTCTATTGAATGCCCACTAGTATGTCTGTAATATTCATGGGCAACAGGACTTGAACCCTGGTGGGATGGGTGGATATACATATCACAAGTGTTTCCCTGAACAACTTGAAATCTTAACATATGTGTCAGAACAGAAGGTGAAAACACCATCAGGAGGGGTGAAAATTTTAATATGGTAGTAATTCAGATTGCTAGGAGGCATCAGAATATGACATGTTTGTGAGGAACAGACAATCAGATTCTGCCATGCAGGCGACAGATTGGTTGGTGATCGATGCTGCAAGGGCACTACTGCAGTACTAACATATACTTACATGTTGCTCATCACGTCGAGGAGCATGCAAGCATGTGATGTTCTTTCCCAGCATCAGGAGCATCATCTCCATTTCTCTATCCAAAATTTCTCCCACAAGAATGTGCCTGTGCCAATGAGGTAGTACAAGTATATTGTGAACTGATCTGAAGAAAGATGCAGATGGATGGAACAGTTTGGACGAAAACTAGTAGAAGAGGGAAGGAATATACCCACAAGAATGCACATGAGAGACACCTTGGCAGTTCATCCAGAATATTGCTATTGTTTTTTGCCCCCTTTTGCGATTTAATAGCCGATTTTATGGGATCCCGTGGTCCAGCCAGACTCTGATCCATGTGATCAGGGTGGCTTAATTTATCACCATATATATAGTTAAACACAAAACCAAAAGCTACTAGAATAATTTTTTTCCAGGTCCTGTCACAGCAGAAAGCCTGATGATGATGATCATGATTCATGCACATATGCTGCATTGCGTCGCCCTCAGATGCTAATCATCCGGTCTAAGTGAAGGATTTAATTATCTCCTTTTGTTAAAGATAGAGAGAAAGTTAGTATAGCTACTAGTAGCTAGCATGAAGCTGCATGACATGACACCCTGATCCCATCTAATGCTGTGATGACACTCATTCAGTGTGCATGCATATGCTCATGTTATGAATTACAAGTGTCTGTGTCTTATCCATGCCACAGGGAGATTAGTAGTAGCATCTTAGAGTGATGCATCTGTTGTTAGATTAGCTGTCAAATTAATTAATTGATTGTTTAACAATGTGAGGGAGTGAGAAATGGATATAGGAGGAGGAGACTTTACAGCGAAAACGCCAAAGCACAGCAATTAGCAAAGCATGCGTGGTCGATCTGTTTCGGTTTGTCTGTCCCTTCCAAGCAGCATGAGGCAAGTGTAGCAGCAGTATTACTTGGCTTGCTGGGTGTGGTGCTGCCCCTAGCTGCGCTGTATTTGTTCCAACTGTCTGATCTCAGAACAAGATGAACAGATACATCTACTACTACTACCCTACGTGATTACAACCTCGTCTCCTCTCTCTTTATTTTTTTTTAAAAAAATTGACAGCAGCACGAGTTCCACATCTCTCTTACGGTTTGAAGAGGGGTTACCATATCTAGACAATAAACTGAGAACAAAATTTACCAAAATTTCCATATCAATGGTATTAAGGAGGAGGTGAGTCTTGAACCCAGGCTAACTAGCCCACTCACATGATGCTAGCCTATAGAAAGACCCATAAGTTAGGTCTTGTTTAGTTTCAAAAAATAATTGTCCAAAAACGTCACATCGAATCTTTGGACACGTGCATGGAGCATTAAATATAGATAAAAAAACTAATTGTACAGTTTGTATGGAAATCACGAGATGAATCTTTTGAGCCTAATTAGTCCGTGATTAGCCATAAAGTGCTACAGTAACCCACATGTGATAATGACAGATTAATTAGGCTTAATAAATTTATCTCGTAGTTTCCAGGCGAGTTATGAAATTAGTTTTTCATTCGTGTCCGAAAACCCCTTCCAACATCCGGTCAAACGTCCGATGTGACACCCATAAATTTTCTTTACACGAACTAAACACACCCTTAACGCACTAACTAGCTTGGCTTCGAAAGTCACCTCCTCCTTAATACGGAGTACCGCTGATATGGAGTATATCCCACTTTTTTTTGCCTGCTCACATAAGGCTGTGTTCGGGAAGTGAGATTGGGAACTCACCTCCTCGCATGCAAAATGGAGCGACGTATGTTCTTATGATTAATTAAGTCTCTTTTTTTTGAAAAATGGATTAATATAAACTTTTAAAGCAACTTTCGTATAGAAACCTTTTGTAAAGAACACACCGTTTATTAGTTTGAAAAGTGTGTGCGGAACACGAGGGAAGGTGAGTTGGGAAAGGTGGGGAAGAACACAGAGTCTTTGCATGGCACGTTTTATTGTTGTCCTGAATTTTCGACTTGGAACTGTCGCCTACTCATATGCTCCTTTGTTGTATTTTCAGTTGAATTTTAGTTTGTGGTTACCATTTTCCATTGTTGAGAGAAAAGGTGAGCATTTTATACTAGGAACCCTACTAGGCTCATGGCCTAGTGCTATTGAAGCCCGAGCTAGAAAAAGGAACAGCGACACGGCCTCTCAGGTCCAATACCAGGGGAAGCAGGAAAGGCCCAAAGTGGCCCACTTATCGAAGAGAAGCCTACTAAGCTCAGGCAGGGCCCAGTATAACTTGATCCATGTAGATTTCTCCATGTACGATTTTTCTAGATGAATTTTGTATGTACCTTCTTCTGGAATACATGATCTGCTTGTAGAGTTTATCGCCAACAAATCGTGCAATCTTTTCGCTGAAAGAAGCTCGTATTGTACTAGCAGAGGAGTAGAAGTTAGTAAGCAGGAACTATATGTCTAATGATCCTGCAAGTTTTCTTTGTTGGAGTGAAACGACTTTGTAAAGCCAGGCTGATTTTTATAAGGTTCTTCAGAGAAAAGGGGAAAAAGGAAGCCTAGGTCTATGCTGTTTTTTGACTGAATGTTGTGGTATGAGAAAGAAAAGGTCGTCTTGGGCAACACAACACGCACGCAGGCTAAAAGTGTCTCATTGTCTGAACTCTGAATAACCTGGGCAACACAACACACACACGCACGCACGCAGGCTAACCTGAAGAAAAGAACAAGCCCACAGTCTGTTGTTCTCGAGTGAATATATTATTTTTAATACAATGTTTTATTGAGTGAATGTTAAGCAATCGTTTTCCTAGATGTCCAGACTCTTCTGATAGTGTTCTTCGACCAAGCAAAGAACAATACCTAGCATCTTTTTTCCCTTATGCTCTCATCTTTGTTATTAGGTTGGTGATGTATCCACCTCCCCGGTTGTTCAGCGAAAAACCGTGATGTCTCCGTTAAGGCACCGGAGCAAAAATCATTAAAAAAAAACTCACTTTTGATTAGTACACCCTTCCAATTTTCTGGGCAAGAAAGCAGGAACCCAATCAAGTGGGGGTTCACTGATTTTAGCACACTGTTCCCCAATCTCTGCAGTAATCAAGCTTGTTACTGTCTGAAGACTGAATCGGTGAAACTCTGAATATTCCAACTCAGTCAGCCAGTCTGCAAACAAAATACTACCTAATCAGAGCCCGACCACTGATTGCTACTACTAACATGCATTACTACTTTGTCAAATCTATATTTTTTTAGGCTCCAACACCAACATAATAATATGACAAAAATATTTCTTTCTTTTAAAAAAGATCATCAAGGGAAACAAAATAAAGAAAGGCTATATGTAAAGTTTTTCTTATGAAATTCTTATTATACACGCTCATATGGCATGCTGCGAGTAAATCATTATTGTCTGTAAGTTAAATCAAACGATTAAGACTTTAGTAAGATTTTTTTAAGGTGTGTAAATAAAAAATTGAAACAAACAGCTGGGCTAGCATGCGCCAGAAGAGGATGTTGGTGTCTTGGTGGACTCGGCCGAACATTTGGGAAGAACCAACCACACCACCATGGTCCATGGCACCATGAGGTCGGTGGCGATCGCAACAAAAAATTCCACGGAAAAACTAGTGGAAACGGCCCCGTTTTTTTTTTTTTTTTTTCTGCAAATACGGCGACGAAGGCTCCATAGTTTGGTCAAATACCGATAATACGCCGTATAATGTATAACGTAATAAAAAATATGGATAAATCTTTTATACATATAATCCCTCCGTTTCTAAATATTTAACGCCATTGACTTTTTAGCAGATGTTTGACCGTTCGTTTTATTCAAAAACTTTTGTGAAATATGTAAAACTATATGTATACATAAAAGTATATTTAACAATGAATCAAATGATAGGAAAAGAACTAATGATTACTTAAATTTTTTTTAATAAGACGAATGGTTAAACATATTTTTAAAAAGTCAACAGCGTCAAATATTTAGAAACGCAGGGAGTACGTTATTAGTGACTTGAATACTAATTTAAAAGAATAACTTCAATGAAAAAAACTTTAAAATTCCTCACAAAATAATTAACTTTAAAATTAAATTTTAGCAGCAGCTGATGAGGAAAAGATGGGGCCGAACGGCCCGCATATTTGCAAACGAGAAGTAATTTATGAATAAAACTTTTGTGACTTAAAATTATTGACTGAAAAATAAATTTTGATAAAAAAAACCCCTCAAAATCAGCTTAAAAATTTAAAATTTGGCGATATGCAGCCGGAATTCTTTTCGTATTCGCAGCGCAGGCGACGCGCCGGTCGTCTCCCGGAAGTGCGCGACCCGTTAAAAACCGCGTCTTGACCTCGCCTCTCCTCCCGTGTCTCAGACTCCGCCTCCAAATAAAGAAAGCGAGCCGTGCAAGGACGCCGACGCCGCGGGGGATCCGAGCGGCGGCAGCGCGAATCTCGGCGATATGGGCGCGGCCGGCGCGGGCGCGGGCGCGATCCGGCGGGCGGCGTGCGCGGCGGCGGACAGGGCGTGCGCGGCGGCGAGGGGGGCGCGGCGGGCGCTGGCGCGGTTCGCGCCGCGGCCGTCGGCGTTCGGCGCCGCGGCCGACGCGGAGGCCGCGGCGGTGCGCGCCGTGCGCAACCTCCGCACGTTCCGGTTCCACTACGCCGCGCTGCAGTGGGCGCTCCTCCTGGCGTCGCTCGCGCCGCGGCACAGGGCGTCCATGCTCTTCCTCATGGCGGCCTCCAAGGGCCTCCTCCTCTACGGGGGGCTCCTCCGGGTGTTCCCCAACTCGGCGCTGCTCCGCCGCCTCCTCGACCGCCGCCTCGTCGCCCTCGTCTTCGTCGCGCTCGTCCTCGCCGACCTCGCCGCCGCCGGCGCCATCGCCAACCTCCTCGCCGCGCTCGCCGTCGGCGTCCCGGTCATCGTGCTCCACGCCTCCTTCCGCGTCCGCGACGACCTGGAGGGGCCCTCGCTGCCGTCCCCGGCGGCGGAGAACGGCGAGGAGGAGACGGCGGCCGTGGTGGAGAAGAAGGAGGACGGCGACGTCGAGGCAGGGCCGACGCGGCGGTCCATGGCGGCGGCGCCAAGATCGCCGAAGTGACAAACACTTCTACTTACTACGAGCTATAGCTAATTGATCATACGATTCAACAGGTAATTGGCCAGATCTGCCTGGCTGTTCTTGATAAAGTCAATCTTGGCATAGAATTTTTTGAAAAAAAAAAGAGAGAGAAAAAAAATCATCCGTAGAATGTATAGATAGTGAGAGAGACTCAACTCGATCTGAGAAAAGGAATTGAGAGGTTTCTTGGTAAGGCATTCATTCTTCTGTAGCAATAGAGGATTGACCAATATTGAGTTCTTGATCAAATACCTAATACATTTGCAAGAAATGACTAGAGAATACTCTGTGTTTTGGCCACTGAATCTGATGATCTCTGAAATTACTGAAGAATCAAGTCGTTGCTGCATTCATTCAAGTTCAGAAATTATTCATGGTCCTGCAATGCCGTACTACCTCCAAGAAGTTTGTTGGTTTTATACCCTTTTTTCTCTCCATTTCTTCGAGAAGAATGTGGAAGTGTAGTTGCCATTTGCCAATCGTACCATGCGACCGTGAGAGACGAGCGCACCTAACTGCTAACAACCAACGCAACGGCAACGCCAATGCTTCCTGGAAGTCGCACTTGCAAGGTCGCACCTCCTCCAGCTCCAGCCTCCACACGCCGTCGCCTTCGCTTCACCGATGCATTTGCTAATTGGCAAAATTTGCCATGTGCTGATGTGCCTACCTCTCTTTCTCTTTGTGCCGGTACACTTGCAAGTAAAGTCAGCTAATGCCAGCAAAACTATTCCCATTGACACAAACACTATTGCCTTTTTTTTTAAATTTATTTTACAGTGGATATTGTTGTTGCAGATTATGAACTTTATTATAAGAACAATATATATATATATATATATATATTTTTGAGAAATAAATTTAAGAACTAACTTAAACAAATTGTCCAAGTAAAAAAAAACTTATTTTTTCAAGTATGAAGTAAACCATCCGTTTCAATAATCCGACTAATAAGCTGAAAAGATCCGAACCTAAAGCCTCCTTTGGTGTCAATGAACTATTTCTTGTGAAAATCCTACGAAACTCCCTCGTTCCAAATTCACTACTAGTTCGGAACGCAGAAATTTACCGAAAGTAATGCAAGTTGAACTGTCAGCATATACACCTCATTATCCGGAAGAGAAAAAAAATCAAACAATGTACACCGGGAAGAATTTGTTAATTTTTCTTTGAGATGAGTGAATGAAGTGATTAGTATAGTTCCTACTACTACTCTCTATAATGTCGAGTGAAATGGAGACAGGGGTGAAATGGCTCAGGCCATGAATGCCGTTTTGGAGGCCCACGAGATCTAATTTGGGCCCAAGTTTGCGAGTCTAGCTAGGGTTGGGTGGAGATCGATGCGGTGTCTCACGTGGTTGGGCCGGACAGTGCAGGAGGCCTATATATGGGAGGGGCACCCACGGCTAGGGTTTCCCTTCTCCCTCAACCTACGGCGCCGACCACCTCCAAAACCAGACCCCGAAATCTCGAGGAGCTTGTCTTTTTTCGGTAGCAATGGCGTTGGAGCAGACCTTCATCATGATCAAGCCCGACGGCGTCCAGAGGGGCCTCGTAAGCTTACCTTTCACTTCCCCTCGCATCGATTTGGTGTTGGCTAGTGCTTAGCTTCAATGTGTTTGTCTTTTGCTTGTTTTGCTCAGATTGGCGAGGTCATCGGCCGCTTCGAGAAGAAGGGATTCTACCTCAAAGGTAACCATGCCCACCTTGCCAATGATCCTGATTTGTGCTTGCGCTGCACCGTGAGAAGATTAGATTGAATCTTTGTGCTACACAACACGATGTGCCATGCTATTTATGTGTTAAAAGGATTTCTCTCTCTCCCTCTGAAACTAAGCATGTTTTGTTGTTGAGTAGCTTAATTTCTTCGATCTTTCCTCACTCCGTGGGTCTAATTAGTGGCTTGTTTGATGATTTATGCATCGATTGCTCTGTGGGGAGCGATGATTTTTTTTCTTTTTGCTGATATGCTATCTGAACATGCAGCCATGAAGCTCATCAACGTGGAGAAGTCGTTCGCCGAGAAGCACTACGCCGATCTGTCCTCCAAGCCCTTCTTCGGAGGGCTCGTGGAGTACATCGTCTCCGGCCCCGTCGTCGCCATGGTCTGGGAGGGCAAGCAGGTCGTCTCCACCGGCCGCAAGCTCGTCGGGGCCACCAACCCCCTGGCCGCTGAGCCGGGCACCATCCGTGGCGACTTCGCTGTCGACATTGGCAGGTCAGGTTTCGTTCATTCACTCTGTGGTTTACATTCATCAGTGGGTGATAAATTTTAATTCAGTTGCATCCTCCACTGCTTGCTCACTCTTAATTTTGATTTGCTCATATGTTGCTGTGCGCCAGATTCAAATGCAAATTCCACTGGAGTATAATTAGAGATGCCCATCACAGTTATTCTAAGATGCTTTATTTTCAGAAACAGATGCTAAAATGATTTTTTTCCTCCCAAGAGGCATGGTATTAAATGCTTTTGGAGAAACACCTAAACTTATGTAGCACATGAAGGCTTGTGTAGTTCAAAATTACTTATGTTTCTAAAGTACATTTTGGTGTGTTGTTTATTTTATTGTGCAATATATAGCATTGGTCTGTCCTGGGAGCTTAGTTGACTGACTCCCTGTTGAATAGTTCTGTCTAGCTTAAGCATGGTGAGAGCATCTGACAGGGCCATATGCAATGTTTTATGCACTTTGAAGTACCAAGTGATACACTGTCCAATCATACCAAATAATTGCAACCGTGCTGATTCATTCTACTACTAGTATCTTATTGATTGAATTTTGGTTTATATATCACTTTATGGGTCCACTGTGGGACAGCACCATGTGCTACATGGTTTACCATGATTAACCTTGCATCCAAATTTTCCAAGTCTAATTCGTGGTCCACAGAAAAAATATATACTTTCTTAATGAATAAGAGTGCATTTTACCATGTGAATGTTTCAATGGCCCAATAACACTTCATCATTTCGACCAGCAAAAACAAAAAACAATCATTAGGACTGGCATCTTACTATCACAATGATTGCCTTGTACTCCCTCTATTCCACATTGATCTACATATTTCATAGGTACACCAAGACCAAGAAAAACTAATAACTCTCTCATACTATATTTACTCTAGCAACAAACTCGATGTATGCACCATCCCCAATATTTCCTAGTCAATAGCAAATTAAGATATTGCATGTGGGTTATAAATACTTGTGTGCATGGATACATGCATCAATGTTCATTTACTCCAATGCACAAATAACGAATAGACTTAATAAGTGAACACAAATATGTAGATCATTTAGGAATAACCTCAGAAAAACTATACGTAGATCAATTTGGAATGGAGGGAGTATGTAAGGACAAGTATGGTCGACAGAACACCAAATGGTGCTCTAGAGTCCTTCAAATTTACCTTTCTACTAGTACTCATGTTATCCCTTTGAGTTCTCATCTGTTCATAGACCTAAATATGTATCCAGAATCCAAGTTCTAAAGATGACCTCATACCTTGCAGGAATGTCATCCACGGAAGCGACTCGGTCGAGAACGCCAGGAAGGAGATTGCTCTGTGGTTCCCTGAGGGCATCGCCGAGTGGAGGAGCAACCAGCACCCATGGATCTATGAGGTCTAAAATGCCTTGTCACTATGAACCTGGAGAGTTGGCATCTGAAGATCTACCGTGCTATTTAGCTGCTATTTTATAGTTGAGAATTGAGATCAGCATCTCAAGAACCTTTGTCTGTGCGAACTGAAGTTTTTCTTCATTATGTTGCATGTTATGCATGCATTTACCAGTTGCTCTTGATATATGGTATTGCTTTAATCCTTTGATGTGGAGTTGCATTGCATGGTGTTTGAAGCCTTATCATTTGAGTGCTGGCAACAAGTTGTGTTGAACATAACAAGTTCGTTTTCAGTTAGTTTGTTCTCTTTGGTGCAACTCTTCGTTAGGAAACCAAACCTGTCTAAGCAAACCTGTCTAAGAGGTCAGTAACGTGGGGCATCAACCAATCTAGTGGATCAAGATACAGGTTATACGTAAATTAGTGTAACTAGGTCGATATTGGTTATTGCCAATAAATTGTTAGCTAAGCCTTGCCTAACCTTCATTGTGTGAGCATAGGCACCAACCAAACATTGCCTGGCATGCTCTTGCTTATGTAGTGAAGTGCTAAATCATGATTTATGGTCTCACGAAATTAGTTGCTCTGTTTTAAAATATATAGCAAGAGTTATAGATGAGGCCACTCGATAAAATATAACAACAAAATATATGTTTTAAAATATAGCAACAGTTATAGATGAGACCACTCAATAAAATATAACAGTTAATTCATACTTATATCTTACCTGGTATAGATAGATTCGTACTATCACATGGTACCAATGTCCTGTATATTTTAGGATGGATGAGGATGGATGGAGTATTTGTAAAAAGATGATGGTAAAAATAACAGTTATCAGCAACCATAACAGTAGAACGTATCACAACTCAAAATGCTACTACAGTCCACTACCACACTGCAATCATGTAACTCCGAACACAATTGCAAAAAAAATCGCTAGAGAAAACTCACCTTTTTTTTTTTTGGATGAGAAGATTAGAAAACTTACCTTTTTACAGGTGAATTTCAACATTTTTCGTCAATGACCTCACTGTAGTGTCTGAGTTCTCAGCGAGTGACTTTCATCTTGAATTGGAGAGCACACTGCATTTCCTGAAGTGCTACTGGCTATTGCCATTTGAATGAATTCAATCAGAAAAAGTGGTTTTCTTCCCGCATCGAAAAGGATAATACTATATCAAGTTTTCTAAGGTGGTTTGTACATAATCAGCGGCAAGTATCATGGTCCAGGTTCAGCTCATCTCTTACAATCGATGGATTGATACAAACAAAGGTAACAAAATAGTATTATGCTGCATAATTTTTGTCTGGCTATTATTTATCCTTATTCAAGCACTGTTCTTGTGTGGCGTTCTGGTTCAAACTTGCCCTTCACCCGTAGCAACGGATGGGGTCGTTGCAACCCTTCTCCGCAGACTGCCTGAACCCGAAGCGACCGCCTTTCGCAAGGTATTGCTGGTGGTACTCCTCTGCCCTGTAGAACCTCTTTGCAGGAAGAATTTCAGTGACAATCGTCCGATTCAGAAGCTTCTGCTGCTTCTCCAGAGATTCTCTTGCCGCCTTCTCCTGCTCAGGGGTGTAGTAGTAGATACCTGACCTGTATTGGGTCCCAACATCATTACCCTGCATACAAAGAGTTCAGAGTATATGTGATCAGAAACTTCAGTTATGTCAAACAGTCAAACGGATGCTTGAAAGAAATAGAATCTAATTGTCTAGGAACAAGTTTATCTAATGCAAATCAGCATTGGTTTGTTCAGAAAACAGAACAAAATAACAGGCTAAGTTATTTTTTTTCAGTTAGTTTGTTATTTTTGGTGGCACTCCTTGGTAGCAGTCAATTGTCCACCAATCTAAAGAATCAAGATGCAAGTTATACATAAATTAGTGAACACAAAATGATACATACTATAGGCAATCGATCTTGCAAAATTACATAGCGCTGCCCAAGTGCAAGGTTATGCATTACAAACACTGCAAGACATGCTAGACTCAGCACCACTACAAAATTAGATGCTTGTCAAACCAACCGATAACACCAATATGATGGTATATACTTGCTAACAGTACCCACACTATAACATTGACTGCTCAAGATTAATATGCAGGTAGCCACTTGGTATTCGGCCCTTTGATGATGAAAGTGCAAACTGCAGCTGGGATGCTGCAAATTCTTGATCCAATATAACAGAACCTGATTCATTGGGCCCAATGGTCCCATGAACAGGACAATCAACGCTGAGTGCCCACAGCCTAACACAACCATGACGCTATGACAGTCTATTCTCTGCCAGTGCTCAGGATTATGGGATTGTGGTACTTGCTGTAAACCAAAACTGCGTAAAGAACATAAGGCCAAAGTAAGCTCCTTTGGTTGGTGAGGAACTCATCAATAATTCCGGTCAGCCGTGACCTGCAAGCTAATTAAGAAACCGCAGTACTGATAGTCAATTCTATGCCGCACTTGTCACAGGTTTGAGCTCTTACTGTGCACGACAGCACCCACGTTTCTTTCGTATATAGAGTGATTTACCTTACTCGCGAGGAATTCTTCTTCTCTGTAAAAATTTGCAGTAGAATATCTGTCTAGTGACTCCTACTAACTGAACTAGTAATATCAGTAGCCTAATTCTTCAATTCCACTAAACCCTCACGAAATTATCGTAAATGAAATCCCCAATTCTGAACCTCCCTGCCACCCACTCAATCAAAGAACCCGAAATTAAGCATAGAGCAAGGTACGGTAAACGAAATCATGCGATTAGGTTTGTGAATCGAGTTAATCTGTGGCTGGCTGACCTGGCGGTTGGGCGTGGTGGGATCGTGGCGCGCCCAGAAGACGTCGAGGAGGTCGTCGAACTTGCAGGCGGAGACGTCGTAGTGGACGCGGACGACCTCGTTGTGGTAGGTGGCGCCGGTGCAGACGTCCTCGTAGGTCGGGTCGTGGAGGTTCCCCTGGCTGTATCCCACCTCGGTGCGAGTCACGCCGGGGACGCGCTGGAACGCGAGCTCCACGCCCCAGAAGCACCCGGCGCCGAACTGCGCGAACTCGTTCCCGGCCGCCGGGCGGTCCTCATCGGGGCCCTGCGCCAGCGCCGCCGACGCCGCCGACGCCCGCGGGCTTCCCCCCAGCCCGCCCAGCCCCAGCTTCCCGAGCCAGCTCATCGCCGCGAAACTCGTCCTCGTCGTCTGGGTGGTGGTGGTGCTCGGCGCGAGGAAGCCGCGGCGCGTCCGGTGGAGGAGAGGGGCGCCGCCGCAGCCGCAGCCGCCGCCTCCGCGGAGGCGAGAGGCGAGGAGGAGAGGGGACGTGGAGGAGGTGGAGGCGAGGAGAGGAGGCATCGAGGGAGGCTTTTCCTTTCCGCTTCGGCTTTTGTGGCGGCGTGGCCCAGAAGCTTCGACGCGCGGTTGGTTGGTGCCTTGGTGCCTGGTGTGGTTGCTTCGCTTGCCTTCCCTTCTCGGCCTCTTCTCCTTTTGCATCTGTTGCTGCTTCTCGACTCTCGCGGCGGCCTCGCGGTTTCAGCCACACACACACCACACAGTATCCATCCGAAATACAAACAAATTCTGAATTTTGGAGCAAATCCATTTTGAATTTTGAATCCTGTATATTGGATTAGTGTTTTGAATCCAACGGAATATTATTGTTTGAAGGGAATTAAACGCTGTTAGATTATCAAGGAGGAGGTAAACAACGGGGTTAACGGCTTGTGGTGGTTACTTGTATCTGGTTGCCGTTCAGCCGGGGAAGTGGACAACATTTAGGCTGTGTTCGCATGCACCTTTTCCCATTCCCTCTCTCTCGTTTTCCACGCACACGTTTTTTAAATTGCTAAACGGTGTTTTTTTAAAAAAGTTTCTATACGAAAGTTGCTTAAAAAATAAAATTAATCCATTTTTGAAAAAAATTAGCTAATACTTAATTAATCACGCGTTAATAGACTGCTCTGTTTTCCGTACGCAGGAGTTGGGTTCCCATCTCCCCCCATCCGAACTCAGCCTTAGGGGCTGTTTACTTTGATGTCATTTTAATCCATACAATTTTTTAATAAAGTAAAAAAAATGTGCATCTGTTTGATTTCTTAACTTTGGTAAATATCCTAGAAATTTGGCAACTGCATAGTAATGACCAAAATTGGGTGCATGTACGTTAGCAATAAAGTGAACACATCTAAAATAGCTATCTTGCCAAAATTTGGCAATATTATCAACCTTACCAAAATTTTGGTATTGTAAAAATTTAGTAAGATTTATTTTGGCATCAAAGTGAATAGCCCCTTAGACGGTGGTTTTGTTTGGGTTTAGTATTTGACAAAATCGTTTTGGATAAGAAATCAGGAGGGTTATGCGCGACGCGTGGTGAGCAAAGCGTTGCAATTGCTGCGAAATGGCATGGCAGATGGAGTACATACGAGTGAATGATGTTGACTGATGAAGCAGAATGCGGATGGTTCAATGGTAGACCACGTATACGGTTCAATGGTAGACCACGTATACCGTGTGGTACGCACGAAATGTACACCGCATATATAAAAAAGAAGTGAACAATAATGAACAAAAGTGGAGAAAATTTTTTTCCCCATTCGATTCCAGGAAGCAAAATGGTCTACTGGTTGGTATTATCAGTCTGGACGAGTCTCCTCTGACATAAAGTCAGAGGGACTTTGTCACTGATATGTGGGACCCACAAAGGTTGGGCCCACACGTCAGTAACCCACGTCCATCTAACTTTGTCAGAGAAGCGCGTCAGTGACCCACGTCCCACAAAGGTTGGGCCCACACTTCAATGACCCACGTCCCACAAAGGAGCGCGTCAGTGACCCACGTCCCACAAAAGTTGGGCCCACACGTCAGTGACCCACTATCAGTCTATCAACATTGACAGGTACATCAAGTAGCACATGATCATCGTGCATGAATTCAACACCAGTACATCACGCTGCCATCTGGAGCAAACATTGGTACATTTGACATCTTACATATTTTTGGGGGGTATATATAGTATTTACATGGTTACATCAACATCTGAGGGAGCAAAATAGTTAAGACTATTGGCACACTGGTTAATTTGCTGGTGGAGGCAATCAACTTACAGAGTTAACAGTAGTCGGCACGGTGGAAGAAGATCGCTTCGACTCGTTTGCCTTGACCGATTTGTCTTGAGGCAAACATGGCAGATTATTAGAAGGGGCTGGCCTTCTAGCAAGCCTGTGCTGCCGAATTAGATCATGGCACGGAGCAAAGAAGTCGTGCATCAGAGCATCCTCTGATGTGATCCTGCACCTGGGGTTGACTGATAAGCACTTGTCTACAAGATCAAACAATGAGTCAGGTATCGACTTGAAGAACTCCGGCCTGCGCGTATTGGCTGCACACCACTCCCTGAGATCCACTGAGCGCAACGATTTGGCATCGAATAGGTCCTGAAAGCAATGAGAAATGTTCTAAGAATCACCGCTGTTTCTGTTTCGGCAAAGCTGTTCAAAGGTTATCAACACTTTTGGTTAAGCTTCACAGTTCCTTGATGTTCAAAGGTTATCAACACTTACCGATGGGTAGGAAGATTCACAGTTGTGCAGTTTCGCCACCTCCCATAGTTCTTCGCTGCCTCTAAGCTTTGCTATTTCCTTGATGTTCCTGTATTTGAGAAGATATATCATCAGCAACAACCTTTAACATGTTGAGGAATCAGAGCTTTGCAAAATGCATTAGTAAACTCACTGTTCAGGATCTCCACCAAAAGGCGATTTGCCAATTATGAAGTACAGGAGTGTCACCCCTGCTGACCAGACATCAACCTTACAACCTTGATGGAAAGACCTAAAAAGAACCTGCAGGTAAAGACACCACATAAATGCATGGCCCGCAAAGCTGAAAGACAAGCTCTCATGGTTTGAAAGAGACTAAAACCTCTGGAGCTCGAAATCCTTTAGTTCCAACACATGGACCTTCTCTTCGATGTTTTCCATTTCCTGCAAGATTGAGATATTTATATAGATGAAACATCTCAGAGGATGCTGGGTTCAGTGAGAAGGTATAAAGTTTGTAACACACCTTTGCTGTTAAGCATGCCAGAACCAGCAATAGCACTACCACCCGAACACAGGGGCATCGGGGTGAGTATAAAGAGCTTCTGATCCACATTTCCGAGAGGAGCAGCAACCCTCTTCCTTTGGGAAACAGGTGCTGTCGAAGTATTTTTGTCAGGACTTTGCATTGCATCATGCAAGAAGTTCATTAATTCCTTCCGCCCTTTGTAGGGCATTGGCTGCTTCAACCTGTCTAATGATGTTTTCGTGCTTGTAGGATCCTTGGCAGAGGTTACACCAGACACATCAGCAGCTTGGATACCATGCCTACTTTTATTATCATTCTTAGGTGCACTACCCACTGGGCTTCTGTTGGATCTTTTCCTCTTGGATCCAAGGAGCTGCTTTGAATCGGCAACTGGTTCTTTGGCCTGAACCACTGGGGTAGACTTCAGTGCAGGCTGAGATATGGTATCCTTCCCACGTGAGATTGTCTCAGATTTACCTAACCAATTAAACCAAAATATCAGTCAGCAACAGTCTTAAAACATTCCAAATCTGAAGAGTTTGAAATGCATTTAATAAGAAGCAGAATGCATTTTCAAAAAATAAATTCGTTACCACCTCAAATAGCCTAATCATTCCAAACCTTGGACTAACTGTTGGAATAATTTAATAATGCTAACATGCCAACACTAAGATAAAATGCTCCAAAGTGGAATATTTCCCAGGATATTATTAGCGGCATGGAAATTTTCAAGAGCTATATTCAGTACAGAGAGCCTAAAACTGGAAGAGGCAATAACACAGAACAGATAACAATCAATGCACTGCAATTAACCATCGAAATTCAAAACAAAATTCGAAACTTAGAAAGTGAACTTACTGTTTCGAAAGAACTTCTGGTGAAGGTCCTGCATGGATTTTCAGGGAAAACACAAAATGTTAAAATTAGCATAAAGAAAACAGAAGGCGAGCATCAGATTGGGAGATAAGTATATGCACTAACATTTGCCAAGTTGAAGTCAATAAGATACCCCTTTGCCAGTTTACGGGAGAACAGGAAATTTCCAGGTTTGACATCTCTATGCACTATCCCCTGGAAACAGAAATATCAGATATCCAAGATAAGCTGGTGACAAACGCAAGTTAGCAGTTGACTAAGGTAACATGCATTTAACCAGACCTGCTTATGTAAGCTTGCCAGAGCTTTGAACAGACAAAACCCATACCACCTTAAATCAAACAAACCTATTTCTTTTCTCAGATTCTGCAGAGATAAAAGAAATATTCAACAAAAGATGGACCAATATGAATAGCCAATAAAAGGAAAAATAAACATCAGAGACAACATGAGTGTTTCAACCTCTGGTCTATCGTGCTCAACATGTTCTAGAACAAAGCATTCTAGATCACCACTCCTAAGAGAGCACTCATATTTAATCACGAAATTCTTGCCTCTGCAGCAGAAAAACATGATACATATGTTTAAAGTTACTGCATGGAACAAGAAAAATATCATTATAAAATTTTCGGAGGACATGAACTTATTAGTACCCAAAGCGTTCCAACATCTTCTGTTCATTGTAAACATGATGTGAATGAGCATTTGCATGAGGACCTGTTAATAAAAAAAATACAGGTGCAGGGTTAACTCTTGTAAAGATCTTAGCCATATAATTATAGAAAGATGACTGAGACTGTCAAAAGACAAAACAACAGAAGATACATTTATAGATCAACAAATCCACATGAAAAAACATCAAATCGAGACTAGCAAAGAGATGTACACACATTTTATGGCAAACAGTCTTCCATCTGATTTTCTTCGAGCCCTATAAACAGTCCCGTAACCCCCTGAGTATGCGTAAACATTCACATTGGTCAGCAATCAATATAAACCAAGAAAGTTTTAACAGAATATTTAGAAATTCTCACCTGAACCTTCCTCTTCTTCAATTTCAAAATTTTTGAAGTTAGGCAGTGGTTTTGGTTCTGTATGACCCTGCAAGCAGCAACATTCAATAAATCATTTTTTGAAGATCAGTATAAGCTATTTTTCAAAAGAAATACAAGGTTCATGATGGTTACAACACATCAGTAGTGCATGAAACTGTTCATAAATAGAAAGAACCTGAAATAGCAACAGTTGAGTCATCATCATGTGGACAAACTAACCTTTTGAACCTTTGCTGCAACTTGATCCTTATCTTCTTTGGGCAGTGCTTCTTTTTTCTTGCCCTTATCCCTTTGCTTCATAATCTTTCTATCTTGCTCTTTCTTAGATAATCTGACAGCCACTTCGTTCTGTGTTGATGGCTCCACATGATTTTGATGTGTGCTTGCTCTGTTTTCAGCAGCAATGTTCAAGTTCTCATTGCTAATGCAACCATAAGTTGGGGCTTGTAGTGGCAACACTGCATGTTCAACCTTTGTGTTTGAAGAAGGTTGACACAAACTTCCCATAGTTTCATGGACCATTTCATGTACAATAGCTTCTGTTTTGGTGCCTTCAGGAGGCTGGAATGTAATGTCTTCTATCTTATTCTCATGAATTGCCACATGAGCATTAACTACTAGAGCATCACTGTCCTGACCACAAGTTAGGATCTTCTGTGGGTATTGAGCATTTGGGCTGCAATATTGTAGAGCTTCAGCTTCTTTCGAAATCACATCGAACGTTTCCATATCATCTGTTGCCTTTGTGCTACAATTTCTAGGACTGCTAGGTCTAAGATTCAGATCCTGCTCAATCCCATTTTTCTTTCCCACAGCTAAGCCAACTGCCATAGTAAGGAGGGTGGACTCCTTTTCTAGTTCCTCACGGTCCTCTACTCTAGAACAACAAAGTGAAGCTGATCCTTCAGGTTCACCAATCCTAGTACTCTCTCTGTCAACTGTAGCATGGAAGATATTGATACAGCCAGACATGTCTGTCACCTCCTTTGGCACTAGTGCAGAAGCCATGCTCACAAGAACACTGCCATCATTGCCTCCTATAAACTGGTCAATCTTGGACGGAAGAGAAGGCATGCTAATTTCAATGTCTGAAAATACATTAGAGCCAATTGAAACTTCAAAGGAACGCTGAGCAGTAAATATGTTGAGACTAGGAAGCCTGTCTTGCAATTCTTGGGTAGCCTCCTGATGTACCTGAGGCAAGACACAGAAAGAAGAGAAAAATGAAGTAATAGGTGAATTCTACTAATAATGAAAGTTTTAACTACTTGGAGGGTCAAGATCAAGACTAACATACAAACTTGAGACATATTCAAGAGAATTATCTTTCATGGGGTCATCCATTTTGAGAGTATGATATGTCCATAAAAATATGTGTATCAAAGCATTGGACTGCATAGCTTATTTCATAAAATCACTGAGAACATTGCAGGTCAATTCAATAGGTAGCATCAACCTAGTGACCAAAATAGTCAAATAGTCAACTAAAGAAATCTCTCTCGTCATTTGCAGTGAGAAATGTCCACAGAAGGAGCAGACCAAGCCCCAATTGTAATTAATTATCGAGCAAAAAGTAAATCAGAAATGTAGGACAGCAGATTCAGGCCTTGTTTGGCTAATCCCTCCACAAGGGGCTTCGGAGGGGATTAGGTATGGAATTAATCCTGTACTCGTGGGGATTAACCGAACAAGCCCTCAGTGTGATAACCTAATTTTCCCTGCATTATCTACAGCAAAGCTACTAGAGCAGTTATGCATTGTGTTACTGCACCATGATATTTCTGCGACTAGAAAAACTTGAAGGTTGAAAGAGATAGCACACCTCTCCAGTAGCAACTGGAGCACAGCTTTGCACGATCAGTTGCTGCGACTGCCGCAGCTCGTGTTCCGGCAAATCTGTACAAAATTTTCCCAAATGGAGTTCAAAACCACACTACTGATGGCTCCGCATAAACCAACATCAGTACAGAAAAACAAGCAAAGTAACCTGCATCGGGAGCCGCCAGGAGACGCTTCCTCGCGACGAAGCGCCCCGCATCTGACGCCTTCCGCTTGCGCTCGTACGTAACGGGCACCCGCCTCCGCAACCACCTCATCACATCATCGGGCGCCCTCGGGCTCACCCTCGGCGGCGGAACATCCAACCCCACGTACCTCAGGAACGCCACGAAGGCCGTCTCGGAAGCCGCCACGACGCCCCCGGAGAGCCGAAGCGGCGACCCGGGGATGCGGCACAGCCGCTCGACGTCGTCGGCGGTCGCGAAGCGCGCGACGTCGGAGGCGGCGGCGGGCCGGCCGAGGCGGATGACCACGGTGAGGAGGTGCCACGCCCGCTCGATCTCCGACGAGCCGGCAGCCTTGGAGTCCATCGGAGATAGGGCGGAGGGGGCTCGGATCGGATCTGCCGCGCTAGTGCTCGGAAGGCATGGGAGGAGGAGGCGCCGCCGCCGCGGAGGATTTGGGGAATGGGAGAGAGAATGGGGGGAACACTAGTACACTACTACTACCTTGTTCTTGAGGAGGGGGTGGTGTTTTTGCGATTTGGTCCTTGGAGTTGGTTTCTCACTTGAGGAGGGGTTGGTTTTTTGCGATTTGGACCTTGGAGTTGTGCGATTTTGTGGGTTGGTGGTGGGCGGGAGGCGGGAAAAATTTTGGTGCGGGGGGGTGGGAGTTTTGGGGAGCGGGTGGATCTGAGCACGTGGCGTTTCCCGCGCGGTTTTCCCTCTCTCGGGCTTGTAATTGCTACGGCCCAAACACCAGCGTACACAGAAAAGCAGCCTCCCCCGTTGCTGCAGTAGAACTCCACCTGGCACGTCTCAACTCTCAACTCCTATCACAAAAAAAAAAAGGAAAGAAAACTCTCTACTTCGGCAGAAAAGAAAAAGGTATTACCGCCTCCGGTACAAATGTTTTGTCATTGATTTCTCAAACTATACGGTTATGCTATAAAAAGTTATATTTATAAAAAATATTTAAAATATAACTATATAAAAGAGTTTTTCACAGATAATCTACTAATATAAATTTTATATTTTAAACCTTAATAGTTTTGCATCTACTAATGATTTTAGATTTGACTGCATTGAATAGAATCCAAAGAGAGAACTAAAATCACGTACTGCTGTGATGCTATCAGTCTGCGCATGTTCAGCACAGAAGTAACGCATCAATTGGATCAAGTGTTCACGAATGTTCAGGAGATAGGTAACATAACTGGCCTGAACAACAAGAGTGGATCTTCTGCTGAGGATATTATGTCGAAAGCTAATCCGATGAACTATTTAGCTACTGAAGAATCCAAGAAATTGCAAAGGATTGCGAAAATAGCCAAAATGCAATCCTGCAATTCCATTATCATCTTCTTGTTTTTCGACTTCGCCTCCGGCAATCAAAGCAGTCCGAGCATGGGTTGTAGGCCTTCACTCCATTTTTATGATCTAATTGTAACTTGGAAGGTGAAACCTTGAGTTCTTCTATGAGCATTTGACGGAGCTTGTCGTTCTCGTCCCGCAGTTCGTCAATAATTCTTTGGTGCTTCAGCAACTGGGTCAGAAATGAAAAGCTCAGTTAGCAGACAGCAGTGAAGGCATAAACATAGGTAGAAAGACAACCGTGGACCATTCTGTACACTATACAGAACTAAGTTTTAAAACAAATGCAAGACAAAATTCTGTTATAGAACTTTACTTGTGAAATCATGTTTTAATGCTACATTACTTGTTAAAAATATTAGACTATTAGAGGCGCTTCATGTTAAGGGGGCTGTATGGGATGGCGTGAGTAGAACATATCAAATTCAAAGAATGAGGATGGAACAACCAAGCAAGAGTGGGATTATGGAGTATAGCATAAGAAACACTAGGTATAACTGGACTCACCAATTCCAGCACATTATCCATCCCATGTGAATTTCTAGCCTGCAAAAAGAACAAAGAAAAGAGTGTTCAAAGTCCATGAATAACATGTCTGACTAAGCAAATTTTAGCAGCGAGAGGCATAGGGGCAACCCATAATTGTGCAATATATATAGTGCAGGTTAGATATTTGAGGTAATGTTTTAGTGCATACCACATCTCTGATGTCCATCTTGGTTTCATCCTGGAACAGGGGAGACTGTAGAAAGTTGGCAACAACCTTTTCAGTCCGACTTTCAGTCATATCTGGTTGCATTCCATGCTGGCTTTGCAACCCAGGAGCTGGTTTTACTTGTGATGTTTCATTACTTGTATGGTGGAAATTACTTTTCGTGGTCTTAGCCTTTAGATCAATGGACACACCATTGGGAGCTTGTCCATTGCTAGGCACAGAACCAGCCATATTTGGTGCAGATGACAAAGTTGGGGTATCCTTCAGCCTAGAAGTGAACTTAGACATAAGTTCCTAGAGAAAAAGTTCCCTTAGAATTCATACACCAAAAAGGGAAACAAAGAAAAATTCAGGTGATCAAAGTTTAGGTTTGTACTCCAACGGTTGACTGAATTCCATGAATTACTTGTGGCTTCAATGCAATTCCTGAGTATTGAGATACTTAATGGTTCAGCTTCAGATCAAACAAGTTTGCATGCTTATGCAAGAAAAATATTTAACAGATGTGTAGCATTTGATATAGAATATAAATAAGAGTAAAATAGCAGAGGCTTGGCAGCTGATGATTTCTACTAACAAAAACAATGACCTGGAAGCGTTGCAGATATTATAGATATTTCCATGGATCCTATTTAGGGAGTGTGCTAGTATGCTAGGTGCGAAAGTATGAAATGTGGTTCTATTAAATGAGTCCCCTCAATTATCACTTCATTTTTGGACTAGATTAGATGAACTGATAGATCTGCTGCAGCAGTCAATGAAAATAAAAAACATACAAAAGAATCAAAGTATCACCAATTCACCAGGTGCCTAAATTTAATCTGATTGCTGTATAAAAAAGAAACTATGAATAAAGCATGACATTGCCACCGCCTAGCAAGAACACATGTTTTGGTTTCTGATAATACAAATGTTAAAAAAAATGGCGTGATCACTGCAAAAGTAATAAACAGGAAAGATATGCTCAAGATATGAGGATATCAAGCACAAAAGATGACCTTGACTGACAATAGTTCCTACTAGGACAGCACCAAAAGAAAATTTAGAGGACTAACTACATGGAAAAGCTGCAATATGTACCTATTCCAAAACCGTGGCCTATACCAACTCCACAGCCAATGCCTGCTTCAATGTTCTTTAACCCTGACTTCCTTAGCTAGAGCACAAAAATAAGGAAGAAAAACAGCAGAATTAGATCGAGACAAGTCCAAAATACATAATTAGATTAACATAAGTCAAAAGTATCCTACTAACGTGATTGGCACCTAATTATTCGTGGTTACACAAGGATTATCTTTACTTACAGCGGAATTAACATGCCTTGTTACGCCTGAAAAGGCATCCGTTGCGCCCCTTGTTGCGGTCATAACTTGATTAAGCCCCGGTATGACACCTATCCATCAAGACAGAAGCCAACTACTTAAAGTCATTGAAATTAATCATCGAGCCCTAAATGCCCTATAGTATGGCAGTATGGGGCAGTAACTGTGGTCTGTAGTCTGTGAAGAGGGGAAGTGCACAATACCAGTGTCAGTTCGACAGACTAGTAGACTTAACTAAAAGTAAACTGTATTCCTATGCACCAGCAAACATCCCATTTTTATCATCTACTATCTTATCCACAGTTCAAGCAATGGAACTATGTGCGGTGACACACGACACGAACTGTTCGACGAAATGGCCACAAGCCAGGGGCGGGCAATAATCACAACCCTCAGCCGCTCGACGAAATGCGAAACCCACCGACTCATGGCCGACCGGATCGATGTCCATCCCAATCCCCAGACCCAAACTATCCAGGAAACGGCGGAATCACTTAGCTTCGGAAGCTTTGCTATACCTAGGTAGATGGGGCGGCCGACGCCGATGCCGACGCCGCAGCCGACGCCGAAGCCGGTGAAGACCTGGAGCACCTTCACGCTGAAGGGGTTCTCCATCCGGTACGCCGGCGGCGGAAGCCTCCGCTCCCGCGAGCTCGCCATCGAGGTCGAGTCGAGCACCGCCCGCGGTAGCCGCCGGCGGCAGGATGGGAATTGTGAGCCGTCAGCCCGCCGTTGGGTCTTGGGCTTATTGCCACTGGCTAAGAAGACTACAAGGGTGTTTTTTGGACTTTTGAGATTAAGAGTTGCGACTGTGTTCCTGGGCTGGAAGATGGATGCAGCCTTTCTATATCCTTGGCTGACATTGTCACGTTCTACATGGGTCCTCTATAGCCCCTCCCTTTTCATAATTTATTTTTCAAATAACATGGTATGACTCATGGTTTTATATAAACACGCGCACGCTAACTCCTATAAATACGCGCATATATTTATCTGATTTCCTTCAAATAATGGGTCGACGTATCTTGAGATCAATGAGTTATTATAGACACTTCGCTGTCGATGCTTATGTCACTTACCTAGGGATGAAAATGGTCACGGAAATTCTCGATCGACCAGACGTCGTTTCTGTTTAAGGGGTACTATTTCCGATCGTACCGTTTTTGTCTATTTTTAAATTTTGTTTTTTCTAATTTTTTTATCGTATTAATGTTGATACTGAGTAGTTTAAATGATAAATATGGTCAATTACCGGTTAGTTCTGAAGAGATGCTGCTGATTCCGACTGTTTTCTTACCAATGGAAGAATAATTAGCTTTTTTTTAAGTATTTGGCTGTTTTGACTAATAATTGCTTTGATTAGATCATTGATATCTTTTAGTTGTTTGATTATTATGAATGGAATTTACATGGTGAACGTAATATGCTTAAGTAATATGTTGTCCTTTCTTTTTCTTTAATATTCATATAAGTTTGATATAAGACAGGACCGATGAAACTAAAACATTGCCGGTCTAAAATTATATGTACTTTTATGAAACAAAGGGGTAATAAACTGTATACATTTAAAATCGTGGATAGAAGGCTAAAAAACATCGACAAACAAAGTATCGTATATACCTATAAAGTTCATATCTACTAAATATAGTTAATACTAATTATCTTTTTATTTCATGAAACCACATCACCTCAATTATTTTTTAACCTTTGAATGATTTATCAAGAATGTAAATTGCATTTTTTTCTCCAAAAATCACACCATACAACACAGTCATTTGAAACATTTGAATAATTGATCAAATTACAAAATATATAAATACATGAAAGAAAATTGTATAGTAAGTAATAATCTTTTTTTTTACAACTCATGTAGGAGTATGGGGGTGTTTAGATTCATGGGTGTAAAGTTTTGGCGTGTCACATCGAGTATTATATAGGGTGTCGTATGGGGTGTTCGGGCACTAATAAAAAAACTAATTACATAATCCCTTACGGCCTGTTTGGTTGGAGGGAGTTTTTAGCAGGGATTGGGAGTTTAGAGAGATGATGCTATTAAGTGTTTTTGTTTGGATGGGAGGCATGAGAATTTTAGTGGGATGGGGATGGAGAATTGAGGAAGGAACTCCCTCCTTTTCAATACTTGAGTAGGGACAGGTAATTGGGAGGGAATTCCTCCTTTACGTTGTTTAAACGAATCTCAGCCATCCTTTTTTTATTAATGACCTAATCTCCTAAACTCCCTATTAATTTCCATCACCTTTACCAAACAAGATATTGGGATTAAAAATCAAATTCCTATCTTAATCTCATCATCAATTCCCTCGTGTAAACTCCCAATCCCCTTCCCTCGAGTTACCAAACAAGCCGTTTAGTAAACTGCGAGAGAAATTTATTAAGCCTAATTAATCCGTCATTAGCAAACGTTTACTATAGCACAATATTGTCAAATCATGGAGCCATTAGTCTTAAAAATTCATCTCGCAAATTAGTCGCACTATGTGTAATTAGTTATTTTTTAGCGTTTATATTTAATACTACTTTATATAGATGTTCAAACATTCGATATGACATGCTGAAAAATTTTAAGGTGGGATTACACGATTCTCACCGTATCAACGACAACGATCGGGTGCACTGGAGCCTGGAGGAGCCTACCGCTGCTCCGCTCTACGGGCACAGACAAACGTTCCCACTCGTTAGGCGGTGGCGCGCGTACATACGTTCCCACTTATCATCTCTACCCTCCAAACAATTTCAAATTCCAACCACGGGGCGTCCAAAATAGCAAGGGAAAAAAAAATTTCAGGCGAGTAGATTTGCATTCTTCTCCCCCACCTCGACGCCGGCGAGAGCCCCCCGGTCTCGCTTCCGCCGCCCGATCCGGCGCCGGGCCCGCCCGCCCGCCGCCGCGTGACAAGGGGAAGGCGAAGGGATGGAGTTCACGGAGGCGTACAAGCAGACGGGGCCGTGCTGCTTCTCCCCCGACGGCCGCTACCTCGCCGTCGCCGTCGACTACCGCCTCGTCGTCCGGGACGTCGTCTCCCTCAAGGTATCCGCGCCATTCCCCCCCCTCACCTCCTTCCTCCCCCGCTTGATCCTGTTTTAGTGGTCCGGAACTGGAATGCGGGTTTAGGGTTTGTGCCTTCTGGAGTAGTCGCTGAATCTGGGGTTGGGGGAAATGCCATCTACCGCTGGGCTCAATTTTGAGTGTTCTGGTTCAGGAATTGCGCCTAGTTTTGCCCGATCCGTAGCCTAGGGTTCAGGGTAGGTTTGTACTGGATGGACGAAATCAGTACCAAGCTAGCTAGATTACCTGCTCAATTGTGCGGACTAGATACCATGATATGCATGTTTATGTTTGAGGAGAGTGATAATGAGACTATATGTTGTACTGTGCCTTTAATACCTACGATTAAAATCATCAGCCTACTCATTGTTCAAATACTTCTGTAGATATGATATCTATATTCGATAAGCCAGATATGTATAATATAGGCTCACCAACTAAACAGTGAAAATATTTCTTTATTTGGTGTGATTGACATGGAAATTTCTAGTTTTAGGCAGCACCCTCCTACCACGATTTTGCCAAAATAGGTGCGCTAGGAGGTCAGCTTGCCTAGGGTGGCTGTAGGAAGTCTAAGGTAGAGCTTGACATCATAGACTTGCTATCCTTCTCGATGATCTAAGAAGGTATGGAGACATGCATGGTGGGCACGACGGGCCCTGTGATAGGGAGATGCTGAGTGGGAAGGGAAGGGGAATGATTTAGAGGAGAGGAAGTACCTATGAGAAAGTAGATAATGGGGCAAAGGTGGAGGCAATAGACAATTTGGGGTAGCTGGCATTGCCCTAGTACGTATACGGACTACGTACAAGGGAGTAGGCAAGCTTAAGGCCTAGGCCTAGCATTTAATGTTTTCTCAAAAGCGACAAAATAGGCTATCCCCCCCCACCCCCACCCCCACCCCCGTCACAACATGCACACAGAGCAGCGGCATTACATTACATTCTGGCATAGGAGACTGAGACTGAGCGAGCAAGTAGGGGTGCAGCCATGGCATCGTCATCCTCCACCACCATGTCTGCATGCCACCTCTCAGGTTATGTTGTCTGTTGTTCTACTTTAAGTTGGCCAGATCTGAGGTGAGAAGTACATCTTTCAGGCACCAGATTTTGCCTCCACTCAGCCTGAATTTTTCAGCCCCATCACTGTAATTGGCTAATTGGCGCCGCTACTTGTACTGCGGATGCTCAACTCTCTGCTCCCTTGGTTTGGCCTTCTTGCTGGCCCCTCCCTCATTTCTAGCTTTGTATCTGGCTGGGCGGGCAAGGACTGTACTGATCCACTATCTGATAGTGCCTTGGTGAACACTGACCCTTTAACATACCTTTAATCATATCACAGCAATAAATGCCTGAATACATTGTACTATTATATAACCCCACAAATCTTTTGCATATTTGTGAACAGTATAACTCTAGGAATATATTGTATTAATAAGACAATCTGTCGGCCATATATTCTATGTAATAACTGTTGAAACTGTGTAGGAGAGAGATTACCAATTCACAATCATCTCCTAGTATGTACTGACATCCAATGGGCATCATATTGGGTGCACACACTTAGTGCTTGGGAATTGGAATGCAGGCTTAAAAGTTTTGGGCCTTCTGGAGTAGTTGCTGAATTTGTGATAGGGGGTATTGTCATCTGGTATAGCTAAAATTTGAGCCTTCTAATTCACAGAAAATATGAAATGTTCCTTGTTTTGCCTGATCTGTAGCCAGGGTTCATGAGTAATTGGCAGTATGGCTGGACCAAAGAAATGTTAATACCAAATGGTATCGTATAGTGGCTAATGAGTGCATGCTGTTTCTGGGGAGATTTATATAAGAACTGCTAGTCATATCTAGAGAATACAATTGACAACAATGTATGGTTTGCTTTAATTTATGCAGGTGGTGCAGTTGTTTTCATGTGTGGACAAGATAAGCTTTCTGGACTGGGCACCGGATTCAGAGTATATTCTATGTGGACTTTACAAGCGACCCATGGTGCAGGCTTGGTCACTGAGCCAGCCTGACTGGACCTGCAAGATTGATGAGGGCCCTGCTGGGATTGCATATGCTCGCTGGAGCCCTGACAGTCGTCATATACTAACAACATCAGAGTTTCAGCTCCGTCTGACTGTTTGGTCTCTTGTAAATACAGCATGCATACATGTACAGTGGCCAAAGCATGCCTCCAGAGGTGTTTCTTTTACTAAAGACGGGAAGTTCGCTGCAATCTGTACTAGGCGTGACTGCAAGGATTATGTAAATTTGCTGTCATGCCATTCCTGGGAGATAATGAGTGTCTTTGCTGTTGACACGGTAGACTTGGCAGGTGTTGAGTGGTCACCAGATGATAGTGCTATTGTGGTCTGGGATTCACTTCTGGAATACAAGGTGCATCTCTTCATTGTACTCCCATTGTTGTTTTATTTGCTTACTTTTGAAAATCATCATCATTTACTGTATGTCATTATATATGCATATAACTTGTTAATACTTTTTGTTGGTAGGGTCACTTATTTACTTCAGAATTTAGATGGGCACTGGTTGTGAATTACTTTATCTTGCATGTATGGCAAACCACACCACCTTTTCTTCAAATGGCACTTATAACAATTTTTTTTTGCTTATTCTGGTTTACTCAAGTTTCTCGGTTGATATTTGATTACATTGACGGATCTGGTTATTAGTTGGACTTTAATGATCAATCAGTTGGTATATTGGGTCATGACTCCCCCAAAACATACAGGGTTATTTCTTAACCAATATCCTGTTCAAGAGCTCATTGAGTCATTTCTCTCTGCAGCGAAACTAATCTCTTATCTACTCTTAAGGGTTCTCTTTTCTGTGTAGCTGAACTTATTTTATATTCTACTATTAATAGTTCTCCTTTCTCTGTAGCTGAACTAATTTCTTATTGTACTCTTAAGGGTTCATCCCAGTCTGTTTTTATAGAGCTATGTTTTTTTTTTCTGCTTTAGATAAAATATAGGGTTCATCTCAACGGATACTAATCTCTTGTTCTACTCTTATGTTGTTGTTAGCAGTTTTTGGATTTAAACTGATAATCCTAAGAACATGATTGTCACAGGTTCTGATATATTCACCGGATGGGAGGTGCCTGTTCAAGTACTTAGCATATGAAAGTGGATTAGGTGTGAAAACTGTTGCGTGGTCACCATGTGGACAGTTTTTAGCAGTTGGCAGCTATGATCAAGCAGTTCGGACTTTGAACCACCTGACATGGAAAACTTTTGCTGAGTTCTCACACGCAGCATCTATTCGAAATCCTACTAATGCTGCTATATTTAAGGTAAGCCTACTGATATCTATCACTAATTGACATCTTAGCAGATCTAGTGTTTTTCTGTTCATGGTATCTGATTGTAACTACAAAATGTCACAGGAAGTGGATGATCCATGGCAGCTTGACATGTCAGAGTTATGCCTAAGTGAAGGATTCTCCCGTAACATGCAAGGCAATGGTGCTGGTGAGATTACTAACGATACTTTTATATCGCATCTTGTTCCTCCTTTTTTGATAAATTATTTGGCATGTTTTATGATGCCTTGTGTTAGGGCCAGCGCTAACCTTATGTTTAGTTTTGGAGACTGATCTTTTTTTGTGGTCAGAAAATGGGACAGAGGGAGGTTCTCGAGTTAAGTATGCTGTGATGGATGCTCCAATCACTTTGCCTTCACAGAAACCCGTTACAGACAAGCCCAACCCCAAGCAGGGAATTGGTTAGTTGCTCCTATTTCTCATGCATATGGATCAGGATGTTGGTCTTTTTCCTAATGCCTAATACACTTGTGACCAGTGTCATGAACTTGTGAACTACTGTAGTTACTATTACACATTCTGTATCTGATGTGCAGTAGATCTCTAATTCATTTTGTAAACTGTGATAATGGTTCCTACTATAAACATTATCGATAACCCTTCTAAGTACTAAAATCCCCTTGCGTGATTTGTGTTGGCCATTCATGAATTTCTAGTAGAATATGGTTCAGTATAAACTGCATTGTTAACATTTCATATTCTACTATTAAGGGTTCTTTTTTCTCTGTAGCTGAACTAATCTCACCTTGCAATTCATGTGCAGGTATGCTGTCATGGAGCAGCGACAGTCACTATTTCTTCACTCGGAATGACAATATGCCAACTGCTCTTTGGATATGGGATATCTGCCGCCTTGATCTTGCTGCTGTTCTTGTTCAGAAAGATCCAATCCGTGCTGCCGCTTGGGACCCTAATTGCCCACGCCTTGTTTTCTGCACGGAGAGTCCGCACCTGTACATGTGGACACCATCTGGTGCATGCTGCGTCAACGTTCCGTTGCCAAACTTTCGGGTTGTGGACTTGAAATGGAACTCAGATGGAACTTGCCTCCTCCTGAAGGACCGTGATTCTTTCTGCTGTGCCGCAATTGTCTCTCCTTTGCCAGAGGAAGAAGAGGCTGATCAATCTGATGTTACCTCAGAAGATGAATGAACTTGCAGGCCTTGCTCTAACAATGGGATGTGCAGCTTTTAATCAGTGGATCTACATTTGTATCATATCGATAGATGTACCTGGGTAACAGCTTGTTCTGAAGTTGCTGATCGATCTGATGATAGCTCAGAAGATGAATGTGAGCTTTGTATGCCTTGCTCTAACAATGGGAGGGAAGACACATGTTTCTTTCCGCTTTAAAACACATAGAGACGCTGTCGTTGTAGGCTGCATCTGATATTCTTAAACCATCTTTGCTACACACCCTACGCTCCTTGAAACTGGCTAGATTGTTTTTTTGTAGATGTCAGTAAACGTGGAATCTTTACTCCATTTAACGTGTAATATCCGTTTTCCAGCGTTGAATGCTAATATGGCCTGTGCATGAAGTCGTCAAAATCCTTTTGAACATCCCAAGTTCCCAACCCATTTTTTAGCTACAATGCAGTGAAGTTGCCTTTCCTACTCGGATTCCAATTCCAAAAGTACGATTCTCTTCTGATCAAATTTATTTACATTCTTCTGAAACACAGTAAAAACTCCTCTCTCGAGCTGATCAAAAGCTGCAGGATGTACATAAACCAGCTTTACCTTGCCTTGACGTTACGTGCGTACTGCTACTACCGCTATATATATATACCGTATTACCGTATACTCCGTAGCCCAGGTCGCCGTATTTTGGAGCCCGGAATACGCATACGCGTACCCGCATACGCTATATATAAATTGCCCACCCCTTCCAGTTCTCCCCTTGCCGTCACCGCACCGCAGAGGAGGAGGAAAGGGCAGGGAAGCTAGCTCGCCTCGCGCGAGCGAGCGAGCCGATCCACCCACCCCCGCACGATCCGCCGCCGCGCGCGAATCGGAGCTACCACCACCGCCCTCCTCCTCCTGCATCCGCGTGCCCGCGAATCGGATCCCCCTCCCCCGAATTGGGGCTCGAGTGGCACCGAACCCTACTCGATCCCGGCGGCGTGAGGGGTGGGGATGACGCGCCGGGTGCGCCGCCGGCTGTGCAAGGACGGTGGGAAGGGTAAGGATGTGGCGGCGGATGAGGAGAGGGAGCTGGTGAGCTGCTCGTCGTCGAGTCGGCGGCGGGGGGGTTTGGGGGTGGCGGTGGCGGCGAGGGGGGGTGGCGGTGGCGGGAGCGGGAGCTGCGTGGTGGACTGGAGGACGCTGCCGGATGACACGGTGCTGCAGCTGTTCGGGCGACTGAACTACCGCGACCGGGCGAGCATGGCGGCCGCGTGCAGGACGTGGAGGGACCTGGGGGCGTCGCCGTGCCTGTGGAGCGCGCTCGACCTCCGCGCGCACCGGTGCGACGCCGAGGTGGCGTCGTCGCTCTCGTCGCGGTGCGGGAGCCTGCGGCGGCTGCGGCTGCGGGGGCACGAGGCGGCGGCGGCAGCCTCGGGCCTCCGCGCGCGGGGGCTCCGGGAGGTGGTGGCCGACGGCTGCCGCGGCCTCACGGACGCCACGCTCGCCGTCCTCGCGGCGCGGCACGAGGCCCTCGAGAGCCTCCAGATCGGGCCCGACCCACTCGAACGCATCTCCAGCGACGCCCTCCGCCAAGTAGCCTTCTGCTGCTCGCGCCTCCGCCGCCTGCGCCTCTCGGGTCTCCGCGATGCCGACGCGGACGCCATCGGAGCGCTCGCGCGCTACTGCCCCCTCCTAGAAGACGTCGCCTTCCTCGACTGCGGATCCGTAGATGAGGCCGCCATCGCCGGCATCCTATCCCTCCGGTTCCTCTCCGTCGCTGGATGTCACAACCTGAAATGGGCTACAGCATCCACCTCCTGGGCTCAGCTGCCCTCCCTTGTTGCCGTTGATGTGTCCCGCACCGATGTCTCACCAAGTGCCATCTCTAGGCTCATCTCCCACTCCAAAACCCTCAAGCTTATATGCACGCTTAACTGCAAATCTGTTGAGGAGGAACAGGCACACAATCCTGGAGCATTTAGCAACTCCAAGGGCAAGCTTGTACTCACCATTACAAGCCACATTTTCAAATCGGTCGTCTCACTTTTTCCTGATAAGGTTGTGAAGGAGAATGAGGTGTTCAATGAATGTAACTGGAAGGGCAAAGACAATGCACTTGGTGATATGATGAGCTGGCTCGAGTGGATCCTGTCGCAGACACTTCTACGGATAGCGGAGTCCAACCCGCAAGGAATGGATGACTTCTGGCTGCAGCAGGGCGCAGATATGCTGCTGAGTTTGGTGAAGAGCTCTCAGGAGGATGTACAGGAGCGTGCAGCTACCACACTTGCTACGTTTGTGGTTATTGATGACGAGAGCGCGAATGTGGATGCTGCAAGATCAGAGGCAGTGATGCGTGTTGGGGGCATTCCAATGCTACTGGACCTTGCAAGGTGTTCAAGGGAGAGTGCACAGTCAGAAGCAGCAAAGGTAATGATGTCCATTTTAGCTGAATCCCTGGATCTAATTGCCGATATCTACTATGTTTGGTATTACCATTTTCTTACAGTTGTTAATGTGACTTCAGGCTATTGCCAACTTATCGGTGAATGCCAAGGTTGCAAAGGCAGTTGCAGACGAGGGAGGTATCACAATACTAACCAATTTGGCCAGGTCAATGAATCGGCTTGTTGCTGAAGAAGCTGCTGGTGGCCTTTGGAATCTCTCCGTGGGTGAGGAGCACAAGGTTGTCACTCCTTGGATGCTGAATACTCTGATTGCAATGTCTGATGTGTTGCTGGTACTAACAATATATTGATTATTCTTTTTCAGGCAGCCATTGCAGCAGCTGGTGGTATAAAGGCTTTGGTCGATCTCATACTCCGCTGGCCTGCTGGGACTGATGGAGTTCTTGTATGTATCTTTGATACTTCTCAATTTTCAGTAATTTCAATGCTGCTTGCTATCCTTTTCTGGATAATAAATTTTTTATAACGGTTGCTCTTTTTCTTTAGGAACGTGCTGCTGGGGCACTTGCAAACCTAGCTGCTGATGACAAGTGTAGCATGGAAGTTGCAAAGGCTGGTGGTGTCCATGCTTTGGTCATGCTTGCTCGATCATGTAAACTTGAGGGTGTCCTAGAACAGGTGAGCGGGTACATCATGTCGTCATGCTTGTACGCATTCGTTCTAGTCAGCTAGTTATACCATAGCTTTTTTTGCTAGCTCTGATAATACAACTAACGGTACAAGATCTACAAAATAGGAAGCACGATAAAGACAAAACGGGATGACCTGTGCACATGCTATCTTTATTTTATGCTTGCATATTGAACTTTATCCTGCCAAATGAGGATCTCTTGGTTCACGCCTACTTCATTGATTAAGCACTGGGTGCAACTTTTCATGCATGGACTTGGATGATTTTTTATATTTATCAGATCGCTCAATCTCATGGCATGAGCCACGTGGATTCCCAATTTCCTATAAGAAAGGAAAGTCTGTACCTGCCATACTTATCTCAAATGATTTGTCGGGATGCTGACTGGACTCTTACCATGTACATGTAATTCCAAGATACAGTTTATTCTCAACTTGCACAATCTATATCTGCTTTAAAACAATTGGATTTGTCGTGGAGCCACTTAAAATTGCTATTTTCTTATAGTAGCAGTTTGCTGCGTTTTAAGCTCTACAAATAAATGCTCCATCTAACTTGCTACCTAGTGCTTTGTCTTTTACATGCTCACAATCACTGTATATGTACTGCATTTACTTTCTAATACTATCACTGTTGTTCATGTAGGCTGCAAGGGCATTAGCTAACTTAGCCGCACATGGAGATAACAACAATAATAATGCCGCTGTGGGTCAGGAAGCAGGGGCTCTTGAGGCATTAGTGCAGCTAACAAGCTCTCAAAATGAGGGTGTAAGGTATACTTCTAGCTGATGTGCTGTTTTAAGTTGCAACGCCTGATTTTGCCATTAAATTATACTTTATATTATCCTAATTTAATATTGTGATTCCTGTGCATTTAATTAGACAAGAAGCTGCTGGTGCTCTGTGGAATCTGTCATTTGATGATAGAAACCGTGAAGGCATTGCTGCTGCGGGTGGCGTTGAAGCTTTGGTACGTGCCCCATTTGTGCTTTAACACAGCTTTGCATCCTTTGATCAACATTGTATTAAGCAGTACATCTAGTTCAGTAAATAGATGCAATCCCTCTATAAAGTTTTTCATATAGCAGTTCTGAATAAAAATATTGGTCTGTAGAAACCTCTAGTTATTTGATTAATTCTGATTGAACATATTCTCTTGAATATGTTTATTAGTACTGTGTTATACCGACTATCAACTAAATAATAATAAATCTTCTATGTTTACCCGTGGAACTGGTTCTAGGACACAATGTTTTAAAGATCATTTGTGTGTGCTCCTCCCATCTTTTCATAAATAGACTTAAATAAGCTGTTTATATTTTTCACATAGATGGCTTTCATATTTTAGGTTTCACTTGCACAAGAATGTTTGAATGCTTCGGAAGGCCTTCAGGAGAGAGCTGCTGGCGCATTATGGGGACTATCTGTTTCAGAAGCTAACAGGTAACTTCATATGCTTGCTCATGAACTGAACTTGCACCAACTACCAGATTGACCTATTTTTAAGATATTCTTTGTGACATGCCTAGCTGATGAAGTGTACAAGTTGATTGTCCATAAACACTTAAACTTAGTAATGCACTTTTTTTTTTGGAATTAGTGAAAGCTAGCTTAGTGTCAATCAAGAAAAGTGTATTAATAATTTAAAAAAACACTTACTCTCCTAAGTCAAATTTGAATCCGTTCACAGTTCACTTTTAGATGTCATGCACAGCAATTGTTAAAAATTGCACATTGTGGTATGCCTAGATTGGTCCTGAGTTTCTATATTTCCTAACATTCATATCAGATAGCTTCACACATGATGAAAATATGCTGATATCAAAGTTAGTTACACACTTACACTTAGGCTGAGTTCAGGAGGTGGAGTTGGGAACTCCACCTCCCCACATGTAAAACAGTGTTGCCCATTAATGCATGATTAATTAAGTATTAGCCTAAAAAACTTGAAAAATGGATTAATATGATTTTTTAAAGCAACTTTCCTATAGAAAACTTTTTGTGAAAAACACACCTTTTAGCAGTTTGAAAAGCGTGCGCGCGAAAAAAGGGGGAGGTGAGTTGGGAAAGAAGGGGAAAGAACACAGCCTTAATGACAGCTGTGCCTGCGCTAAATTCAGGACCACACTTGAACACTTCAATCTCGCACTCAACTTCAAAGCTCTTGATGGCTTGATGGATATAGATGGTGGATGGTTTGCACTGCATGCTTATTTTGAATTGCATTATCTTAGCACACGATCCACTTTAACCATTTTTTTTGTAGATTGCCTCCTATTTCCATAGACTTTTTTGGTGACCCTGGTGTTAGATGGTAGTAGCAGGGTGTGGTCTGTTTTGGGTTAATAATATAGCTACTGGAAAATTAGTGCTGATGAATTCCAGATCATATGTGCAAGCGATGGATGAAATTTTTGTCTGGAGGGTAAGTGTAGGCACAGTGTGAGGCGAGTGTCTGATAACTGCCTGTAAATGAATGAGGAGCGCCCCTTTTAGGTCGCAACTTGTAATCAATTCTCTCTCTCTCTCTCTCTCTCTCCCTAGTTGGCCTTTTTTACAGACTTGCTGCAATAAAGAGAACTGCATCTCTCGTCTTTCCGTACCAGATAATTTCCTCCATCTATCGCTTGTTATTCCTTTCTCCAACATTCTTGTTGACAACTTTTATTTGCCTTTTTCAGTATGGCAATTGGACAGGAGGGTGGTGTCGCACCTTTGCTCACACTGGCACAATCAGATGTTGAAGTAAGTTTCATTTACAATTGTATATTCTTTATGTCTGATACATCATATATTGATGTGCGAATACATTCTGTTACTTAGGGACTCCAAATCACTTTTTTTCTTTATGATAGACCTTCTGCCTGGCACCTGGAAATATTAGTTGCTCCATGCCGTAGTCTGTCATATCTTGAGATACGTTTGACTAGTATTGTCCATGAACAAACAGACGAGTTTGTTGAAGTAGCTACTTGATTATAAGTAATTTCATGGTTAGTGCGCCACCTTCAGCTTGTGCTTTTACCTAATGTTCTGGTTTTATGAAGCTACCACTCGTCGTGTTATTCTTTTTGTACATGCCTTTCAGGAGTTCAATGTAGTATATGTATTAAACTTTTTTAGTCAACTTTATATCCAGTGGCGATGATTCATGGGGATATATTTGTACCCTGATTTTATTTATTTATTTATTTATTTTGGGCACAAGATCAAGTATATGCTTTTACTAACATATACGCACATGTATGCAACTTATATGTCCAAGTGACTAAAAACATTCATTTATCTTATCAGATTTAAACATCCTTAATCCATTTCAACTTAATTTGTTGCTTCATGCCATTGTTTTCTAACCATGCCTAGGAAAATCCTGGCTGTGCCACTGTTTATATAATGTTATTCCAGTTTATATAATATTATTCCAATTGCTTGAGAGAACATATTCTGATGGGGAAAACATCATTTATTTGAGTATTAATATTGTCCTGCTGCCTGCTGCAGGCATGCAATTTATTTGTTCTCTAATGGTTTGATAGTACTTTGATCTCACGTCAATTTATTCTGTTTGTTTGTTAGAGTGCACAGCCCAGCCCATTGTTTGATAAAGAGGGTAGTTTTTCTCTCTCTTTTTAATATGGTAACGGGTGTAAGTTTTTTTTGAAAAAAAAATAAAATTATGGATAAAACAAGGAACGTTGGCATTGACAGTTACTGTAGATTGTTATATCTATCGTTGGGAATAAATGTTTTATCTGTCATTGGGAATGAATGCTATTCCTTACTCTAGATATGACGACTTTCTGTTTATTCAGGATGTTCACGAGACAGCTGCAGGGGCACTATGGAATCTTGCTTTCTATTCTGGTAATGCTCTCTGTATTGTTGAAGAAGGTGGGGTTCCTATTCTAGTGCGGCTTTGCTCATCATCAGGGTCAAAAATGGCACGTTTCATGTCTGCGCTAGCCCTTGCTTATATGTTCGATGGAAGGTATGTTGTTTTTCAAACCGATTATTTTATCTGTTTGCTTTTGAATTATGGTGTATTTCATTCAATTTTGATTTGTATAAGGACTTTAAACTCTACCAGCAGGCTAACAGCACACAGTTATTCTAGAATGCCGATTGATCCAGTAGTGTTATCTTCATAATTCTATCTATTCATGTTCTTTGTGATATACCTTTGTCTTGAATGCAATATACACAGTGCTTCGAGCCTTATTATGACGATTAGTTATTCTACACACACAGAAAAATATGCATTGGTTTATAAAAGAGTTTGGTGACTTCAATTAATCACCAAGTTGCTTATTTTTCAGCAGCAACTTAGATTGCAAGTTTAGGGCTCATTTGACATTCTGTTTGTAGCTATGAGCCTACAAGCTCCGTTTAAGTTGGTTTGTATATATTGCTTCTGTTAATTGTTTTCTTAGTAATGTCTGACTATAGTTACCTTAACTCCTTACTCTCCTTATTGAAGAATAACATCCATGAGTGATACATTGATACTTTAAGGGCTCCACATATTCTCTCTGAGAGAGAGAGAGAGAGAGCGTCTGTATTCAATGATTGGTAAAAACCACTTCTGAGGAATTAAAAAGTTAACTTACCATTGTAGATCAGCCTATTGTTGGTGTGCATCCCCTGCTAACTTTCCTACTGTCGTATTAAATTGTGCAAGCACATGGCATTTTTTTGGCAAATAAGATTTATTTTTTTGCAGCAGTATTTGAATTGGTTTCTTTTGCATTGAAACTTGACAGCATTATTTTTATTGTTGTTGCTATTAAGAATTATATTCTTTCTGTATTTAATAGTTATATTTTTATATTAAATAGTTCCCATTTCCTTGTACTACTTACTTGAAAAGCAGTTAACTGTAGATGCTAACACAGTATCACAATGTGATGTACTTGGCTTTATCTTTCGCAGCATACTAGCATGGCTAGCAGATTACTTGTATAATCGGACTGTGTTTTGCTTGACAAAAAACGTGTAGTGCATAGGCCATTGCTGATGTGCAATATTATCTTAATAAGAAATTTGCAAAGTCTAAAACTGAATTTTCTCAAATGACAGAATGGATGAGGTTGCATTGGTTGGGACGTCATCAGAGGGCAGTTCCAAGAGTGTTAATGTTGAGGGAGCTAGGAGAATGGCTTTGAAGCATATACAGACTTTTGTTCTGACATTTTCGGACCCACAAGTTTTCACTACGGCTTCCACCTCCTCAGCCTCAGCAGCACTATCTCAGATTGCTGATGCAGTGTTTATACAAGAAGCTGGACACCTGAGATGCAGGTTTGGCTTTATTCTTTCACTAAAGTTTTACTATTCCTGAAGTTTAGCTGGCTATTCTTTAGGCAGAGCATGTGGAACATTTTAAACCGGATTCATGCTTGTCCCGTTCATCTTATTTTGGACCTGTCTTGGTAGCAATGTAGCTAAGAGGAATGTAGTACTAATATAGTCCTTTACTTCCCTTCAGTGGTGCCGAGATCGCTAGATTTGTTGCCATGCTCCGGAATCCTGCATCAATTCTTCGCGCTTGTGCTGCCTTTGCCCTTCTTCAGGTTTGTTTCCTTCCGTACCATCTTAATATTCTGAAGACCCCTATCTATTGAGAACCAACGTATTCCTTGGCTATTCCGCATGCACAAGACATTATGAAAGTTGAGCACCATTGATCTGTTCTAAGAAGAGGAACCATACCTCATGATTAATATCATGCTTGCATGTATTTGTGTTTTTATCTCTCAAACACACGTGCGCACACAAAATACTCAGACATTCACACAAGAGGACTTCCATCTGCTCTTCTATTTGATGCAAAATGATTTTACCATCCAGCAAAACATACTTATAGATCTAATGAGAATACTCCCAACATAATGCAGTTCACAATCCCTGGAGGTCGGCACGCAGTGCACCATGCGGGTCTCCTGCAGAAAGCAGGGGCAGCTCGAGTCTTGCGCGCAGCAGCAGCAGCCACGACCGCTTCTATCGAAGCCAAAGTCTTTGCAAGAATTGTCCTCAGAAATTTGGAACACCATCAGACAGGGACTTCAACATGAAAGCACAGCAGTGGAGCTTATGCTAATCTTCCAACAAGGCATTTCTTCAGCAGCCTTCTCAGCCTGTTCAAAACATCGCAAAATTGCGGCCCAAGGTAATGTTTTGGCTTTCAAAGCTTGTGTCACATTACCACTCGGCATGTGCAGGCTGTTTGTTTCGGGATGTAGGTAGAATCACCTAAAGAGAGCTGTGAGCTGAGTAAACATGAACGAGGCAATCGGGAGGGTTGGGGAGTCGCTTCATGCCTCTCCATGAGGGGAACCCATAGAGTAGTTTTTCTTGCCTTTTTTGTTTGCGACGTGGGGGGCGTGTGCAATTTTCTTTTATTCATTTGGTGTGTAAAAGTAACTTTGAAATGTCACCGGCGATGGGAATTCAGGACCTTCATGCGGTATACAGTAAGTTTATTTGTTGATTAATGAGGTGTGGTGGTGCCAGACTAGGCTGCTCCACCTGCGCTGTAACTTTGTAAATGTACTGATTACTATATAAAGTTTATGTTTCTGGAATTTGCAAGGTGTACAGTGAAAACTGGTGCTTAGTGGAGTACTTGGGTGAGGGATGGGAACCCTCACCTCCAGCAAGAAAAATGGAGCTGCACGATTAATTAAGTGTGATTTTTAAAGCAAGAAAAATGAGTTAGTATGATTTTTAAAGCAATTTTTCTACAGAAAATTGCTGTAAAAGATATACCGTTTAACAGTTTGAGAAGCGCGGACGCACGGGAACATGCATGCCTCGTAGTTCTTTTTACCAACAAAGGTAGTTGTACTACTCTCTACCGTACGTCAGCGGCGCCACACAAGATACTGTGCGAGGAGAGGGCAACGGTGGTGGGCGTCGCCGGAGATGGCAGGCACCATCGCTGCCGGCGTGTTTTTTTCCCGCCGTGCAAACCTTCCATTGACATCACCTTGATCGGTCCCTTCGTCGACAGTCTGTGGTGCCATCAAACCCAACATCGTCTTCTTCTTCGGCATGGGGTTCTTCACTCGACACCTACGATCTCTTCTGCATTCCCCGGCCTCGGCATGGAGTACGTACATGCGTCGACGATTGACAGGAACCCCCACCCCCCCCCTCCGGAAGGGGTGGGGGGGGGGGTTCTCCATGCATCGTTCGTCGGGATCCTCTTCGGCTCCATCGTCGCCATCTCGGCCTAGCACGCGTACTCGGTTTGTCGTACTCTGAGAACCACACATGCATGCACATCAACGGGGCACACACCAAAGCTGGCGTTCTTCGCAATGGACGGTGACGGCAACAAGGACAACGGAGGAGGCAGAAACAGCAGTGCCGGCATGAGAGGAGGGCGTGGCTGGACGGTGGCACTGTACGAGCAGCAAGGGATGAGGAAGAGAGGGGGAGGATGACATGGGAGCCTTACTTTATTTTATAAAAAAATTATGACTAGTTGCTACGTCGGCGTCACATACCATCCTGACTACTGAGTCATTCTGCACTGCACTTATTTTAGTAAGGCCTCCTTCAAAGGTTGAGACAACTGCTAGCTCATAAATCGTACACATCTAAGAGATAGAACAAGAGATAGTTTCTCTAATGAACTCTCTAAGGTTATCTCTTCTTGCTTTTATGGCAGCATGGGTAGTAAATGACATGGTGATAAACTACACAATATCTCTATGGTCCTTCATGTGATGCTATTCAAAAGATCTGTCGATTAAAAATGAACATCTCAGCATAGTGTGAATATAGATAAATAGCACAACGTCGACTTAGAGTATATAACAATGAAGTGCAATTCTTCCAACTCACGGTCCACAACAGTAACTAGATAACATCATAGCCATATCATGGCACTTTAGTACAATGCGGAAAAGAGCAAACTGAAGGGAAAAAAAAGACTGCATCACGTCACAGAAGTGATAGAAGAGTTCGACAACCACCAAAAGCTGGACAGCAACCAGAAGTGCTTATCCCATTCCTTGAACAAGATCACCAAAAGCTGGACCGCAGCCACAAAAACAAGTAAAAGACATCGAATCTGTTCGCCCCTGGTAGAGAGAAAAACATGTACAGTAAGTGAAAGTGATAAATACAGTCAGTCTAAGATAAAATTACAATGAAATTGTACACTAGAGCTTACATTATACTGAATTATTTTGCCTAGTTTGAAACCGTTGCCAAATATGCTCAATTAAGTCATTTTTAAGCTGGCTATGGATTGGTTTGGCTCGGATAGAAGCATTTCTTCGCCGCACATCGCTGAAGCTTGGGTGATCATTACTCCCTGCATGAACTTCTGGTGGAAGAACAATTGATGTTCCTGGGGCAGCATTCAAGTCAATAGGATCTTCTGCCATTTCTCCCTCGTCTTCCACTATCATGTTGTGGAGAATTACACAAGCTTGCATGATTTTTCGAAGAACTTTTTGGCTCCATGATCGTGCTGGACGATGCACGATGTTGAAGCGAGCTTGCAACACCCCAAAAGCACGCTCAATATCTTTCCGTTTCCCTTCTTGTTCCCTTGCAAACAGCTTGTGCTTCTCTAGTTGAGGAGATCTTATAGACTTTACAAAGGCTGCCCATTCCGGATAAATTCCATCAGCAAGATAATATCCCGTGTTGTATTGTGTCCCATTGACAATAAATTGGATTTGGGGAGCTTCACCTTTTATTGCTTCAATAAACAGAGGGGACTGATTGAGCACATTAATGTCATTGTTGGACCCAGGAATACCAAAGAATGCATGCCAAATATGAAGGTCATATGAAGCTACAGCCTCAAGGATAATAGTTGGATACTTTTGGTCACCTCGGGTATATTGTCCCTTCCATGCGGTTGGGCAATTTTTCCATCGCCAGTGCATGCAGTCAATGCTTCCCAACATCCCAGGGAATCCACGAGACTCTCCAACTTGGAGCAAACGCTCGAGATCCTCAGCCGTGGGACGACGCAGGTACCTACTACTAAATACCTCGACGACACCTTCCACAAAATTTTCTAAGCACTCTAGAGCAGTACTCTGGGGAACCTTCAAGTACTCATCAAGAGTGTCAGCAGCAGTCCCATATGCAAGCATACGGATCGCTGCAGTGCACTTCTGCAATGGTGAGTGCCCAAGGCATCCAGTACAATCTACTCTATGTGTAAAATAGGAAGACCACTTGCCTAGTTCATCCACAATGTGTAGGAACACATGCCTTCTCATCCGGAACCTTCTACGGAATGTTGCAGCAGAGTAGAGAGGATCTTCAGCAAAATAATCAGCAAATAGTTGATCATGGGCTCCTTCATGGTTCCTATTGATGTACTTCCTTGGACCACTTGTACGCCTAGATGTACCTCCTTCTAGTCTGGCCTTAATCCTTCTGTCGATCCGCCCGGCAAAAGAGTTAAGGACACTATGCTCTGCCATGAACATATCTGTAGTGTAAATCTCGGCTGGGTCTATGGAATTGTCAAACTCATCCGACATGTTTTACTGGATGGAAGGAACAGATGAGGAAGTGTTGGACTGGATGGAAGGAACAAATGAGGCAGAATAGAATAGGAAGAATAGTACTGGATAGAAGGAACAGAGGAGGACAGTGCTGGATTGTTTTGCTAGACTGAATATAACAGAGCAATATATAGTCACATGGTACAGATTAATTTGTGGTACATTGACTAAGAATACAGATTATAATTTATGGTTATTTGTGGTACATTGACTAATAATACAGATTACAATGCATGGTTATTTGTGGTACATTGACTAAGAATACATATTACAATACATGGTCATTTGTTGAACATTGACTAACAATAAAGTGCATGGTGATTGACAGAAAATACCTTAGATTATATCACCAAGCAGTTTCTCCCTCAACATCTTGAGACCCATCACGTGCTCAGCTTATCTCATCAGTCATTTGACTAGTGTCCATGCTCATCAATTTTTGATATGATTCCGTCAAGACAGCCTCTCTCCTAAGCCTTGCTACTTCAACTTTTGCATCTGAAATACGGTGCTGAGTCCCTAAAAACTCTTCATGTCGTTTGCTAGCTGCAGCTTGAACATCCATGTACTTCTTCATATCTTCATGTAAACTGTCATCATCATCCTTGCCTTTGCCTTTGCCTTTGCCATTGCGTTGTTTCTTAGCTTCATTCCTCCCCATTGGGCGCTCCTTTTCTCCGATATCTTTTTGTGATAGTGTGTCACTTCCATCATCCAAGCTCCGCTTGTGTGGCTTTTCAAGCTCCTCCAAAACAGCATGCCACTTGGGTTCATCACGAAGAACCTTCCAACAGTGCAAAACTGTGAATGGACCTTCGTTAGGATAGTCATCCACATAAAACTGATTAGCAAAGTCTCTCAACTGATCATCTGAATATCCACTAGTATAAACTAATGCAGCCTTCTTCCAGGAGGCGCAGAAAAATCCCACCCATCTCTTAATCCTTTGCCATCGATCTTTGAGATGCTTTACTTCCCTTTTCCGGTTAATAGGTGTAGTGCTGTTGTATAATTCAACTACATCTCCCTAGTAGCTCTCATTCTTCTTGCCATTTCCATTGATCGGATCATTAGAGTGGTACAGCCATGCACTCACCTACATTTAGCATTATGTGTTAGTAAAGTTTCAGAATGATGGTACAAATCCCTGCAAGTTGTCTAAAATTTTACTCACCAACCGCAAGTCCTCATCTGATGCCCATGTAAGACGCTTAGCAGTCCTAACATCGTCACCATCATCTAAGTTGATGATAGTGCCTGAATTAGTTGTTGGTGCCATAGGTGGCATAGGTGGCCATGTTGCTGGGAACAAAACATGAGGTGGGACTAATGGCTGTTGACCACTTTGTAACATGCTTAGGAAACCACCAGGTGGATGTATATCCATACCACTGAAATATCAGGAGCCAAAATCATGACTATGAGCGAGGAAGAAACAACACATTTCCTATCTGTGCTAAAACATTATTAATTCTACAATCTAAATAGTCTCAACAAAAAGGAATTTGCTTGTTTCTTGCAGAAACAACACACAAGCAAATTGGTTTCTTACCAATCTGAGGATGCAGGGTCAAAGGAGTTGGTGTGTGGCAAAGATCCGTTCCACAACCCTGCACATCGTTGAGAGCATCATCAGCTTATTGTTCTACTCTAACATCCAGGAAGCAAGCAAGGCAGAGCCACTGCAATCCCCATCAGGTTTGAGTGTACGGTACAGTACCTGGTTGGCCTCCTAGAGGAGGAGCCATTGCAGTACTGGCCTGAAAGAAGGCAGACGAGGCAGCATCGAAGCACCCAGAGGCAGTCGTAGATCCCGACGGCGGCGGCGGCGGCGGCGACGACGACGGTGGCGGCGGCCGCGGAGCTACTTGTCGTTTGGACCGGCAGCTCATCCTGCTCTACAGCTCGTCGTCATTGGCAAGAGGAGTGGATTCGTCGTTGTGCTCGTGGAAACGGATACGTCGACGCCGCCGAGGAAGATTTCACACACTGGAGAAGAAAAGAGGAGGGAGGGTGCAAGGGAAGGATTGGCGCGCGGGTGGCTGGAGGATTTGCGCGGGGGAGAGCAAATTGGCGCGCCAGGGGGTGGGGGAGCGAATTGCAGCGCGCGGGATCGTGCGGGAACGGGGTGCAGCGTGCGGGGGTGGGCGGGAGGTGCGGCGGGGCGATTTGGGGGAAGGGAGCACGAGATCTGATTTTGGTGTGGAAGAGTCGACTGCTATCTCTTGCACAGGCTCATACGGCATCGGTAACTGAGCGAGATAGGCGTGGGAATAGGAGATAGATGGATTGATTTTTTGCCTTCTCTTTCCTCCACATAGGATACATGATGATGTGGACATGTTATGAGATAGCTTACAAGGCACCATTGGAGGAAGCCTAACTGGAGGAATCATTATAGCTGTTTCTGTTGTTGAATTAAATCCGAACTATATACGAGATTGTCGAATTGGACTTTTTCCTAGTGAGGTCTGCTACATAAAAGCCCACAATTGCGTTTTGCTAATAGGCAGCACAATTCTAGCATCGCCAGTTCTGCAGTTCAGGTACGCTAACCACCTGCCCTACAGTACACGACGTATTCCATTACCCCATTACCTTTACCAAGGTATTTACATGGCATCAACAATTAAGTCCACAATTCAGAGCTTACATACAATCCATGTCCATGTGACGTTAGAACTGGTCACTCGGAACGCCTTCTTCTCGTGAATCAATCCGACAAGATGCGACGAATGCCGAACCTGGATGATCCGTCCGGTTTCAAGTATGGCACTATGTACTTCTTCGTGTCACTTCTGGAGATGCTCAGGTGACCTCCTGGCACTGATACGAACTTAACACGCCCAGCCTCCTCCAAAGCCTTCAAGCCGATCCAGTCCTCCGTGTACAACTTTGTCTATCACACAAAAATGGCCTTACTTAATACACACCCCTAAATAACAGTAGTTTAAAACAAAAAGCATGCTATGTCTTCTGTACAACAACTCAAGATATACATATACCTTTTGAGGTGGCTGCACTGGACTGAAGGCGCCATCGGGATAGTACCCGAACCATGCCGTTTCCCGGGGTATTAACACTGCGTCGTCCTCAAACTGTTTAGCAGTTCAAAAGGGTATCAGCAGATGGATTGGTCCAGTATGGTTTCATGTTTCTTGTAATCCTTTATCTTAAAAATCAGCTATTTGAGATACAAAAACTAAGCTGAATGTGTTGCAACTTAAATCCATTTGCTTTGGGCATGCATAAATGGCATTTGAGTTCAGTAAGATTATATAAATCAACAACATTTATACAAAACACGAGACAAAATGCATGTGTGACTTAATGAACTAAAAGGTTTATGTAGCTTACTAAAAGCATATTGTTTTACACATCGCGATCATAAATAGATGTATTGTGCCTTCAAAAAATAAATAGATGTTCTATTTGTTTTCTTTTGTTTTTGTGTAGAACAACTTTTAATTCATTATCTTGTTCGATATGATCGTTTGAATGCATAATGCTATATATATAAAGTTAACAAGGACTGCACACAGCATATTCCATCTACACCACATACAAGTACCCAACCCAGAGTATGTCAAATAGCAACAATTACGTGTTCATCTTACCATAATCAATACTAGATTTTCCAGGCTGCTGAATCTTTGTTTATACGTAGCATTTCTTTCACTTGGTATCTCATTGTTAAGCTTTGGAAGAAACTTGCAACCCTTCAAATAATCTGTCATATCCTGGAGAATTAAGAAGATGGGTTAAACTAACTAAAAGGTTTGTTCATGCATGTAAATCAAAATAGCTCAGTTTTATCCTGAAACAAGGTGGAAAGGTCAAAATGGGCTTCACAGTTAATGGTTACATATATTGAGTAGTTAATTAACTGGTACAGTGGTATTTTTACAGCTGTAAGTTGTATCTTGTTACAGACAGATTTGCAGTCCACAAGAACCTGTACTAATGAATAGCCCATGCAGGATAACCATGCACGTTAATGAATATATTGGGACTCAACCTTCTATTGCACATTAGATACCAATGTACAGCCATACAAGCCAATAAGAATTCTGAGTTAGTTAAAACACTAGGCTGTGTCCTTCCCCCATTTTCCCAACCCACCTCTCTCGTTTTCCGCGCGCACGTTTTTCAAACTGCTAAATGGTGTGATTCATGCAAAAACTTTCTATATGAAAGTTGTTTTAAAAAAACATATTAATCTATTTTTCAAAAAAAAAAGTTAATACTTAATTAATCATGCAATAATACGAGCTTCGTTTTGCGTGCCGGGGAGGAGGGGTTCCCAACCCCTCCTCCCGAACACAGCCTAAGAGATGGCTGGGTAATAGAAACAGGAGTGGGAAATGAAGAACAGAGGTTCTGGTACTATGGAATTAAAAGGAAAATATAGAATAGAAAACTCACAGTGGGTATCTTTAGGTAACCACTAGGAGCAAGGTGTGCCTGCAATACCACCAATTTCAAGTTACTTAAAGAGAAATGATGTGTGTAATGCCTAACAGTGATACTAACAATTAAGACATGGCAAAAAAAGACAAGTCATAAACACCTGTACATAGTTTGAATATATCTCCAATTTAATCAGAGCATCAATAAGAACACAAACGATGCCAGACTGCAAAAAAAAGAAGAAAGGGTTAGTAGCGCAACAGTACTTGTTTAACTGTTAGATAGCAACGTCACTAGCCTGAGAATTGAAGTTCCTAGTGCAGCTATAAATGACAGAAGATGAGTTTACCAGAAACTACATTATTCAGATACTAGAGAAAACATTGCATGAAGTAAACCCCACGGAAAACTTGGAGGCATGCTCATTCATATGAATGCACAAAAGTAAGGGAGCAGTCTCAAGGCCTCATGCTAATTTACAAATTAACATACAACCTCAATCTGTTTGAAATTACAGTCAATTAGTGATCTAGGTTAACAAAGAAACGAACAAAAACATATTCATACAGGACTCAAAGCATGCTTTCTCCCTCCCTTGAAATCTGGCAAATTGAAAGAAGTTATCACTATTCACTTGTAATGCATTGCTGTTTTTCTCCAGTGAGTCAAGATAGCTGTGCAAATGGATGGTTAGCAAGCATAAACTGCATCCAACATGTTTTGGCCAATGCTACAGATCATCCCCGAAAATTTTATGTTATATGACATATTCATGTTCTATCAATAAGTGTCTCCGGTCCATTTTTTTATGCCATTCTAGCAAAGATTTCTTTGGGAAAAAACTTCTTTTTTATATAACTTTTTCCCCCTCACATTAGCGTTCCTTGCTCTATGTCAAGATCTATGACATTAGCTTTTCCTAGTTTTTTTTCAGTGTTGGATAGAGCTAAAATAACATATATCTTAAACCAGAGGGAGTAATGTTTTAACTATAGGTCATTCTACAAATAGCTACCTGTTGCTTATTAGTAACCATTGGCTACTAAACATTAAGAGTGTGTAAATTTATATGCATGAAAAACCTTCAGTCATTCATACCAAGCAGTCTACTCTTAAATACTGGTCTATACGCATATGCAAAAGAAGGAGACCAGGGGAGGATAGAGTGAGCTTACACCGCAAAGTGGTACTGATGCCGTACCAGCATGAGGACCACCAATCGAGATGAAATTCTTTACCTGTTACAGTCAGCAAATAAACTATAACTGTACATAAGAGAGGTCCAAGGCATCATTTGGATCAAGAAAGGTTGGGACGCATATGGTAAACCACAAGTACATCAAATTTCTCACCTTGGTGTTGTTATGTTAATAACAAACCATATAAAATATATTATTATTGTAACATCAGGAAGCGAACTAGATTCACCTACCGGTGGTCCACCATCGCAGTACTCAATTACTGCCCGACCAATTAAGTTCCCCTGTAAAAGGTAACAAAAAGGGTACATATGAGGGAAATTTTGACATGCAACAAGAAACAATAAGGTGATTCTCTAGTGAAATACATGGCATTGAAAACAAAACTCCCACTAAGTCAATAACCCAAATAAAAATCTATCGAAGGGTCACATAGCACACTCCTACGTTTTATACTCAAGAGGTCCACATAGAACAAAAGCGAGACATGTCCGCACAGGCCTAAGGTTGCGTTCGGCAGCAGCACAAAGAGAGGAAAATCACTTTTTTTTTTTCCACACAGGCCTCGTTTGATTTATTTTTATTTTTATTTTATTATTATTTTTTGGTTTTGGGTTAACCAAGACTGATCAAATAGGCTTAGGACTAAAAGAAGACATAACAAAAGAACAGCAATGCATAGAGGTACAAGAAGCAAAGAACAGATCTGCATGTTACAATAAAGCTATTGTCATGAACATAAAATAGCATAATAGCATGAACACACCTGAGAAAGGCCAACTATGCTGTAACCTTTACGGAGTTCTTTCATTTTCTTCACCTGGAAAATCAATTCCAGCAATGATATAGTACCTTGAGAATTCAGCATACAGTACATAAATAGAAGTGATGGAGGTTCTGAATCACCTTCTTGCAAACAGTGTCTGCCTGTAGATGAATACATAATCTCAGAAACTTGTACAAGAACAGTCTATTTGATTTTTTTTTTAAAAAAAGGAAATTATCAAGGGCAAGAAATCAACCTGCTCTTGAAGTGGCATCAGCCAAGAGTCCCATGCTCCTCTTCCAATTTCACTGAGGAGGAATACATTTAATCTCCATAAGTAAACTAGCAAACAAATGCAGCATGTGCCAAACTTTTTAAAATTTGTACTGATATATGATGTAACACATCTCAAGAAACAAAGTTGTGGCATCAATTGGTTGTAAGGTCACCCACTAGGGTGTACATACCATAATACTAGATGAATTTTTCAACAATAGTTGTTTCTGCATATTTTGTTAAGGCCCATTCCACAGGAACAAATACAAAATTATGAAGCATATCAGAATCTTCATTATCCCCACTATGGACTGCGACAGGTTAAATTCACTTCCAACAGCCAGGAAGGCCATACTAAGTAATGTAAAAGCAATTGGAACAGACAACATATTAGTTCCTCAACATGGCATAAAGTCAGGAGACTTCTAAGATGTATTGAATTGCCCAAACTTGGCTTCATACAACAGTTGACATTTAACTAAAAATAGAGAGCAGGATGGTAAGGTACGAAAAATAAGATACTGAAACAACAGATTACGTGAATACCCAAACGTGTAAGAAAGAGGTGAATGTCGCGATAAAATCTCCAGGCATCCAACAACAGAAACAGTTATTGTGGTTGACTGAAACAAATGCAGCATGGGCTAAACTCTCAAAAAAGAAGTTGGGACATCAATTGGTTTGGTTGTGAGATCACACATTGGGTGTACATACCATAACAGAAACTGTGGTTGACTTTGCAAATGTATAAAACTGTATATGTTACTCCCAGATCCTCCTCACAAAATTGCAGGGACAAGTTAACAAATGGAACTTGACAGTAATCGTCTCATCATACTTCATTATCCTCGTGATTTGCTAAATATGTGTGGAGTATTTCAATCTATTCCTTTTTAAACCTCCCCAACCCCAAGGATATATAATTAAGGCTACCATATCTAATTTGGGCATCTATATTTATTCGCATTAACAATTTCACATGGAAAAACAAAGAAATAATTAATTAATAGCCTGTACATATATATTAATGGAAACCAGAGCACTAGTATTGCACTTGAAACAGCAACTAATTTCTCGTCATAACAAAAGGCAACATCACAATTCACAAATATCACAGCTCGAACAGTCTCCACTTCCAGAACACAAGGGAGAGAGAGATGGGGGGAGATAAGGCGCCATTACATGCAGTATCCCTTGGAGCCGGACCATTCCCCAAGCATTTCGGTGAAGGACGCCATCCCACCGTTCTCGCACTGGTCGCCGATCCCTGCGTGCGCCCGGACACAGACAAGTACACACGACCAGCAAAACCTCAGACGAAATCCAAGCACCAGCAGAGCACAAAACCTAGGGGGGCAAACAAGCGAGAGAAAAAAAAAAACCCTAACCGTGCAGGACGATGAAGGGCACGGCGGAGGCCACCGGGACGAGCGCCGGGGAGGCCACGACGAGGAGGAGGACGCCGACGAGGGCGGCACCGCGCAGCGCGTAGGCCATCATCGCTGCTGGCGGCGGCGGCGGTGAGGGTAGCTAGGGTTTGGGAATCGCCTCCCCCTCGTCGCCCTCCTCTCCTCTCCGCGACGGCGCCGCGCTTTCGCCTCTTGTGCTTGTGACTTGTGACGACGAGGCGGAGGTAGAAGACGGAGGCGGCGTGACTTCGTGGGGGCCCACATGTCAGTGTGATGGGTGGCTTTCGGGTGGTGGTGAAGTGGGCCCGGGCCAACTGGCCCAACTGCCAGTCCGGTAGTCGCGGAGATAGTAGGCTTTGGGTGGGCCCCACATGTCAGTTTGATGGGGGGCTTTCGGTTGGGGTGAAGTGGGCCCAGGCCAACTGGCCCAACTGCCGCTCCGGCGACTTGGAAGTTGGAGGAGGAGCGCCGTCGAGAGCTGACGTGGCGCGGGACCTACAGTAGGGAAGGGGCCCACATATCAGTGAAGTCGCTTCTAAGCTTTGTGTTCCACTTTGCTTACAAGCTTCATTCAGCCTTCAGATCCTTTCAAAAAAAGGAAAATGAAAAGTTTCAAGTTTTGTTCTGAATTAGATGACGCTAATGCAGCTAAAGTTGTTGCCCACAAGCATCATTTTGTGCAAATTGTGCCCACATACCACATTGGCAACATTCATCAAGAAGAAGAAGAGTAGGCTTCTCGCCAATATCCTGATTGCTGACTTGTTGTGACCAGAACTCTCTCAAGTGGACAACAATTCAGCCGTAGTTGAACGTAGCTTAACTGTTTAGATTTCTTGTGGTGGAACTAGCTCATCCGAGTTCAAATCCTAGATTTAACACGAGTGCTCGCATTTACAGCTAATTATTCTTTTAGTGGTAGGAGGAACTCATATAGATATCATATAGATATGGTGTGTCTGCGCGCGGCGTTGTGAATGCCTATGTTTCTAAAACGGATTTGCTATACAACTGGCGACAGTTAACAGGAGGTGAAAACTTTCAAATTTTAAGCTGTCTAATATGCTTTGAGATTTGTGCTAGTGAGGGAACCAACTGGCGACAGTTAACAGGGGGTGAAAACTTTCAAATTTTAAGCTGTCTAATATGCTTTGAGATTTGTGCTAGTGAGGGAAAACGGCTTAAAAAATTCAAACGCGTGCTGTAGGGATCAAACCCAACACCTCCAACTTGGAGGTTTGTTCCCCTAACCAGTTCTCCCATCAGGCTATTTTGAGTTACACTCGAGTTACATATTAGTTATATAGTAGTTATATAGTAGTTACAATGTAATTATATAGTAGTTATATTTGAAATTTTTTCATCCCAAAAACTATCAATAGTTGTATAGCTACTCCCATCTAAAAAAAAGCATAATGCTTATTTGGTCAATCTTTTCGGCTCACACGGGATTCCTGCGATGTACATGGGCCGCACTGCTGCTAGTCTACCAGAGGTCCACGCATCCATCTGGGCCGTATCCTTGTTAGCCGGCCCAGGGTGACCATCCCTGGGCCGGAAGGTGGCACACTCCATCAGTTGGCCCGGGATGGGATTCCCGTTGAATAGTCTGAATGCTACTCCTACTAGTCATCCGTTTTTTATTAGAGGTAGATGAAATTTGACCATTATTTCTAAGCGTGTCAAACCAAACATATTCGAATGCAAGAGAGTATTAGTAAAGCTCTTAGTACAAATATAATGATACAATTTTGATGCTAGATTATTTGAAAAATATTGTTGATCAAAATATGCCAATCTAAAGTTAAAACTGACATTTACACTTGAACGAAGGGAATAAAATCATAGAGATTTAGTGTTCCGTTTTTACTATTTAAAATATGAATGAAATAATCCATCTTAGAAACTCAAATTATCTCTCTAATTTTTTAATTTTTTAGTGCAAGAAATATATAACTTCGAGAAAAATTACAGCTAATGTTTTTTTTTCCAAAATGGGCCTAGATTAACCACAGCTGGCTTAAAAGTCTAGTCCAATAAGCTTAAGCCTAAACAAAGAGGGCCTTAGCAGAGCTTGTTTCCAGTACTACTCCATGCGCCTAGCTAGTCTTTTCGGTGATATGATCTTGTAAGACGAATATTTCTTCTCTGTTTAATCATCAAATAGCATAGTCAAAAGCAAAATCACGTGTTCTAAAAAGGAAAAGAAGAAAGCAAACATCACGACTTCAACGGTCGATGTCTTACAAGTACTACTAGCCAATCATTCCAAAAGGAGACTGGAGTTAACGAGATGTGCGCTCAATTGCTCTGAGCCTCTGATGTTCTTCATTAGTACTCTTCAACTTGTAATTAATACATATTTATATCATTTCATTGACAAATCGCAATGAAGCTACTATGATCATCGATCACCTGAGCAGCAATAGAACGAAAGAATTCAATATTTGGCCGAAAGCCAAATCGATTACCTAATATTACGAAGTTTAGCGAATTAATCAAAGAACACCCTATCTAATTCAGGATTAAGGCCATATCCTTCGCACGTGACGTCACGGACACCACCACGCGGCAGCCATGCGTGTACCGCGCCGGGCGCGCGCCATGGCTGCACTCCAAGCTCGCCACGGCGCCGTCCATGGCCGGAGCTAGCGATCGATCAGCTTACGAACAGCTGCGGGAAGGCCATGTGCGGGTGCGGCGACAGCGGCGAGAGCGGCGGCAGGCTGCAGATCCCCTTCAGCTCGTCCCAGATGTCTCCGGCTGCCGCCGCCGCCGACGACGACGACGAGGAGGAGTTCTCCGGCGGCGCCATGATCAGCCTCTCCTTCTTCACCTCCCTCAAGTAGTACTGCTCCTCCGACCTCACCCTCTTGCCTCTTCCGGCGGACATGGCGGCGGCGGGGATAGGGGCGACGGGAGGGGCCCACTTGACGGCGGCGTCGGCGGCGACCTCGTTGGGGAAGTTGAGGATGGCCTTGGACCCGCGGAGCTGGAACGCGGCGCGGTCGTAGGCGCGCGCGGCCTCGACGGCGGTGTCGTAGGTGCCGAGCCACACCCTCGCGCCCTTCCTCGCCGGGTCCCGGATCTCCGCCGCGTACTTGCCCCACGGCCGCTGCCGCACCCCGCGGTACCGCCGGAAGTCGTCCTCCTCCTCCCCCTCCCCCTCCCCCGCGTAGCCGCCGCCGAGCTCGAAGCACTCCTCCTGCTGCCGCGGCGCCGCCGACGCCGCCGCCCACAGGAGCGGCGGCCTCGGGGGCAGCGACACGGGCGCCGGCCTGACACGCCCAGTACCCGGTGGCGAGGGCGACGGCGATGGCGCGAGGACGTGGTGGTGGGCGTCTTCGAGGAGGTGGGCGCGGATGAGGTCGAGGTGCTGGTCCAAGCCGAAGCCGGCCATGGCGCGACGACGCGTAGGTGCTGGGGCTTGGAGGACGCGATCGAACACGTGGTGGTGGTGGTGGTGGTTCGAGGAGTGTGGCGCGCGAGCGAGCGATTTAAAGGGGGAGAGGGGTGGGGGTTGGCGGCTTCGCGGAGGGTTCGAGGCGCACGAAGGGAGGAGGAGGCCGCATCTATCATGTCGTAGTGTTTGTCTTCTCTGGTCCGAGTACTAGTCCCGGTCTCACTTGTGACGACGAGATCAACATCAACGTCGTCTCAACTTGTAGTAGCTGTAGCTAAGGGTGGAGAGTGACTGTTCTAATAGCCACATTGCCCCTTGCGTGCGATGCTTCTGAAAACCATCTCTTTTTTTAGAACATTATGAAAAGCATCTTCTTTTCTTATTTGTCCCTTAAACCCACGACACATCACACCACGCTCACATATGCACAAATTTGTCTTGTAAGACATGCACTCCCTCGGTTGAAAAAAAAAGCCAACTTAGCACTAAGATATGGCACATCCTAGTCTATAGTGGTGTTTGAATCTACTAGGTTGGCTTTTTTTTTTTTTTTGACAGATGGAGTATATGAGATGGAGATGATCCGCGAACACCCGTATACGCGTGGATACGTCTATGAGACAAGCTTATGGTGACGAACGGGATCAGCGTGTCCCATTAAAATTATATGAGTAAATTTCACAAAACTACAGATACTATGACCAAATTATCATAAAACTACAGATTTAACTCGGTGTATCACAAAACTACACATTTAACACCAAATTTATCACAAAACTACACATTTAAGATGAAGTGCCACAAAACTACATATTAGTAACTAAATTATCACAAAACTACATGTTTAGAATCAATTTAATCACAAAGTAATGATGTTTATAGCTCCACCATAACAATGGTGCTAGGGATTTAAACTCCAAAAGTGGTATTTTTGTGATAAGCTCAATATTAAATATGCATTTTTATGATACTTAATCTAAAATCTGTAGTTTTGTGATAAATTTAGTGCTAAATATGTAGTTTTGTGATACAACTCCTTAAATCTGTAGTTTTGTGAAAATTTGGTCAAAATACCTGTAGTTTTATGAAATTTACTCAAATTATATTGAAACCTTGTCACTACGATTTAAATTCTGATAGATAATGATCTTAAATTGAAAAATAAATATAAAGTTAATTGGTCCAAGGTAAAAAGATAATTCAAAAAAAAGCTCTGATAACAAAACTTGATCCAAGCTGTAATCCATTTTTATTAAAATTAAAATTATAAAGTAAGTACAACTCAACATCCGCGTGTTTCTATTCAGATTTTGTTTATCAAAATGTTGAAATGGATTGTTTATTTCACGCTTGGAAAAATGCATTTTCTAAAAAAAAAATCTTATGCTTCATTCCTTATATCATTTGTTTAAAACTATTTGTTAAATTTGTTTATTAAAGCATTTGATATCCTCATAATCAAGTAAATAATTTCTAAAAAGCTCTATAATACGTTTCAAGCTGAGCCTAACCCTTATACACAAATATTTAGACATGAATTTAGATTTTAATTGGGTAATCACTTGTATATGAATCAATGTTGATACATGCATGGCATAGTACCTCTTGTCACACGTTGCCGACCAAGATGCATATGTGCGGGCTGTATCATGGTCCTAGAATGATTTGTACTCCCTCCGTGTATTAGAAGTTACTCCCACTGGATTGACTTTTCTAAACTTAAATTTTTAAAAAAGCTCGACTAAATTTATGAAAAAAATATAGTAATATATATTCGTAGCACCGAATTAGTTTTATTAAATATAACATTGAATATATTATTATAATTATTTTGATTTATGTTGAAAATTTTGTTATGTTTTTTTAAAAAAATTGATAAAGCTAAATAAATTCGACTTAAAAAAAATATGGAACGAAGGTAGCAGTACCCAAAATAAAAATGAGAACGCATGTTAGTGCAACTTGGCAAGTAGCGGAGGCAGGAGATATCGATCGATCGGCTAATGAAAATGAAACCGCATCGTTCGTCTGTTCCTATTGACGACACGACAGTTAAGTTGGCCGTGTCCAGAAAGCATGCAGTGCACGTGCTACTACACGTCTATAGGCAGTACGCGTATCAGGTATGTGTAACCAGTAGAAGAATGCAATTTAATTTTATAACAGCAAAATGATATGGCCTACTTTTCGCCGTGTTTAGTTCCAGAATATTTCTTCAAACTTCCAACTTTTCCATTACATCAAAACTTTCCTACACACATAAACTTTCAACTTTTTCCATCACATCAAAACTTTCCTATACACATAAACTTTCAACTTTTCCATCATATCGTTCCAATTACAACCAAATTTCTAATTTCTCTTAATTTGCCGGTAAATTGACTTGTTTTTTAGTACTACGTTTTTCATCCCCACCCTTTTTTACTTCTTGTTTAGGTCTTTATTGATACAATCTTGATGCACATATTTAAGTACTCCCCCGTCCCATAATATAAGGGATTTGAGTTTTTGCTTGCAACGTTTCACCACTCGTCTTATTCAATTTTTTTTTGAAATTATTATTTATTTTATTTGTGACTTACTTTATTATCTACAGTATTTTAAGCATAACTTTTCGTTTTTTATATTTGTAAAAAAAATTGAATAAGACGAGTGGTCAAATGTTGCAATCAAAAACTTGACTACTGTTTTTTATTAGTATATCTGTAAAACATTAAAAGTATAACTATCGACAATCCTTTCATATAAACTTGGCCAACTATAGCCTACCTTTTGCGGATCAATTCCTCGGTAAATCCCTGTTGGACCCTTGAAAGAGGTTCAATTTATTCCACTTCTATGGATATGTGAAATTAATCCCTCCGACTTCTTCCTTTTGGGCATTAATCGAACAAGATTTGGCTGAACTAATATTATACTCCCTCCGTTTCAAAATGTTTGACACCGTTGACTTTTTAGCACGTGTTTGACCATTCGTCTTATTCAAAAAATTTTGTGAAATATGTAAAACTATATGTGTACATGAAAGTATATTTAACAATGAATCAAATGATATGAAAAGAATAAATAATTACTTAAATTTTTTAAATAAGACGAATGGTCAAACACATACTAAAAAGTCAACAGTGTCAAACATTTTGAAACGGAGGGAGTATATTTATTTCACACTGTCTTGAAATAGAATTTTTTTTTTCTGATGAATTATTTAGATCACGAGTACGTATCTTTTTAAGCTTATCCATCAAAATATTTATTCGTCCCTATAATTAAATAGACAATCCAGTGAATAATAATCCATTTTAATTTGCACCCGTTCAGATGAGACAGCACGCTTCCCGCACGTGTTCTACGGGCCTAACGAACTCAGCAATAGTCACATAGGCATGCAGGGCTTTGTTCCAAACTTCCAATGGTCCAACGTAAACATCCCATTGCATTTACAGTTGGATACATGGACAGTCAAAACAAAAAGACGACTATATATGCGTCATCCATGGGTTTGTAACCTAGCTATAACTGACGATGTCTCTAATTAACCCGTGATTAGCTACTACCTTGGTTAATTAGAACGTTTCCAGGAATCTTCATCTTGCATATAGAGTGTATATATATATATATATATATAACCTTTGTTTTTTAATAGATAATACCGTTGACTTTTTCTCACATGTTTGACTATTCGTCTTATTCAAAAAATTTACGTAATTATAGTTTATTTTGTTACGAGTTGTTTTATCACTTATAGTATTTTAAGTGTGATTTATATCTTATACATTTGTATAAATTTTTTGAATAAGACGAATGATCAAACATGTGAGAAAAAGTCAACGGTGTCATCTATTAAAAAATGGAGGGAGTACAACGGTGCACGGCGGTGAGTATAGACAATAGGAGTCCACGGTGCCGTTCAATCCGAGTCTATATAGAGTGTAGACTTGACTCCCTAACTTCCACGCATAATCAAAGCTTAGTTTAATTTTTTTAGTTTGATTTTAGGATAAAATTATGTTTTTCTTCATAACTTCCAACTCTCCTTTAGTGTACATGCATGTGTGTTTTTCCTAACAAGAGAAGAAGAAGAATCTACCTAAACTTGTTCTTAAAAGTCAAACTTTAAAAATTCAAATATTATTTGGATTACAATTCAAAGTTGCTTTAAATTTTGTTCTTGCAAACATTCTTCACTAGTAATTAAGGGTGTGTTTGCAAACCCTTTTTCCCAACCCATCTCCCTCGTTTTCCGCACGCACTCTTTTCAAACTACTAAACGGTGCGTTTTTTTAAAAAAGTTTCTATACGAAAGTTGCTTACAAAAATCAAATTAATCCATTTTTTTAAAAAAATAGCAAATACTTAATTAATCACGTGCTAATGGACCGCTTCGTTTTTCGTGTTTACTGTGCACTTTAGGAAACTGGAGTAGCGAACACACCCTAAGTACATATATACCAGCCAGCTAGAGTTATACGCAACTAGTCTTCAAATATTAACAAACAATTACTTTAAAAAGAGTCACTTAAATTTGTATCAGTAACACTACTAGCTAGCTATATTTAATTAATTAACTTGGTGATTCTTTACCGGTCAGCTAACGACATGTACAGTATCGAGTTAACGCTCAACAGCAATATACAAATTAGTCAGGCTAGCCGGTCCAAAGTCATACAGGCTAGCATCATGCATATGTAGTAGGAGTATGTGTTCTTTTGCAGTCTATGGACAAGTCGGAGATGACACTGTGAGAGTGGCTGGCTGGAAATGGCAAGAATCAAATTGCTACGCCAGGGTGGTCAAAGAATCAATCAACCAAAGCTGCTGGTCTCATTTGCTCACCTGCCTGACGCTAGCTCAATTAATTAATTAACTAATTAATCTATATAGCTTGTCCTGTTGCGTTACGTTTATTGTGTTAAGCAATTTATGTGCTTAATAAATTCTTGCATCTTTGAAGTCAAACTGACTAGTAAGTAAAAGTACCGACTAGCTAGATAAGCAATCTTAGATTCTAGCTTACAGTGGTGTTGAAAATTTCATAGCAAGATTACCCTGATCGAGTCGATTCTTTTGTTTTTGCCCCTGTATTTTGT